CAGGAAAAGACTCAGTGAAACCAGGTGGGCGGCGCAACCAGATCTCCTCGTGCAAGCTGCCCTGCAGGAAAGCTGTGGTGAAGTCCAGAGAGTGCAGCTCCTAGTCACGCTGAGCAGCGACGTGCAGCAACACCCGAAGAGTAGTCATCTTCGGGGTAGGGGAGAAGGTATGGAAGAAGTCAACTCCCTGTCACTGACTGAAACCTCTAGCAACGTAACGCGCCTTGAAGGCAGGCGGAGAACCCGGCGGCCGCTTCACCCTGAAGATCCACATGCCATCGACTATGATCGCCCCAGGTGGGGGAACCTCGTCGACGTAGGTGCCTGTGGACTTCCAGGATGCCATCTCGGCATCCATGGCTGCCTGCCACTGAGAGGAGTAAGGACTCGTAATCGCCTCTGCGTAAGAGCACGGGGTCGGGATGTCTAGTGCATCCGGGTCTCCCTCAGGGGCAAGCAGCATGGAAGCGAAACGAGGTACGGCAGCTGCAAGACACTCAAAGTCCTCCTGCCTGTCCTCAAGGACGTCCGTGCCAAGAGCACACTCACCCCCGACGGACGGAGGACTGGCAGACGCAGACTCAGAAACAAGAGCAGTGGCATAGTCTAGACGACAGGCAGCAGCAAAGTCAAGCAGCTCAGCAACGAGAGCAGACGCAGCAGCAGACTCAAAAGAAGGGTCAGTGACAGCAGTGACGAGGAGACGAGAGACAGTGGGACTGGCAGCACGAGCGCGGTCAGAATCAGGGTCAGGGACCTCAGGAAGAGAGGACTCATGAGGAGTTGGCAGAGGAACACGTAGTGGAAGAGAGGAAGGACGAAGGGTCATAGCGTGCGTGCCAGGGACAAGAGGAGGACGCGAACGAGGAACGCGACGAGCAGTGCGAACAGGCGAGACAGGACGAGACGCAGGCTCACGATGCTCTGTAAGACCGCCGGACTGCTCAGTGTAAGGAGAAGGAGCAGGCAGTGGAGAGGCCGGCTGTAACGGCGGCTGCGACCGGTCAGGCGGGGGACACAGGAGGGGACGAGTAAGGGCAGCAGAAGGCGGGGTACCAAGAACCTGCTGGAGCAGGGGAATGAAGTACGGTCGCGGCTGCACAGTGCCACCAGGGTCAACAGCTCCAGCTCCTCCAGCTCCAGCACCTCCAACACCAAGGCCTCCAACTCCAGCGCCTCCTGTGCCAGGGCCACCAACTCCAGCTCCTCCAGCTCCAGTGCCACCAGCGCCAGTAGTACCAGACTCCGTAAGGTCTCCAGCTCCGGCACCCTCAACACCACCAGTCGCGGCAGCTCCAGTACCCCGGGTACGAGCACCTCCAGGACCAATGGTCGCAGGACGTCCAGTAACACCAGCTCCAGCAGCAACTCCAGTACCTCCAGCTCCAGCAGCGCCAGCACCTCCAGCTCCAGAAGCTCCACTCCAAAGGCGCGGACGCCGAAAAAACCACTTACGCAACTGCTGCGGAGACAGTCTTGGCGAAGCACCAGCAGAACCTCCAGACGAAGTAGCACCCTAAGGCTCCGCACCTCCAGACTCCGCACCCTCCGAAGCAGCACCCCCAGGCTCAACACCCTCTGGCTCAGCACCCCCAGGCTCACCACTCCCAGTCGCAACACCCCCAGGCTCAGCACCCCCAGTCTCAACACCCCCAGGCTCAGCACCCCCAGTCTCAGCACCCTCAGACTCTGCACCCCCAGGCTCCGCACCCCCAGACGCAGCACCTCGAGCAGCACCTGAGTCGACAGCTACCTGAACAGGCGCAGGACCAGGGAGAGGGTCTACCTTAGACACACCTGAGGGAGCAGGACCCTGGGGCGGGAGGGGGTCTACCGGAGGGGGACTGGGAGCAAGGAAGAGCGGCGGGGGCGGGGGAGGGGCAGAGCGGTAAGGGAAGAGGCGATAAAAGGGAACCGACTCGTCAAACGTGACGTCCTGAGAAGGGAAGACACGGCGCTAGGTCGGGTGGTAAAACTGCCAGCCAGGCGCGTCGGGGACAAAGCCAAGGAAGACGCAGGGGATAGCACGGGGGGAGAGCTTGTCCGCAGACGTATCGCGAACAAAGGCACGAGATCCCCAGACCCAGAACACCGATGCATCGCCAACCTTCCCCGTCCATTTCAGTGTGGGCGAGGTCTCCGGCAAGGAGACACGGCAGGGGACCAATCGTCGGGGGAAACGAGGAGGAGTGAGGAGCGGTGCGCTGCTGCCCCTTGACGCAAGGGAGGCAGGGCGGGGCAGGCGAGGGCGGCAGGGGAGGCAAAAACCTGGGGAGACCAGAGACAAGAAGACGAGAGTGCATGCCACGAAGGCGAGGCAGGGAGGGGTAACCCAGGCGGTGGTGCCACAGAAGAGTCTGGTGCGACAGGAGGCGACACGAGCAAGAGGCGGCTACCTGACCTAACGCGGACACCTGAGCAGACGCAGCTACCTGAGAAGGCTCGGTAGCGAGTGTGTACAGACTCGACCCTGGCCGACGAGTGAACGTGGCCAGGTGACGCCCCGTCCGTGTGCACGTGCAGATCGACACACGCTGACCCCCAGGAGTGGTGGTAGTGACCATCGCATCATGGAGGGCAGCGGTACTCACCAAGTTCGTAGAGAACGAGGGGAGGTGAAGACCTGATAGTGAGCCAGACGGAACCGCCAGACACGGGAGGACAGTGGAGGAACGGGCAACGACCGGTCCCCCAGAGGGGTCAGCCAGTCTGACCGGGACAGGTGCAGGAAGAGGAGTGAGGGTGGTGCTATCACGAAAGAAACAGCGCGAGGCGCCGGAGTCCAACGTGAAAGTGTGCAAGGCCTCAGCAGGCGCAGTACCAGGGAGATTACTAGACTCACTAGCACCTAGAGCAGCAGCTGCTATACATGGGTAAGGCGGCACACACGGGTAACAGTCACCCTCAGCACAGACAAAGCATACATAGCAGAAAGAATAGCATCAAAGTCTAGGTCAAAGATAGCAATCCTAGACTTAAGCAGATCAGCCCAGCGAGGGAGCTCGACGTCGTCACCAAACTCAGCACGCCAAGCGTCGTCGAGGCGGGAGAAGCAGCGGTGCTGAGTGTGGAGCCGCTCGCAAGTCTGACCAGCACGGTCACCCGTGCAAACGGCATATGGGCAACTACCCCCTGACGCCCCACACAGAAACCACTCACGAAGCTGCTGGAGAGACGGGGTCTCGCTCCGACGCTGCTGCTGCTGACGCTGGCCACCCCCAGAACCGACACGCCGAGCGCCAGTCCCACCGGTACCAGTTCCACCGCCTCCACTGCCGCCACTCCCACCTCTGCCTCCACCGCCGCCACCACCTCCACTGCTGCCCCCACCACCACTCCCGCTGCCACCTCCACCACTACCGCTGCCACCTCCACCTCCCCGGCCACCCTTGCCCTTGCTGCTGCGGCGCTTCGCACTAGCAGAGGCGTAGGAGGGGGCAAGGGGGGAGGGGGAACACCCCTCAAATAAGGGCGGGCGCGGAGTGCCACGAGCAGCACCTACAGCAACTGCACTAGTCTCAGCTGCGAGGAGATGCTGATCGAGGAGGTCAACAGTGAGGGAGGTGGGGTCAAGAGAGAGGAAGTGGTCCCTGACAGAGCGAAGAGAGTCAGGGAAGCGGGTGACTATAAAGTAGAGAGTGATGTACATCGGGGGCGGGTTCCTGTCAAGGAACTCAGCAGGAACGGCAGCGCGGTAGTGAGCGTCACTAGCGCGAATGTGGGAAACCAGGTCCTCGACTATGGTAAAGGCGGACAGCTCGGGGAACAGGTAGGGCAGAAGGAGGCGGCCTAGAGCAGCAGTGGCAGGGGAGGAGTAGCGAGCGACTACAGCGTCGTACAGTGCCTGCACTGTCCTGTGCTGTCCGAAGTGAGCGCATTCAGCTAATGGCAGGTGGTTGCGAATGGCTAAGTGGGCAGCAGCGTCACGGGTAAGCCACTGTGAGCGAGTCGAAATGTCAGCTATGGCGGGAGGGGCAGTAGAAGCGCCTGACGCTAGGTCAAACAGCGAGACACTGTCCTTAGAATCGCTCAGTAGGTACAGCTGCAGGTCGTCTAGCCACGTGTCAAACTGAACCGGTCTACCCTCATGATCAAACGCGAGAACCCGAAGCGAAGCCATAGCTGTGCAGCACGCAGGAGCAACTGTAGCAGTAGCAGTAGCAGCTGTAGCAGTAGCAGCAGTGACAGTGGGGCAAGGGGCCGACGGGGCTGGGCGCGGGGCTAAGGGTCGACTGGGGGCCGGGCGCAGGCTAGGGACGGGGCCGGGCGCGGGCTAGGGACGGGGCCGGGCGCTGGGCTAGGGACGAGGCCGGGCACGGGGCTAGGGGCCGACGGGGCCGGGCGCGGGCTAGGGACGGGGCCGGGCACTGGGTTAGGGACGGGGCCGGGCGCGGGGCTAGGGGCCGACGGGGCCGGGCGCGGGCTAGGAACAGGGCCGGGCGTGGGGCTAGGGGCCGACGGGGCCGGGCGCGGGCTAGGGACGGGGCCGGGCGCGGGGCTAGGGGCCGACAGCGCCGGGCCCGGGCTAGGAACAGGGCCGGGCGCGGGGCTAGGGGCCGACGGGGCCGGGCGCGGGCTAGGGACGGGGCCGAGCGATGGGTTAGGGACGGGGCCGGGCACGGGGCTGGGGGCCGACAGGGCCGGGCGCGGGCTAGGAATGGGGCTGGGCGCGGGGCTAGGGGCCGACGGGGCCGGGCGCGGGCTAGGGACGGAGCCGGGCGCTGGGCTAGGGACGGGGCCGGGCGCGGGGCTAGGGGCCGACGGGGCCGGGCACAGTGATGGTGACTAGCACGGTTGCATGGAGAAACAGTGGTTGTAAAGAGTTCAAAGTTCTCCAAGCTCTTCGCATCGTCTTGGGTTTTGTCGCAGTGTGAATGCCGTCACCCGTGCAATTGTACAGATATTGGCTTGTACCGGCTAGTACCGCTCTGTGCCTTCCCTCACCTGTACACGTCTGCTGCAGGATTGGCCTTCTGTGTCCACATAGCCTGGAGTTACCATCACTTGCATCTCCAATCACCTCTGCACACATCCGTGCCTTCTCTCACCCTTGCATCTCCACTCAGGCCTCCACTCACCCCTGCACTCACCCCTGCACTCACCCCTGCACTCACCCCTGCACTCACCCCTGCACTCACCCCTGCACTCACCCCTGCACTCACCCCTGCACTCACCCCTGCACTCACCCCTGCACTCACCCCTGCACTCACCCCTGCACTCACCCCTGCACTCACCCCTGCACTCACCCCTGCACTCACCCCTGCACTCACCCCTGCACTCACCCCTGCAATCACCCCTGCACTCACCCCTGCACTCACCCCTGCACTCACCCCTGCACTCACCCCTGCACTCACCCCTGCACTCACCCCTGCACTCACCCCTGCACTCACCCCTGCACTCACCCCTGCACTCACCCCTGCACTCACCCCTGCACTCACCCCTGCACTCACCCCTGCACTCACCCCTGCACTCACCCCTGCACTCACCCCTGCACTCACCCCTGCACTCACCCCTGCACTCACCCCTGCACTCACCCCTGCACTCACCCCTGCACTCACCCCTGCACTCACCCCTGCACTCACCCCTGCACTCACCCCTGCACTCACCCCTGCACTCACCCCTGCACTCACCCCTGCACTCACCCCTGCACTCACCCCTGCACTCACCCCTGCACTCACCCCTGCACTCACCCCTGCACTCACCCCTGCACTCACCCCTGCACTCACCCCTGCACTCACCCCTGCACTCACCCCTGCACTCACCCCTGCACTCACCCCTGCACTCACCCCTGCACTCACCCCTGCACTCACCCCTGCACTCACCCCTGCACTCACCCCTGCACTCACCCCTGCACTCACCCCTGCACTCACCCCTGCACTCACCCCTGCACTCACCCCTGCACTCACCCCTGCACTCACCCCTGCACTCACCCCTCCACTCACCCCTGCACTCACCCCTGCACTCACCCCTGCACTCACCCCTGCACTCACCCCTCCACTCACCCCTGCACTCACCCCTGCACTCACCCCTGCACTCACCCCTCCACTCACCCCTGCACTCACCCCTGCACTCACCCCTGCACTCACCCCTGCACTCACCCCTGCACTCACCCCTGCACTCACCCCTGCACTCACCCCTGCACTCACCCCTGCACTCACCCCTGCACTCACCCCTGCACTCACCCCTGCACTCACCCCTGCACTCACCCCTGCACTCGCCTGTGCTTTCAGCAAGATGCTCGCCCTTGCATCTCTGAGACTTCCATTTCCAACAGCATCTCCATTCACCTGTACACGTCTGCTGCAGGAGTGGCCCTGTTTGTCCACGAGTATGCAGGGTCGACATAGCCGGGAGTTCCATCACCAGTGCACTTACCTGTAGCACTCATATGTGCTATCAACATTTCACTCACTGCTGCGCCTCACCTGTACACGTTTGCTGCAGGAGTGGCCCTGTTTGTCCACAAGTATGCAGGGTCGACATAGCCTGGAGTTCCCCTCGTCTGTGTGGCATCACCCGTGGTGCCTCTGCTTATCCGCACTAACCCAAAGTCTGCCACCTTTGCCTGAAAGGAGAGGCGGAGAGAGAGGTGGAGAGAGTGAGGTGGATAGAGAGAGAAAGATGGAGAGAGAGGTGGGGAGAGAGAGGAGGAGAGAGTGAGGAGGCAGAGTGAGAGTAGGCAGGGAGAGAGAAGGCCGGGAGAGAGGAGGAAGGGAGAGAGGAGGCAGAGGGCTAGAGATGAAATGCATGGGTTAAAGGGAAAGGGGATGACGATGAGGGGTAGCAGCTGGTTTGGGAAAAGAGACAAGGCTCAAAATTAAGATCGCGTTCTCCTACACCTGCATGCATCTTTTTGCCGAGCAGGAGGTTGGCAGGCTTGATGTCACGATGCACGATGTTGAAGCTGTGGAGGTACCGCAAGCCCTTGGGAAAGGGAGGTGCTTACAGGGGAAGTGCACACTCAGAAAAAGCTCACCTGCATGTTTCTGTCGAGAAGGATGTTGGCGGGCTTGGATGTCACGATGCACGATGTTGGGGCTGTGGAGGTATTGTCTCCCTTTGTAAAAGGGAGGTGCTTACAGAGAAAGGAGCACATTCAGAACAAGCCCTCTACCTGCATGTTTCTGTTGAGAAGGATGTTGGCGGGCTTGGATGTCACGATGCACGATGTTGAAGCTGTGGAGATACCGCGAGCCCTTGGGAAAGGGAGGTGCTTACAGAGAAAGGAGCACATTCAGAACAAGCTCTCACCTGCATGTTCCTGTCGAGAAGGATGTTGGCGGGCTTGACATCACGATGCACGATGTTGAAGCTGTGGAGATACTGAAGGCCCTGCGCCACCCCGATGAGCACATCAAAGCGCTGCCGCAGAGTCAGAGGCACTTTCACTCCTGGTGGTGGTTGTGGTGGCAGGTTCAGAGAGGTAGAACCAGGAGTGAGGGGCGTGGGAATGGATGATGAGGCTATGGAGGTACTGAGGGCCTTGAGCCACACCAATGAGCACAACAAAGTGCTGCCGCAGGTTGAGGGGGGCAGCCACACCTGGTGGTGTGGTTGTTGCGTTGGGAGGTCAAGGAATCAAGCAAGGATTGCTAAAAAATATATATATATATAAATATGTACACCTCTGGGGATCAGAGGTGTATATATATACACCTACAGCAAGGGTCAGAGAGTCACAGAACAAGGACGGACGAGCAGCATTTCTCTGGGGATCATCATCGATTCGGGGTATCAACGCATCCCATTCAAGCACCCACCTGGTCCGACCCATCCCTCGAGGTCGCCGTTGTGCATGTACTCACAGATCAGAATCTGCTCTATGGCCCCAGTTGCCGCGTCCATGTGGCTGCAGTAGCCCAAGAGGCGCACGAGATTGACATGATTCTTTGATGCCATCTCCTCGACCTGATGTGGAGATAGGGGGGAAGGGGGTGGGAGGGGGGATGGGGGAAGGGAGAGGGACGGGTCATGGGGCGACATATCCTTGAAGACGCCCCTGAACAAGCCGCTGCCAAATCTTCAATAACATCCACACTAGCTAGGTAGTACACCCCATCACATCACACCACACCACATCGCACCGCACCACACCGCACCACACCGCACCGCACCACGCACCTCTCGACGGAAGTCATCGGTGGTGAATACAGTGGCTCGCTTCACAGCCCACAGCACCGTTGGGTCATGGGGCGACACACCCTTGTACACCACCCCGTACCCGCCACTTCCAATGTTGTTCGCCTCAGCCCAGTTGTTAGTGGCCCACAGGACGTCAGATAAGGGGTAGCTTTGGCACTGCACGGGCCCACGCATTCCCATTCCTGTTGCTGCTGCTGCTGCATCGGGTCCTGGTGCTGGTGTTACTGCTGCTGTTGCTGCTGCGGCTGCTGGTGCTACTCCTGCTTTTGCTGATTCTGGAGTAATGGTGCATAAGTGACAGGAAGATGGGTAGGGGCGGCGGTGCAAGGGGGTCGGAACAGATGAGAATGGATAGTTTTTATAAATCTCTTAAATTCGTGATTCTTTTCTCCTTCTTCTTCTTCTAACCCTTTGCGAATCCGTAGCCTAGTAATCATCAGTAAACTGTGAGCCCCTATTTGTTCCACAAGGTCTTTATTTATCCGTAAGCCCCCACAAACCCAGGAACCCCCTCGCGCGCCTTCACTTACCTTCATGTTTGGCTCCTTGAATTGCTGCTGCCTTGGCCCTCCGCCTTCTCTGATACCAGAACACCGCTAATAGCAGCACCATTCCCAGCAACAGCACCACTGCTCCCAGCAACAGCACCACCGCCCCCACGATAAACACCTCACACGCCTTCACTTACCTTAATCTTTGGCTCTTTCAATTTCTGCTGCCATGGCCCTGCGCCTTCTCTGACACAAGAACACCGCTACAAGCACCATTCTCTGCAGCGCCAGCAGCACCACTCCCACCACCATCCCCTCAAACCCAGAAACCACCTTACACACCTCGAATTACCTTCATCTGTGGCTCCTTGATTTGCTGCTGCCTTGGCCCTGCGCCTTCTCTGATACCAGAACACCGCTAGAAGCGCCATCCCCAGCAGCAGCACCACCGCTCCCACCACCACCCCTACTATAAACCCCTTCGCACGCCTTCACATACCTTTATATGTGGCTCCTTGATTTTTTGCTGCCTTGCCCTGCGCCTTCTCTGATACAAGCATACCGCTAGTAGCACCACTCCCAGCAGCAGCAGCACTGCTCCCAGCAACAGCACCACGCCTTAACTTACCTTCATCTGTGGCTCCTTTCTCTGCTGCTGCCTTGGCCCTGCGCCTTCTCTGATACCAGAACACCGCTAGTATCACCACTCCCAGCAGCAGCACCACCGCTCCCAGCACAATCCCCACCACCACCCCTGTGGATACAGAGGATTTTCCTCCTGAGTTGCCTGGTGGGGCGAAGGAGATGGGAGGTGGAGGAAGGGGGAGGTGGGAGGAGGACGAGGTGAGAATTTTCTGAGTCACCTAATAAATAGACTGATACAAGCACACAGCCACAGGCACCGCTCCCACCACCAACCCATGGATACAGAGGACCCCCCTCCTGAGCCGCCTGGTGGGGAAGGAGATGGGAGGTGGGGGAAGGCGGAGGTGAGGGGAAACGAATTCACAACAAGAAGATGCTACAAGCACGCAGCACCACCGCCCCACCACCACCCCCGTGGATACAGAGGATCCTCCCCCTGAGCCGCCTGGTGGGGAAAGAGATGGTAAGTGGGGGAGAATTGCGGAGGTGAGGGGAGGCAAAGTCACAAGAACAGCACTACAAACACCACTCCCCGCAGCAGCAGCACAGCTCCCACCACTGCCCCCACGACCACCCCCGTGGATACAGAGGATCCTCCCCCTGAGCCGCCTGGTGGGGAAGGAGATGGGAGGTGGGGGAAGGCGGAGGTGAGGGAAAACGAAGTCACAACAAGAAGATGCTACAAGCACGCGGCACCACCGCCCCACCACAACCCCCGTGGATACAGAGAATCCTCCCCCTGAGGCACTTGGTGGGGAAGGAGATGTGAGGTGGGGGAAGGAGGAGGTGAGGGGAAACGAAGTCACAACAAGAAGATGCTACAAGCGCGCGGCACCACCGCCCCACCACAACCCCCGTGGATACAGAGAATCCTCCCCCTGAGGCACTTGGTGGGGAAGGAGACGGGAGGTGGGGGAAGGCGGAGGACTGGGGAGGACGAGGTGGGAAGGAGGAGGTGGGGGAAGGAGGACTTGTGAGAAGCTGAGATGGGGAGAAGGCAGAGGTGGTAAAATCGGAGGCGGGGGAAGGCAGAATGGGGGGAAGGAGGAGGTGAGGTGAAGTGAAATCATCAGAATTACCGAAATCTTCCATATCACCCAAGTCACTTGAACTGAACCATCTGAACTATCCGCGTTATCAATTTAAAGCATTCCAGTCATCAGAAACGCCCTCACAATCCTCACCAGAGCACGGCCCGTTCTGGCATCCTGCACCGCAGTAGGAGTCGTTGCTTCCACACCAGCCATACTGGCTGCGGGTAAAAGTGGGGGAGGAAGGAGGCAGGGGAAAGAGGGCGAGGAAGGAGGCATAGAAAGGAAAGGAAGGACAGAGCGGGAAGGGAGATGAAAGAAAAGAAGGGGAAGGGATGAGAGGCCTTGGACTGGTAGATGAAAAGGAATGGGTGCTCTGAAAGTTCCATAGGACCTCGAAAGGGTGTGTTCTGACAGACAGCATGACACGACAGGAAGCAGCAGGGAGAGGAGTGACGGCGAGATGACCAGCAGCACGATTGGCTCGGGTTGTGAGACTTCTCAAACTAACCGGCAGCATATGCTCGGATTGTGAGACTTCTCAGAGATTGAACTGACCTGCAGAACTGTTGAACTGACGTTGCTGGAATCAAAGAGAGAGAACGACGATGGGGACGGGCGGTAAGGTTGCATTAACTGAAATTTCGAATTGATTGGACTTGTCTGAATTGTTCAGATCGTTGTTACTTCATCCAAATCATCTGAATTCCCATCCAGTTTATCCGACGCATCTAAATCAACAACATCGTCCTCACCAAAACCGCACGGCCCGTTCTGGCATCTCGCACCGCAGTAGGCGTCACTGGTTCCACAATAGCCATCCCCGCTGAGGGAAAAAGAGGTGAGATTTGAGGCAGGGGAAAGAGGTTCAAGGAAAGAGCGGGAGAAAGAGAGTTACAAAGAAAAGAAGGCGAAGGGATGGGAGGCCGAAGAGACAAAGGCGAGCGAGGTGTTTAAGGCGAGGAGAAAGGCCGCAGTGAATGCATACCTGAGCTTGAAATATGCATGGATGGGTAGAAATGAATGCGTGTTCTGAAATTAGGGTTGGGAAGTAAAAGAGGTAGATGAAAAGGACCTAAGGACAGAAAGGTTGTTTTCTGAAAGCATGAAAACGACCCTGACAGGAAGAGGAGAGGAGCGCCCTGAAGACGTTTCCAGCTAACCTGCAGCATAGGCTCAGCGGTTCGCACGGCGTGGAGTTCGAGCAACGCTGCTGAGCGCGAGCTAACGGTACCAGAATCAGTGCGATGGCGATGGCGAGCAGTAAGGCGCGACGCTCGCTTGTATGGAAGTGTCGTGAATGTGCCATAGAAGCTAGCTAAAAATCGGTATCGGCTACTATTGTCGCAAAGCAATAGACACTGAGACTCCCGACGATAACTCACTGAGAATCAGATTTCACGGTGCCTAAAGTGGCTGTTGTTCTGGCTGAAAAATGACGATTATTGTAGTCGGGGATGCAGAGCTGCTACAAATAATTGCAGTCAGGAAGTGTGGATGGGAAGACAACCTCCGTTTCCGGCGAAGAATGTCGTCGAAACCCGATCTACTCGTGGCGATGCTCGTCAAGACCCACAAGTTCGCATTTCTCCCTTGGCGAAATATCCACGATAACGTACTAACGAACGACTGTTGTGGTTGGGGATACTCCCGAGGTTCGCGCATTTGAATTTCGTAGGGCAACGGCAATGGCCCATGTTGGGAGGAGATTGTGACGTGATGTGACCCTTGCTTGGCACGGCTGGTCCGACCAGGCCCAATCGGACTCAGAGAAACCGCGTTTGACCTGGTCCGAACCAGACGCCCATTTCAGCTCAATTTAGCGCTGCTGCACTCGTACGTATACACTTTTTCGGCCTATGTCCTGAGTTATCACTCATTATAACTTGAACAAGTTCTATCCGAAGATAGTGGACCAACCCCCCCTAGCATAACGTGGCAAACCATAAGAACAGAAAGGATTTTCACCAGCAACCAGTTTGTCAGAGCAACACAACATCCATCGCGTTTTATGGCTCCCGAACCAACCGCTATGAAGGTTTTCTACGCATGGTCTTATGCTCCGCTAGTTTCAAAAACGGAGAGGCAGAGTTAACAACGGCTTCAACAGGTACCTAGGCTACACCAACACCATTTTATCAGCTGTGTTGCTCCTATAATCCCATGCCCTACACCAACAGCTGTCACCCCCTGTGCTAAGGCCCTACAACACCTGCCGAGAAAGGCCATAGAGTGGGAATGCCACGGGGAAAGACGAGAGAACGACAAGAGAGTCAACACGATGAGGAAAGGGGATGAAGTGGAGATAACAAAATGGGGGGAGGGGACGGGAGTGGGGCGGAAGCAGTGGAGTGGAGATGAATTGAAAAAGAGGAAGATTCATGGGGCATGGGCAGGAAGGAAGTACATAAGGCAGATATTGTCACCGTAAAGCAAGGTAGAGCATGGTAGAGCAAGGTAAAGCAATGTAGAGCAAGGTAGGGCAATGTAGAGCAAAGTAGGGCAAGGTAGGGCAAGGTACAGCATGGTAGAGCATGGTAAAGCAAGGTAGAGCATGGTAGAGCAAGGTAGAGCATGGTAGAGCAAGGTAGAGCATGGTAGAGCAAGGTAGAGCATGGTAGAGCAAGGTAGAGCATGGTAGAGCAAGGTAGAGCATGGTAGAGCAAGGTAGAGCATGGTAGAGCAAGGTAAAGCAAGGTATAGCAAGGTAGGGCAATGTAGAGCAAAGTAGGGCAAGGTGAAGCAAGGTAGAGCATGGGGGAGCATGGTAATAAGGCTTGATGACATGATATGCTACTCAAACTCCACCTCCCCACCACTCCCCAACACTTCCTCACCACCTCCTCTCCACCTTCCCGCCACCTCCCCTCCTCCTTCCCACCGCTCCCCACCGCAGCTCACCGTCCTTGGGATCATCTATGAGGTCATCAAAACATCTCCGCCGCCCGCCTCGCAACCTTCTTGATTGCATAATCCACCAGCACTTGCATCTCAGTGCCAAACTCCACAAACCACCTCCCCACCACTCTCCACCGCATCTCAACACCTCCTTACCACCTCCCCACAGCATGCCACCACTTTACACCGCAACTCACCGTCCTCTGGATCATCCGTGAGGTCGTTAGAAGCCTCCACAACCCTCCGCCCAACTTTCTTGATCGCATAATCCACCAGCACTTGCATTTCACCGTTAAACTCCACCCTCTCCCCCACCGCCACGCCCACCGAAGCAGCGACCTCCCTCATCTCGGCTTCCCACGCCGACCCTTTGGCCCAGAGATATGCAAAATCCTCTTGAATATACACAGTGCATGCAGCCTTAAGAGGGTGGAAGAAGTGGGGGTGTGGCTCGTTGGTTGCGATGTAGAGAGTGCTGTTTGGCGGGACGAGTGATGGGAGCTTCTGCAGAAGACTGGGGCGAGAGGAGCGGGGCAGAGCAAGAGGGGCGAGGTGAGAGGGAACGATGTCTAAACAGAACCGAAGATGCGGGCAGCACAGGGGAATTTGCATGAGTGCTAGTCATCTGCACTACGCCCGCCACACCATGCAAGGCACTCAAACCACAGAACAATTTCAAGAAATGTACTGGAGAAAACTCAAACTCAAAAGGGCATGTATCTTGAACTCAAACCTCAGACTCAAGCTCCAGAGATGTATGCTCCAAGGACTCAATCCAAATGCAGAGTGTTCAGCTTGTCCCCCCGTCGCACATGCACATAGTCAAAGCGGTGTGGGCCTCCCATGGCGCTTCTAGCCATCTGCACCACACCTTCCCTGCACCTGCCTCATCATGCCACTCCACCTGTCTCACCATGCCACTCCACCTGTCTCACCATGCCACTCCACCTGTCTCACCATGCCACTCCACCTGTCTCACCATGCCACCCCACCTGCCACACCATGCCACCCCACCTGCCACACCATGCCACCCCACCTGCCACACCATGTCACCCCACCTGCCACACCATGCCACCCCACCTGCCACACCATGCCACCCCACCTGCCACACCATGCCACCCCACCTGCCATACCATGCCGGTGCCTCGATCCAGACGGGGCCAGCGTGTAGCGTTGAGCTTGTCCCGTCGCCGCACATGCACATAGTCAAAGCCGTGTGGGCCGCCCATGGCATGGGCAAGAGGGAGAGCATTCACTCACGCTTCAGGCCGCGTGTCTTGATCCAGATGGGGCCAGCGGGTAGCGTGGAGCTTATCTCCTCGCCGCACGTGCACATAGTCAAAGCGGTGCTGCTGCGGCCTATATTAGAGTCACCCTTGACAGGGCAGGTTCTATCTATAGGCACTCACGCTTCAGGCCGCGTGTCTCGATCCAGATGGGGCCAGCGTGTAGCATTCAGCTTATCTCCTCGCCGCACGTGCACATAGTCAAAGCGGTGTGGCCCGCCCATGGCACTTCCAGCCATCTGCCCTACACTTGCTCTGCACCTGCCCTGCACCTGCCACACCGTGCCACTGCACTCACACTTCAGGCCGTGTGTCTTGATCCAGATGCGGCCAGCGCGTAGCGTTGAGCTTATCTCCTCGCCGCACGTGCACATAGTCAAAGCGGTGCTGCCCTCCCATGGAATCGGCCATGGCGGGTGCGAGGCGGGTGAATGCATCGTTGGGGAAGAGAAACTCGGGGTCGAATGTGATGTTGTCCTGGTTCTGGGATGGGGATGGGGGTATCGAGACAAGATGCAGGGTCACAGGTGCAAGGTGCATGCATGCTTGAGTGTGTGAATGTAACTTTGAGGCGGGTGAATGCATCGCTGGGGAAGAGGAACTCCGGGTTTGTCCTGGTTCTGGGGATGGGGACAGGAGTATGGGTGGGTGGACACATGCATACAGGGGAGGGTATGTGTGGTGGGATTGGCATTGAGGCGGGTGAATGCATCGTTGGGGAAGAGAAACTCGGGGTCGATGTGATGTTGTCCTGGTTCTGGGGATGGGGATGGGGATGGGGATGGGGATGGGGATGGGGATGGGGATGGGGATGGAGACATGCGCACTGATAGCACACAGGTGCAGGGATGTATGGGCACGTCAGAATGCAAATCTTTCATCAAAGTGCACGGAGACATGTGCATGGGTGCTCAGGCGCATGCAAGCATGTGTGAGTATGTCCCGTCCCGTTAGTCCTGGCGTGATGAGAATGGTTGAGGATTTGCACGGGGGAGACAACGTGCATGCGTGTATGAGAGCATGTGGGAGTGAAGAAAGAGAGCAACATAGCATGCAATGGCGGTGCCAGCCGGCCGCACTATCACAGAACAATTCAGCACTACGCCCCATAGCACTCCGCCCCATAGCACTCCGCCCCATAGCACCCACCCGCACACGTACTCGTGAGGTCCCTCCAAACCACGCACCTGCACCCACATCAGGTTTTTCTAGTTGGTTCAGACACCTACCTGTTTGTGCTTCTTGCCCCTCCGCTCCCATATTCCGCTCCTGCTTGTGCTCCTTATGGCACAGCATGAACCCGTACTGCCGCTCTCTCCCACATTCCACTCATCCCACTCTCCCACGCCCCTCCATTCACCTGCTTGTGCTCCTTATGGCACAGCATGAACCCGTACTGTCCCTCCTGCGGTGCACGCACCACCAGAAACACGTTCCTACAAACAGCTAGCTCCCCCGTGCGTGGGCCTATGGGGAACTTGCGCATGGGTATGACGTCCCACTCCCACGAGCGACATCCCGCTCCCATGAGGCGAAGCAAGTTTTGAGAATTCTCAAAAGCGACATCCCGCTCCCATGAGGCGAAGCAAGTTTTGAGAATTCTCAAAAGCGACATCCCGCTCCCATGAGGCGAAGCAAGTTTTGAGAATTCTCAAAAGCGACATCCCGCTCCCATGAGGCGAAGCAAGTTTTGAGAATTCTCAAAAGCGACATCCCGCTCCCATGAGGCGAAGCAAGTTTTGAGAATTCTCAAAAGCGACATCCCGCTCCCATGAGGCGAAGCAAGTTTTGAGAATTCTCAAAAGCGACATCCCGCTCCCATGAGGCGAAGCAAGTTTTGAGAATTCTCAAAAGCGACATCCCGCTCCCATGAGGCGAAGCAAGTTTTGAGAATTCTCAAAAGCGACATCCCGCTCCCATGAGGCGAAGCAAGTTTTGAGAATTCTCAAAAGCGACATCCCGCTCCCATGAGGCGAAGCAAGTTTTGAGAATTCTCAAAAGCGACATCCCGCTCCCATGAGGCGAAGCAAGTTTTGAGAATTCTCAAAAGCGACATCCCGCTCCCATGAGGCGAAGCAAGTTTTGAGAATTCTCAAAAGCGACATCCCGCTCCCATGAGGCGAAGCAAGTTTTGAGAATTCTCAAAAGCGACATCCCGCTCCCATGAGGCGAAGCAAGTTTTGAGAATTCTCAAAAGCGACATCCCGCTCCCATGAGGCGAAGCAAGTTTTGAGAATTCTCAAAAGCGACATCCCGCTCCCATGAGGCGAAGCAAGTTTTGAGAATTCTCAAAAGCGACATCCCGCTCCCATGAGGCGAAGCAAGTTTTGAGAATTCTCAAAAGCGACATCCCGCTCCCATGAGGCGAAGCAAGTTTTGAGAATTCTCAAAAGCGACATCCCGCTCCCATGAGGCGAAGCAAGTTTTGAGAATTCTCAAAAGCGACATCCCGCTCCCATGAGGCGAAGCAAGTTTTGAGAATTCTCAAAAGCGACATCCCGCTCCCATGAGGCGAAGCAAGTTTTGAGAATTCTCAAAAGCGACATCCCGCTCCCATGAGGCGAAGCAAGTTTTGAGAATTCTCAAAAGCGACATCCCGCTCCCATGAGGCGAAGCAAGTTTTGAGAATTCTCAAAAGCGACATCCCGCTCCCATGAGGCGAAGCAAGTTTTGAGAATTCTCAAAAGCGACATCCCGCTCCCATGAGGCGAAGCAAGTTTTGAGAATTCTCAAAAGCGACATCCCGCTCCCATGAGGCGAAGCAAGTTTTGAGAATTCTCAAAAGCGACATCCCGCTCCCATGAGGCGAAGCAAGTTTTGAGAATTCTCAAAAGCGACATCCCGCTCCCATGAGGCGAAGCAAGTTTTGAGAATTCTCAAAAGCGACATCCCGCTCCCATGAGGCGAAGCAAGTTTTGAGAATTCTCAAAAGCGACATCCCGCTCCCATGAGGCGAAGCAAGTTTTGAGAATTCTCAAAAGCGACATCCCGCTCCCATGAGGCGAAGCAAGTTTTGAGAATTCTCAAAAGCGACATCCCGCTCCCATGAGGCGAAGCAAGTTTTGAGAATTCTCAAAAGCGACATCCCGCTCCCACGAGGCGAAGCAAGTTTTGAGAATTCTCAAAAGCGACATCCCGCTCCCATGAGGCGAAGCAAGTTTTGAGAATTCTCAAAAGCGACATCCCGCTCCCATGAGGCGAAGCAAGTTTTGAGAATTCTCAAAAGCGACATCCCGCTCCCACGAGGCGAAGCAAGTTTTGAGAATTCTCAAAAGCGACATCCCGCTCCCATGAGGCGAAGCAAGTTTTGAGAATTCTCAAAAGCGACATCCCGCTCCCACGAGGCGAAGCAAGCCAAGAAATGCTCCATGCGGACCATTGGCTGCTGACTGAGGGGTAACGAAAGGGGGGTGGGCGGAAACCGAGGGGATACAGAAGCGGGAGCTTGCGCATGGGATGACATCTTACTCCCACTCCCACTCCATGAGGACAATTGGCTGCTGGCAGGGGGGGAATGAAGGGGGGTGGGGGAATCGAGGGGAAAACAGAAGCGGGAAAAGGGCATGGGCATGGGCATGGGCATGGGCATGGGCATGGGCATGACGTCCCACTCCCGCGCCCCAAAGAGCAGCATGAAACACTGCATGAGTACGACATGACACCCCACACCGCATCCCACCCCACCCCACCTCACTGCACCGCACCGCATCATGGTGGTGAAATTGTAACACAGCCCCACGTGCCCATGCTCGTCCTTCCTGCAATACCCACAGCACACGCCCGCTCAGCCACACAGTACCCCACCGCACCCCACCGCACCCAACCCCACCCCACTGCACCGAAGTGGTGAGGTTATAGAACAGCCACACGTGCCCATGCTCATCATCCCTCCCGCTCCTGAGTGCGCTTGATAAAAGCAACGGCATGCGTTTCAGCGCCTATCACACCACACCACAGCGCACCATACCGCACTGCACCGCGCAACACCATTCCCTTTCCTTCCCCCCCCCCCCACCTCATCATAGTTGTGAGGTTGTAATACAGCCCCATGTGTCCATGCTCGTCCCTCCCAGCATTACCCGAAGAACACGCCCTCCCGGCCACACAGTACCACAAACCACCGCACTGCACCTCATCATAGTCGTGAGATTATAGTACAGCCCCACGTGCCCATGCTCGTCCCGCCCCGTCCGCGTGTGCGCCTGGTGCAAGCAACGGTCAATTACCATCATCAGTGTGCCTTTCAGCGCCTAACACACCACACCACACCGCGCTGCACCGCACCCCACCCCACCGCACCTCATCATGGTGGTGCTCCCACGCCTCTTTGTCCGATTTACGGATTTCCGGTTTCCGGATTTCTGATGTCCAATTTCCGGAATTCCGATTTCCCACGACATTTTCGGTTTTTTCCTCTCCGCCTGCCGTTTCCGTCGCCCTCCGCGCCTCCGGCAGCTGCGCGGGGCTGCGCGCGCGCGAGGCGAGGAGCCCCGCCGCGAGGAGCCCTCCCGGCTGCTGCTCCGGGCTGAGCGCCTTTGGCTGCTGCGCTGGGCTGCGCGCCCCCGGTAGCTGCGCCGGGCTGCGCGCGCGCGAGGCGAGGAGCCCCGCCACGACGCACGCCGCGACGGCCGCGGGGAGAAAGAAGAGCGCGACGAAGCGGTGCGTCGCGAGTGTTAGGAGTGAGCGGTATGGGGATGGAGCCGGCTCCGCCACGAGCGGGGATTCGCTAGTATTACTTGCGGTAGCGGGGCCCACGGAGGGTCGCGCGGACGGGGAAGGAGCGGCATGCGGGCGGAGCACAGCTGCGTCGCGCAACCCCATGCGATTCAGTCGCCACCGTCGCCCACCGTTGCCGCCGTCACCGAGTGCGATGATTCCCAGAACACCGGGTGATGAATGGAACAGGCCATTTTTTAAGAAGAAAAGAACCGTATTACGAGAAGTAACTTCTAGGGAAATTTCACTACTTCGTGCGACCTCGGTCCTGTGGCTACAGAAGTCAAAATAAGGACCATAGCTGGTGGCTCATTTTTGTCGTTCGGGAATTGTGGCCAGAGTTGAGCACGTCGGGTTGCGCATTTCTCACACATTCACAGTTCTGGTATCGTGGCTCAGGACGGTTCCACACGGTGAGAAACGGTTCTTTAGGTTACCGTTTTGCACCGTGACGAAACGAAGTCAACCGCAGTGAGCGTACAGAAGTTGTGCAACCTGACGTCGTCTCCCTTCGCTGCATTCTGGGCTGGTACGGAAAGGTGCAGTAAACAAGAGATTACTGGCGAGGCGAACCCCAAGCTGGGGATGTCGGGGTGCGACGGCCAAGTTTGGCGCAGGAGCGGCATGCAGGCGGAGCACATCTGCATCGCGCAACCCCATACGACACTGCCCCAAATGGCAAGTGCGATTATTTGGGGATCGCTGGGCGATGAGCAAAACAGCTTTTACCTAATGCATGCAGATTTTGCTAGTGCAAGTTTGCAAATGCATGATATAGACGGTTCAGGGAAAAATGTCGTCCTGCCGGCAAAACCATGCAGTTACCCGTGTTTAGGGTTGAGGCTCCCCCAGTAGTATGCCATCCAGACGGGGTTTAGTTTTGTTCTGACCGCGGGCAGATAACATTCCGTCAACATCTTTCCCCTACGGCCGTCTATTGTATGCACTGGCAGAAGTTGAATGCCGTTGAAAATGGCCCATGAGCGAAATGTCCAAGCCGCGTTGGTTCGGTTTGATGGGAACAATCGAAACCATCGATGGTGTCGTCAAGCAAGTCCTTCAGAGTCGAGCCGCTGACAGGCTATGAATAAGCCATTGAAGCGCGGACACGTGTGGGACCTTCAACCACAAAAGTCGAATCTGGTGAGAGCAAGGAGAGCCAAAAAGGTCCCACCGAGAATTGAACTCGGGCATTCAGATTCAGAGTCTGACATCATAACCGCTAGATCATGGGACCGATGCGTCACTATAAAATTTCACAAATTAAACGTTTGCAACTAAACGGGAATCCACCTTCCCCTGTGTCTATCTGGTGCAGGCTGCACATGTCTTACCTTGCGCAGCCCATTGTCGGTGCGACTGGGGAAGTCGGGCTAGAGCTTCCCCACCGCCCTCCGCGCACCTGGAATCCCTCCGTCTCCGCCGAGCCGCGCGAGCCCTCGGGACCAGCCTCAGATTGTTTCCCCTCTCCCCGCGACCGCGCGTCTCCCGCGGACGTTGTTCCGCCGCTGCCTGTTCAGCTCCACCGCCACGAGTCCGCGCCGTCCGCGCTTTCCGCCTCCGCCTGGTCCGCTCCGCGCGGATTTCTCCGCCGCGACGCCTCGGACTTGCGCTGGCAGCAACCCCGCTGGTGGAACGCGCTAACTGCGCTGACTACGCGGATCCGCTTAACCGCTTTCGCGCGGGATTTGGCGGAAGGGGAAGCGGAGGAATCTGAGCAGGAGTTGGGTGCGGTGAAGATGGGTGAACCGTGGGATTGGCGGAAGGAATTCGAGGAGGAGGAGTTAGCTTCGCAGCAAGTCGCGGGGGGTTCCGCGCTCTTGGGACTCGGGTTAGGCGGACTTACTGGCGCAATCGGCGCAAGCGGCGGAAGCGGCAGAGCTAGCGGTCCACCCGGGCGGAGAAAGTCGTCGTGGCGGGACTTGGCGGAAGCTTTGGCGGAAGCGTCGCGGAAGGTGCAGGAGGAGGTGCGGGAGTTCCGCAGCAGGGGCGGGGCGGCGGGGGATTTCTTCCGCGTGGGCAGCTGGCTCGCGCTCGCGGGGGCGGGCGGCGGAGAGGCGGACGAATGGGTGAAGCGCGTGGGATGCCAGGTGTGCAGTGCGGTAACGGGGAGTGGGAAGGGCACAGGTGAAGGGAGGCGGCGAGAAGGGCTGGTTTGGCTTGAAAAGGGTAGTGAATTGGGGAAGGAAAAGGGCACAGGCGAGCGGGTTTAGTGCAGGCGGGTGGTGTTTCTTTCTTGTACGAGGTGTTGGTGTAAGTGGTCAAGTGCCTTGCCTTGCCTTGCACAGAGCATGCTAATAACACCCACTCTCGAGTCACGCACTGCAAGAGGCGAGTCAGCAAAGTATTGCACATGCAGCATCTCACGGACTTATAATGCCCTGGCTTCGCTTCCCCACCCATCCACGGCATCGGTCCATCCATCTGTGCTGCAACCCCCACCCCCCTGCCATTTCCCATGCTGCCATGCTCCCATGCTCCAACCCCTCTTATATTTCAGGCGGCAGTGGTGGCACTGCTGAAAGCGGCTCTGGAGCTCATCACTCGCACAGCACACAGCTGAGGCTGACTAGATTAGTCCATGTTCTGAAACCCACCACACATTTTCTGCCCATTCCCATGCTTAAACGCTCCCATGCTCCACCCGATACTTTTCTCAGGCAGCAGTGGTGGCGCTGCTGAAAGCAGCTCTGGAGTGGAGCTCATCACTCGCCAGCACACAGCTCAGCCCCCTCTGGGGCTGACTAGACAAGGCGAAACCTCGTGCTATAACCCCCGCTCCTCCTGCCATTCCCCATGCTTGCAGGCGGCAGTGGTGGCGCTGCTGAAAGCGTCCATGGAACTCATCACTCGCACCGTCACCACTGCACCTCCTGCTACCGCTGCTACAGATGCTACAGCCGCTAAAGGATCGAGTAGAGCGTCAGACGCTCATGCTACAGCACCTGAGACCGCCCCTGGGACTGCTCCTGCTATAGCTGCTGTCCCAGACGCCCCCGCTACAACCCACCTCACCCGCCACAGGAGCAGCAGCAGTTACAGCAGTAGCGGATGTAGCGAAGAAGAAGAGGAGGATGGGTGGGGGGAGGCGGAGGAGGACGGGGAGGAGGGGCGGGAGATGGGGAGAGTGAGGGAGAGGGCGGGGGAGAGGGAAGGGTGGGGCAGTGGGGAGGGCGGGGAGGAGGAGGGGCAGGGCAGGGGGGGCGGCATTGGGGACGGCAGAGGGGGCGGCAGAGGAGCCGATGCGGGCGGCAGTGACGCATCCACATGGGTTCTTTTCAGCCTGGCGCGTCTATGCGAGCCGCTAGAGAGCTTCATGCACTATGAACTAGCGCAGCAGAAGGAGCGCGAGGGGAGGGAGCAGCAGGGGGGCGGAGAGGCGGATGGGGGGGGCATGGACGGGTGGTTCTGGGGGAGGGCGTACCCAGGGGCGTTTGAGGCGCTGCTGACGATGCTGACTGTGCTGCATCGATACGCTATCACTGCCGCCATGTGAGCTGGTGGGGTGGGTTCCAGTTCCAGGTGCCCTCATTGCTCCCATGAGTGAGCCAATGTGTTCTCTCAGATATGCCCTCTTTGAGGCGCTACTGACCATGCTGCACCGTGCTGCACCGATATGTCATCACTACTGCCACGTGAGCTGGTTAGGTCGGGGCCATGTGCCCACCCCACTTTGCTCTCTGAGTGAGGCAATGTGTTCCTGTTTGAGGCGCTGCTGGCGCTGCTCACCGTGCTGCACCGTGCTGCACCGATACGCCATCACTGCTGCTATGTGAGCTGGTTAGGTTGGCGGCATGAGCCCTCATTGCCCCCCCAACCGTCATGCCCCACCTGATGAGGCAATGTGCTCCCTCCGAAAATCCCTCCTTGCTAAACCCAGCACCGTTCTGTGCCGCACTCTGCTGCCGATATGCCCCACTCGCATGTCTCCCTTGCCTCCTCTCCCCCCTCCCCCATCCAGCCAGGACGTGCAGCTATCCGCCAAGGCCTCTGGGCTAGACGACGGCCTACCCCACCCTCATGCCGCTCTCTCACCCACCGCCACGTCAGCATCCCTGGTGCCACGTGGCGCGTCGGCAGCTGCACTCAAGGCAGGTGCTGCCAGGCTGGCGGACAGTGACATGGCGCTGTTCCTGCTGCTGTTCCAGATCATCGGCGCCGTGCGCTTCTTCGACCCACCCGAGACTGTTGGCTGCGCCGCGTTCTCAGTTGTGCTGGAGGACCAGGTAGGTAGTGGAGTCAGGGTTAAGGCAAGTCAACTCTTGTGGATGGAGGGTAGAGGAGCGGGTGAGTGACAGAATGAGAGAGGCAGGGGGGTCATCGGCGCCGTGCGCTTCTTCGCCCCACCCGAGACTGTTGGCTGCGCCGCGTTCTCTGTGTTGCTGGAGGACCAGGTGGGAGGTGGAGGGTGGTGGCAGGTGGAGGGGCAGGTGGAGGGGCAGGTGGAGGGGCAGGTGGAGGGGCAGGTGGAGGGGCAGGTGGAGGGGCAGGTGGAGGGGCAGGTGGAGGGGCAGGTGAGGATTAAGTTGGGAGAAGAGGGAATAGCAGCGTCTAGAGTAAGCAAGCAGGTGGGGCCTTCTCCGTGCTGCTGGATGAGCAGGTGGGTGGTAGAGGGGCAGTGAGCAGCGGAGAGACGATTAAGGCGATTCCAGGGGCACAGCAGAGGGGCATGTGGGCAGTGGAGGCACGTGGAGGATGGATGATGTCTACCGCCGCCACGCTGTGCGGTTTTGAGACCACTCAAAGCTACACTTCTTTCACGCTGCGTGCCGAATTCCTCTCACACTTCGAACTCCCTCTCTTCCGCACCCCCACTTTCCCTCCCATCCCCCCTCCCACCCAGCTGTGCTGTTTGACTAATGACCACCTGTTGTGAGAGCAGCCGACTTCTCGGAGTGTACCGCCACGCTGTGCGGGCAGGGCTGCACTTTGAGCTAACCGTGCCTCACTTCAACTCCCCACTTCCTCCCCTCCCAACCCCCATTTGAACTTCAACCAGCTGTGCCACCTCTTCGACCACCTGTTAAGAGCAGCGGACATAGATGATGTGTACCGCCACGCAGTGCGGGCCGGGCTATGCACCAAGTTCCTCTCGCACTTCAAACCTTCTCTTTTCTTCCCCCACCCCCCTCTTTCTCCCCCCATCCCCCCGTCAACCTGTTGCGCCATCTGTTCGACCACCTGTTCAGAGCAGCCGACATAGATGATGTCTATCGCCATGCAGTGAGGGTGGGGCTGCACGCCGAGTTATCACTCCCACTCCCCCACTCCCCCACTCTTTCCCTCCACTCACCCCGCTCTCCTCCCTCCACCCCTCCCTCCAGCTGCGCCATCTGTTCGACCACTTGTTAAGAGCAGCGGACATTGATGACGTGTACCGCCACGCCGTGAGAGCGGGGCTGCGCGCCGAGTTCCTCTCGCACTTCGGGCAGCGCGCGGGCGGGCACCTGAACTTTCGCGTGCTGCCCGGCGAGCGCCGCTTCTGGGTGCAGCTGGTGGAGCGGCAGCTGCGGGCAGCTTTGGTTCGGGAGAAAATTTTCGAGGAGTGGGGGGAGGGGGAGGGGGAGTGGAGAGGCGGGGGGGAGGGGGGATTCAAGAGCTTGAAAGCTGAGCTGGCGGTTTTTGGATTCTTTGTGGCTCTTGGGCGGGCGACACGGCTGTTCCTCCAATCGGAGGGTGCCAGCGAGGCGGATGAGGGGCTGGCAACATTGCTGACGTGGGTGGTGGGGTGGTGGGGATATGTGGTATGGTGGTGATGGAATGGGTGTAGTGTGACGATGGCATGGGTGTGGTGATGATGACATGTCATGGGTTGGGTGTGATGATGGTGGTGGCATGGCTTGGGTATGATGGTAGTGATGTATGGCTGTCATCGCCTTGCCCCTGCTACGCCCATCCCTTCACCCCCCTCCACCCCCCCCTCCCAGTTCACCTCGCTCATCATTTTTTCCCAGTCTCTTCAAGTCTAGCCCACTGTTTGGTAGCAAGAAGGGCCCTCGCTCGCTTCCCCTCTTCCGTTCTCCCCCCCTCCTATCCCCCTTCCTGGTCTTTGATCAATCGTCTTCACCTTCCCATGACTTTCTCTGTGCCCAATCCCATCCCAACCTCCTCCCCACCCGCCATTCCCTTCAAGGGCACAATCACCTTGCTTTCCCTCAACTCTCCACCCATCTCCCCCCTCCTTCCCCTCCTTCCCATCCCCCTTTCGCCATCCCCCCATCCCCCCATCTCCCCACCGCCCCCAGCCACTTTGAAGGCGCAATCATCTTCACCTTTCCCCAGCTGGACAACATATCCAAGTACCAGGGGCTTGTGGAGGTGAGTGAGTCAGGATGACAGGTGGTTTAGTGCGGTAGCAGCAGGTTCAGATGGAATCCCACTCACCTTCCCCCAGCTGGACAACATATCCAAGTACCAGGGGCTTGTGGAGGTGAGTGAGTCAGGATGACAGGTGGTTTAGTGCGGTAGCAGCAGGTTCAGATGGAATCCCACTCACCTTCCCCCAGCTGGACAACATATCCAAGTACCAGGGGCTTGTGGAGGTGAGTGAGTCAGGATGACAGGTGGTTTAGTGCGGTAGCAGCAGGTACAGATGGAATCCCACTCACCTTCCCCCAGCTGGACAACATATCCAAGTACCAGGGGCTTGTGGAGGTGAGTGAGTCAGGATGACAGGTGGTTTAGTGCGGTAGCAGCAGGTTCAGATGGAATCCCACTCACCTTCCCCCAGCTGGACAACATATCCAAGTACCAGGGGCTCGTGGAGATGAGCAGGCAGCAGTGACGGTTACAGGCAGTCTACTGTGGTAACCAGCAGTCAGGGTAACACTAGCCCTACTTCCCGCATGCCTTTCCTTAGCTTCCATTTCTCTGCCATATCTGAATCCCGTTTGAAAATAATCTCTATTTTTCCCCCTTCGCTCCTTCATTCCAGTGCCGCCCTGACGACCCCCCTCCTCCGTGTTCCCGCTTCTAAGGCATTGCCTTTTCTAAGCTTTCGTTCGCCTGCCTGCCTCTTCTCCCCTTTCCCTCCTCCCAAGTGCCACCCTGACACCCACCCCTAACCCTAACTCTCTTCCCCCTGCCTTTTCTAAGCTTTCATTCGCTTCCCCTTTTCCCAGTGTCATCAGGTCTTAAGGCAAGAGCTCGCCTCCTTGCCCCTCCTCCCCCTTGTTTCCCCCAAACGTCACCCTGACCTCACCGCTCCTCCCTCTCTCCCCATTCCTGCCCTAAGCTTCGTCTTCCCTCCTCCCTCCCCCCCTCCTTTCCACCCCCTCAGGTCCTGAGAGAAGAGCCTGCCTGGTTGCCGCTCCTCCCCCCTCTCTCCTCCAAGCGCCACCCCGACGTTGACCCCTCCTCCCTCTCGCCCCATCTTTGTTATTTCTCCTCCGCCCTCTCCGCACCCTCCCCACCCCCGCAGGTCCTAAGGGAAGAGCTGGCCTGGTTGCCGCTCCTCCCCCCTCTCTCCTCCAAGCGCCACCCTGACCTCGAACCCTCCTCCCTCTCGCCGCGCTCAGCGCAGCGGCAGCGGCACCGGCAGCGGCGGCGGCGGCGCAGAGCGGTGCTGGTGGGTAAGGAGGTGTGCGGCATGTGGGCGAGGGACTGGGAGCGGCACTCAAGTTGGCTGCTGCAGCAGCCTGACTCGCGAGCCGCTGCTTTTATGGCCCAGGGGTGAGTATGTGTGTGTGTGGTACTGGCGCGTGTGGAGGGGTTTAGAGGGGTGGAGAGCGGTGAAGAGTGGTGCTAGTGGGTAAGACGTGTGTGGGATGTGGGCAAGGATTTGGGAGCGGCACTCGAGTTGGCTGCTGCAGCAGCCTGATTCGCGAGCCGCTGCTTTCATGACCCAGGGGTGAGTATGTGTGTTCAGGGGTAAAGAAGGGAGACGAGGAGTTGAAAAGGGCGTAGAGGGGTGAAGGGGGTGTACCGGGATCAAGAGGACTGCAGAGGGTTGAGAAGGGGTGCGGGTGTTGAGGGGTGAATGTTGCTGCTGATGCTGCTGGCGACACCCCTCTCCACCCTTCGGCATGTACTGCTGGTGCCATGCCTGGATGGATCCATCAACCAAGCAGCTTGTGAGGTACCTCAGAAGTCATCCCTCTACATCCCCCTCCATCCCTCTCCACTCGTCTCCACCCCTCCAGCATGGTTCTTCTGGGGCTGTGCCTGGAGCCATCAAGCAAGCACCATGTGGCTGCAGAGTGAGTGGGACGGGAAGTGACGGGGGGGGACGAGCAAGTGAGTGATTGAGCAACTGAGATATTCAATGGGAAGAGAGTAGGTGAATGAGTGGGTAAAGAGAGCGCTGCATGCCTTGTATATAAAATAGAAGACATGCGAGTTTGCAAGAGAGTGAATGAGGATTCTCACTCATGCCCTTCCCATTCCCTCCTCGCTCCCTTCCCCTTCCCCCCTGCCTTCCCATCCACCTCCCCTTCACCTTCCGTTCTCCCTTCAACTTTCCACCTTCCTGCTATTTTCCTCCTCCCCTCTCTACCCCCACAGGGTACCAGGCGTGCTGGTCCCCTCTTCTGACTCTGATTCTTCCAACGAGGCCGAGAGGCGTTTAGAGGGGTCGAGAGCAGTGGAGATGGGCGAGATGGAGGAGGTGGAGAGGGAGGCGAGGGAGAGAGAGGAGGCGCGGAGGTGGCTGGAGAAGGAACTGAGAGGACTCAAGGTCATGGAGAGGGAACTGAAGGCGCTGAACCAGGTGAGGAGAGTGCTGATGGCTGGTTTGGCTGTCTATGTGCGGGTGAGCGTGCTTGGCAAGGAGCTGAGAGGACTGGAGAGGACTGGAGAGGACTGAAGGTCATGGAGAGGGAGCTAAAGGCGCTGAACCAGGTGAGGAAAGTGGTGATTATTGATATCGCGTGCTCGCGGCTAGAGCCGGAACTGAGAGGGCTGAAGTGAAGGTCATGGAGAGGGACTGAAGGCTTTGAATCAGGTGAGGGGATCAAATCAAGGCATGGAACCAGCCAGGTGAGGAGATTGGTGATTGTTGATTGTCTATGTGGGAGGAGCGCTCTTGGCTGGAGAAGGAAATGAGGGGGCTGAAGGTCTTGGAGAGGGGATTGAAGGTGCTGAATCAGGCGAAGAGGATACTGATGAATGGTGCTTTTTCCCCATCAGGATTTCTTCCCAGTGGACTAGAGTAGAGCGACTAATGGGAGTGGTGGGTCAGTCACGCTCTCTCTCCCTCTTGCTCCCCTACCTTTGCTTCTTTCCCTCACTTTGCTCCCCTACCTTTGCTTCTTTCCCTCACTTTGCTCCCCTACCTTAGCTTCTTTCCCTCACTTTGCTCCCCTACCTTTGCTTCTTTCCCTCACTTTTCTCCCCTACCTTTCCCTCACTTTGCTCCCCTACCTTTGCTTCTTTCCCTCACTTTTCTCCCCTACCTTTGCTTCTTTCCCTCACTTTTCTCCCCTACCTTCGCTTCTTTCCCTCACTTTGCTCCCCTACCTTCGCTTCTTTCCCTCACTTTGCTCCCCCTCTCTGCTTTTTGTGAGGATTTCTTATCTTAGTAGAGAGGCTGATGAGAGTGGTGGTTCAGTCGCGCTCTCTAATCGCTTGTTCCTCTCCCTCTATTGCTCCTCTCCCTTTTCTTTCCTGTCAGGACTTTCTGTCTGTGGACGAGATAGTGGAGAGGCTGATGAGGGTGGTGGAAGCAGAGAGTGCTGGGCTTAAGGGAGATGCTCCCTCTCACTCACACTCTCACTCCCACTCACACTCGCGTGCACACTCACACTCTCATGCGCACTCACACTCACGTTCGGCTGCTGGGAAGGCAGCTGTGCTTGCGAGGGGTGGAGAGGACACAGCAGCAGCAAGAGAAGGGGCAGGGGAAGGAGCAGGGGAGATGGTCGAGGGAGAGAGGTCAAAGGGAGAGGGAGAAGCAGGAGAGGGAGGAAGAGGGGGTGGAGATGAAGGGATTGGGGCAAGGTCGGGAGGAGGAGATACATCTGGGCCTAAAGCAGCAGAGAAACACGCTGCACACTTGGTAGCAGCAGGGGCAGGTGGAGGAAAAAGGAAAGCAGCAGGGGCGGGGACGAGTGAGCGATTGGCGTTGGTGCGAGTGGAGTGGGAGAGGCTGGTTCGGGTGAGGGAGGAGATCAGAGCACTGGAGAGACGGCTGAAGACAAAAGCAGCTGTTCAGGAAGAGCGGGTGCGACGGCAGCAGGTGAGAGGGCAAGGGGTGAAGGCAGGAGGTGGAGCATGGAGGTAGAGGGTGAAGCACAGAGCAGGGCAAAGTGGTGGTGAGTGGCGAGGGGGTGAAAGAGAGAGCAGTGCAGATGGCGTATGCGGTTTGAGTGGGAGAGGCTGGTGCGGGTGAGGGAGGAGATGAGAGTGCTAGAGAGACGGCTGAAGACGAAAGCAGCTGTTCAGGAGGAGACGGTGCGACGACAGCAGGTGAGAGAAGAGGGGTTGAAATTCAGAGCAGGGCTCAACAGAACAGGGCACAAAAGAGCAGGTGTGAGGAGAGGGAGTGATAATGGCAGGTGAGAGAGAAGGGAGGGGGTGATGGCGGCAGCATGTGAGGAGAGAAGTTGACAGCTGTTCCCCCTCTCATGCTCATCACCCCTCTCTACCGTGTATATTTCCTTTGTAACCACTCGCTTTCCAACCAATCTCTTCTTGCGAATTTCCTTCCGATGAGTCTCTTTGTAACTTGCCTCTCTCGCATGTATCTTTCTGACTCGTCACTATTCTGGTCAGGAGGAGGTGGGGGAGAAGGTGAGCCGGCAGAGGAGGCAGGCAGCAGCACGTGAGATGGAGGAGCGGATGGAGCAGCAGCAGCAGCAGCAGCAGCAGCAGCAGCAGCAGCAGCAGCAGCAGAAGCAGCAGCAGCAGCAGCAGCAGCAGCAGCAGCAGCAGCAGCAGCAGCAGCAGAAGCAGCAGCAGCAGCAGCAGCAGCAGCAGCAGCAGCAGCAGCAGCAGCAGCAGCAGCAGCAGCAGCAGCAGCAGCAGCAGCAGCAGCAGCAGCAGCAGCAGCAGCAGCAGCAGCAGCAGCAGCAGCAGCAGCAGCAGCAGCAGCAGCAGCAGCAGCAGCAGCAGCAGCAGCAGCAGCAGCAGCAGCAGCAGCAGCAGCAGCAGCAGCAGCAGCAGCAGCAGCAGCAGCAGCAGCAGCAGCAGCAGCAGCAGCAGCAGCAGCAGCAGCAGCAGCAGCAGCAGCAGCAGCAGCAGCAGCAGCAGCAGCAGCAGCAGCAGCAGCAGCAGCAGCAGCAGCAGCAGCAGCAGCAGCAGCAGCAGCAGCAGCAGCAGCAGCAGCAGCAGCAGCAGCAGCAGCAGCAGCAGCAGCAGCAGCAGCAGCAGCAGCAGCAGCAGCAGCAGCAGCAGCAGCAGCAGCAGCAGCAGCAGCAGCAGCAGCAGCAGCAGCAGCAGCAGCAGCAGCAGCAGCAGCAGCAGCAGCAGCAAGCAGCAGCAGCAGCAGCAGCAGCAGCAGCAGCAGCAGCAGCAGCAGCAGCAGCAGCAGCAGCAGCAGCAGCAGCAGCAGCAGCAGCAGCAGCAGCAGCAGCAGCAGCAGCAGCAGCAGCAGCAGCAGCAGCAGCAGCAGCAGCAGCAGCAGCAGCAGCAGCAGCAGCAGCAGCAGCAGCAGCAGCAGCAGCAGCAGCAGCAGCAGCAGCAGCAGCAGCAGCAGCAGCAGCAGCAGCAGCAGCAGCAGCAGCAGCAGCAGCAGCAGCAGCAGCAGCAGCAGCAGCAGCAGCAGCAGCAGCAGCAGCAGCAGCAGCAGCAGCAGCAGCAGCAGCAGCAGCAGCAGCAGCAGCAGCAGCAGCAGCAGCAGCAGCAGCAGCAGCAGCAGCAGCAGCAGCAGCAGCAGCAGCAGCAGCAGCAGCAGCAGCAGCAGCAGCAGCAGCAGCAGCAGCAGCAGCAGCAGCAGCAGCAGCAGCAGCAGCAGCAGCAGCAGCAGCAGCAGCAGCAGCAGCAGCAGCAGCAGCAGCAGCAGCAGCAGCAGCAGCAGCAGCAGCAGCAGCAGCAGCAGCAGCAGCAGCAGCAGCAGCAGCAGCAGCAGCAGCAGCAGCAGCAGCAGCAGCAGCAGCAGCAGCAGCAGCAGCAGCAGCAGCAGCAGCAGCAGCAGCAGCAGCAGCAGCAGCAGCAGCAGCAGCAGCAGCAGCAGCAGCAGCAGCAGCAGCAGCAGCAGCAGCAGCAGCAGCAGCAGCAGCAGCAGCAGCAGCAGCAGCAGCAGCAGCAGCAGCAGCAGCAGCAGCAGCAGCAGCAGCAGCAGCAGCAGCAGCAGCAGCAGCAGCAGCAGCAGCAGCAGCAGCAGCAGCAGCAGCAGCAGCAGCAGCAGCAGCAGCAGCAGCAGCAGCAGCAGCAGCAGCAGCAGCAGCAGCAGCAGCAGCAGCAGCAGCAGCAGCAGCAGCAGCAGCAGCAGCAGCAGCAGCAGCAGCAGCAGCAGCAGCAGCAGCAGCAGCAGCAGCAGCAGCAGCAGCAGCAGCAGCAGCAGCAGCAGCAGCAGCAGCAGCAGCAGCAGCAGCAGCAGCAGCAGCAGCAGCAGCAGCAGCAGCAGCAGCAGCAGCAGCAGCAGCAGCAGCAGCAGCAGCAGCAGCAGCAGCAGCAGCAGCAGCAGCAGCAGCAGCAGAAGCAGCAGCAGCAGCAGCAGCAGCAGCAGCAGCAGCAGCAGCAGCAGCAGCAGCAGCAGCAGCAGCAGCAGCAGCAGCAGCAGCAGCAGCAGCAGCAGCAGCAGCAGCAGCAGCAGCAGCAGCAGCAGCAGCAGCAGCAGCAGCAGCAGCAGCAGCAGCAGCAGCAGCAGCAGCAGCAGCAGCAGCAGCAGCAGCAGCAGCAGCAGCAGCAGCAGCAGCAGCAGAAGCAGCAGCAGCAGCAGCAGCAGCAGCAGCAGCAGCAGCAGCAGCAGCAGCAGAAGCAGCAGCAGCAGCAGCAGCAGCAGCAGCAGCAGAAGCAGCAGCAGCAGCAGCAGCAGCAGCAGCAGCAGCAGCAGCAGCAGCAGCAGCAGCAGCAGCAGCAGCAGCAGCAGCAGCAGCAGCAGCAGCAGCAGCAGCAGCAGCAGCAGCAGCAGCAGCAGCAGCAGCAGCAGCAGCAGCAGCAGCAGCAGCAGCAGCGCAGCAGCAGCAGCAGCAGCAGCAGCAGCAGCAGCAGCAGCAGCAGCAGCAGCAGCAGCAGCAGCAGCAGAAGCAGCAGCAGCAGCAGCAGCAGCAGCAGCAGCAGCAGCAGCAGCAGCAGCAGCAGCAGCAGCAGCAGCAGCAGCAGCAGCAGCAGCAGCAGCAGCAGCAGCAGCAGCAGCAGCAGCAGCAGCAGCAGCAGCAGCAGCAGCAGCAGCAGCAGCAGCAGCAGCAGCAGCAGCAGCAGCAGCAGCAGCAGCAGCAGCAGCAGAAGCAGCAGCAGCAGCAGCAGCAGCAGCAGCAGCAGCAGCAGCAGCAGCAGCAGCAGCAGCAGCAGCAGCAGCAGCAGCAGCAGCAGCAGCAGCAGCAGCAGCAGCAGCAGCAGCAGCAGCAGCAGCAGCAGCAGCAGCAGCAGCAGCAGCAGCAGCAGCAGCAGCAGCAGCAGCAGCAGCAGCAGAGCAGCAGCAGCAGCAGCAGCAGCAGCAGCAGCAGCAGCAGCAGCAGCAGCAGCAGCAGCAGCAGCAGCAGCAGCAGCAGCAGCAGCAGCAGCAGCAGCAGCAGCAGCAGCAGCAGCAGCAGCAGCAGCAGCAGCAGCAGCAGCAGCAGCAGCAGCAGCAGCAGCAGCAGCAGCAGCAGCAGCAGCAGCAGCAGCAGCAGCAGCAGCAGCAGCAGCAGCAGCAGCAGCAGCAGCAGCAGCAGCAGCAGCAGCAGCAGCAGCAGCAGCAGCAGCAGCAGCAGCAGCAGCAGCAGCAGCAGCAGCAGCAGCAGCAGCAGCAGCAGCAGCAGCAGCAGCAGCAGCAGCAGCAGCAGCAGCAGCAGCAGCAGCAGCAGCAGCAGCAGCAGCAGCAGCAGCAGCAGCAGCAGCAGCAGCAGCAGCAGCAGCAGCAGCAGCAGCAGCAGCAGCAGCAGCAGCAGCAGCAGCAGCAGCAGCAGCAGCAGCAGCAGCAGCAGCAGCAGCAGCAGCAGCAGCAGCAGCAGCAGCAGCAGCAGCAGCAGCAGCAGCAGCAGCAGCAGCAGCAGCAGCAGCAGCAGCAGCAGCAGCAGCAGCAGCAGCAGCAGCAGCAGCAGCAGCAGCAGCAGCAGCAGCAGCAGCAGCAGCAGCAGCAGCAGCAGCAGCAGCAGCAGCAGCAGCAGCAGCAGCAGCAGCAGCAGCAGCAGCAGCAGCAGCAGCAGCAGCAGCAGCAGCAGCAGCAGCAGCAGCAGCAGCAGCAGCAGCAGCAGCAGCAGCAGCAGCAGCAGCAGCAGCAGCAGCAGCAGCAGCAGAAGCAGCAGCAGCAGCAGCAGCAGCAGCAGCAGCAGCAGCAGCAGCAGCAGCAGCAGCAGCAGCAGCAGCAGCAGCAGCAGCAGCAGCAGCAGCAGCAGCAGCAGCAGCAGCAGCAGCAGCAGCAGCAGCAGCAGCAGCAGCAGCAGCAGCAGCAGCAGCAGCAGCAGCAGCAGCAGCAGCAGCGCAGCAGCAGCAGCAGCAGCAGCAGCAGCAGCAGCAGCAGCAGCAGCAGCAGCAGCAGCAGCAGCAGCAGCAGCAGCAGCAGCAGCAGCAGCAGCAGCAGCAGCAGCAGCAGCAGCAGCAGCAGCAGCAGCAGCAGCAGCAGCAGCAGCAGCAGCAGCAGCAGCAGCAGCAGCAGCAGCAGCAGCAGCAGCAGCAGCAGCAGCAGCAGCAGCAGCAGCAGCAGCAGCAGCAGCAGCAGCAGCAGCAGCAGCAGCAGCAGCAGCAGCAGCAGCAGCAGCAGCAGCAGCAGCAGCAGCAGCAGCAGCAGCAGCAGCAGCAGCAGCAGCAGCAGCAGCAGCAGCAGCAGCAGCAGCAGCAGCAGCAGCAGCAGCAGCAGCAGCAGCAGCAGCAGCAGCAGCAGCAGCAGCAGCAGCAGCAGCAGCAGCAGCAGCAGCAGCAGCAGCAGCAGCAGCAGCAGCAGCAGCAGCAGCAGCAGCAGCAGCAGCAGCAGCAGCAGCAGCAGCAGCAGCAGCAGCAGCAGCAGCAGCAGCAGCAGCAGCAGCAGCAGCAGCAGCAGCAGCAGCAGCAGCAGCAGCAGCAGCAGCAGCAGCAGCAGCAGCAGCAGCAGCAGCAGCAGCAGCAGCAGCAGCAGCCACAGCAGCAGCAGCAGCAGCAGCAGCAGCAGCAGCAGCAGCAGCAGCAGCACAGCAGCAGCAGCAGCAGCAGCAGCAGCAGCAGCAGCAGCAGCAGCAGCAGCAGCAGCAGCAGCAGCAGCAGCAGCAGCAGCAGCAGCAGCAGCAGCAGCAGCAGCAGCAGCAGCAGCAGCAGCAGCAGCAGAAGCAGCAGCAGCAGCAGCAGCAGCAGCAGCAGCAGCAGCAGCAGCAGCAGCAGCAGCAGCAGCAGCAGCAGCAGCAGCAGCAGCAGCAGCAGCAGCAGCAGCAGCAGCAGCAGCAGCAGCAGCAGCAGCAGCAGCAGCAGAAGCAGCAGCAGCAGCAGCAGCAGCAGCAGCAGCAGCAGCAGCAGCAGCAGCAGCAGCAGCAGCAGCAGCAGCAGCAGCAGCAGCAGCAGAAGCAGCAGCAGCAGCAGCAGCAGCAGCAGCAGCAGCAGCAGCAGCAGCAGCAGCAGCAGCAGCAGCAGCAGCAGCAGCAGCAGCAGCAGCAGCAGCAGCAGCAGCAGCAGCAGCAGCAGCAGCAGCAGCAGCAGCAGCAGCAGCAGCAGCAGCAGCAGCAGCAGCAGCAGCAGCAGCAGCAGCAGCAGCAGCAGCAGCAGCAGCAGCAGCAGCAGCAGCAGCAGCAGCAGCAGCAGCAGCAGCAGCAGCAGCAGCAGCAGCAGCAGCAGCAGCAGCAGCAGCAGCAGCAGCAGCAGCAGCAGCAGCAGCAGCAGCAGCAGCAGCAGCAGCAGCAGCAGCAGCAGCAGCAGCAGCAGCAGCAGCAGCAGCAGCAGCAGCAGCAGCAGCAGCAGCAGCAGCAGCAGCACCCGAGGAGTCATAGCATGGGGTCTGCAAGAAACGTGAAACGCTCATCTCGTGTTTATGGATGCATACATGCATGGATGTACGTACATACAAGAAGTGTTTTTCACCCCTACAAATCCTCTCCCGCACCTCCCCCCCTTCCCCGTCTCAGTTTCCTGGGCACACTCGGTGATTTCTTCTCCTTCTCTCCCTCCCCCAATCCTTCTAACTCCAACGCCAACGCCAACACCAGCACCACTACCAGCAGCACCACCACCACTGACACCACAGCCACTATCGCCTCTATAGTTGGTGGTGCTTATGATGACCCTCCCGCTCCCCACTACTCCTCCCTCCACAAGAGCCAATCGTCTCACGACACGTCAGCGCTCGCTGACTCACCCTTCCCCTCCTACCTCACCTCCGCCTTCCTCTCTACCAACCCTCCCGCTCCCTCTGCTGCCGCCACTGCTGCCGCTCCCTCTGCTGCCGCCACTGCTGCTGCTGCCCCTGCCGCCCCAGCCGCCCGCTCCGGCCGCAGTTTTTTCTTCCAGCTGCCCGGACAAGCTGCCCGGGAAGACTCATCGCTTCTTTCCAGAGCGGAGGAGGATGCAGATGGGGAGGAGGAGCGGGGGGACGGTAGCAGAAGCAGGGGAGGGAGCACAGAGGCGCGAGGTGTAGCAGAGAGAAGGGGAAGGTTGGAAGAGATGGAGAGGGATATAAGTGGGTCGTGCGTGCAGGGAACGCGGGCGGAGTATGATGACGATGATTTCTCTCCCTTCCAATCGTGCACGCCCACGTCAGCACAAGCAGCGGCTGTTACTGCTAGCGGTGGTGCTGCTGCTGCTAACAGCAGCGAGCCAGGCAAAAGAGATGGAACTGCTGGGCCTGGGAGGGCTGCAGCGACACAGACACAGACACAGACACAGGCACAGGCGCAGCAGAAGCAAAGAGAGGCACAGGGACAATCGCAGTTACAAGGGCAGGTAGTAGGGGAGGGAGGGGGTGGAACGAAGATAGGACCGGGAGACCAGGGAGAGGAGGAGAGGAGGAGTGAAACACAGGATGCCAACAGCTCGTGGGCATTCAGGGAGGAGTTCTTTGATGGGCATGCATGGACAGGTGCGGCAGATGCAGATGCAGGGGCGGGGTACGGGTATGGGGCTGGGGATGGGAGGCATGCGGCAGCGACCATGGGAGGGCTGGGAGCAGAGGCGAGTAGGCTGCAGCAGCTGAAGGTGGAGTTAAGGGAGCTCGAGGCGAGACTGCTGCGGAGAGGTGCTGACATTGGTGCCGGTGCTGGTGCTGGTGCTGGTGTTGGTGTTGGTGCTCTTGCTGGTAGGGAAGCAAAGGTGGGTGGCGGTGGTAGTGGTGGCGGTCCTGCCACTTCTGCTGCTCCTACTGCTGCCGGTGCTGCTGCTGGTGCTGCTGCTGGCACGTCAGCAGCAGCATCTCCCTCCATGGAGCGGGAGACGCCCACCCAAACGTCCCCTCCCAAGGCACCGTCCATCTTCGACCGCCTCTTTGACTCCTCCTCCTGGACCCTCCCCTCCTCTGCCTCCTCCTCCTCCGCTGCTGCTGGGGGTGGTTCTGCTGCTGCTGCTGCTGCTGCTGCCGCTGCTGCTGGTGGTGTTGCTCCTGCTGGTGCCGCTGCTGGTGGTGGTGCTGCAGCTGCTGCCGCTCCTGGTGACACATGGAGTGTGGGAGGGGGGAGGGGAGGACGGGACGGCAGCAGCAGTGGGGGGTTGGACGAGTGGGAGGGGAGTGATGTGACGAGCCGGGCAGGGGAGGGGGAGAGGCAGGAGAAGAGCGTTATTGACCAATCGCTGGAGCACATTCGAGAAGGCGGAGCGGTAAGAATGGGTTGGAGGGGGTGGGAAAGCGGTTGAGAGCTGTTGAGGGTGTTGAGAGGGGAAGGGGCAGCAGAAGAGCGGGTTGACCATTTTCTGGAGCTCATTCGAGAAGGCGGAGCAGTAAGGATGGGTTGGAGGGGTTGAGAGGGGAAGGGACAGGAAAAGAGCGTGATTGACCAGTCTCTGGAGCACATTCGAGAAGGCGGGGCGGTAAGGATGGGAGAGCGGTTGAGAGGGGTTGCAAGTGGTTGAGAGAGGGAGAGGCAGGAGAAGAGCGTTTTGTTACCAGTCCCTGGAGCACATTCGAGAAGGCGGAGCGGTAATAGTGGGTTGGAGGGGATGGGAGAGCGGTTGAGAGCGGTTGCAAGTGGTTGCGAGGGGGAGAGGCAGGAGAAGAGCGTGATTTACCAGTCTCGAACACATTCGAGAAGACGGAGCGGTAAGAAAGGGTTGGAGGGGTGGGAGAGTGGTTGAGTGCGGTTGAGGGTGTTGAGAGGGGAAGGGGCAGGAGAAGAGCGTGATTGACCAGTCTCTGGAGCACATTCGAGAAGGTGGAGCTGTAAGAAGGGGTTGGAGGGGTGGGAGAGCGGTTGAGTGCGGTTGAGGGTGGTTGAGAGGGGGAGAGGCAGGAGAAGAGTGTATTGACCAGTCCCTGGAGCACATTCGAGAAGGCGGAGCGGTAAGAGTGGGTTGGAGGGGGTGGGAGAGCTGTTGAGAGCGGTTAGGAGGGGGAAGGAAGGAGTAGAGCGTTATTTAGCAGCTGCTAGTGCAGATTACAGACAAGGGGGTGGATGGAATGACTGTGGGGTGGGGATGGGAGAGAGGGGGTAGGCGAGATGTGGCGAGACACGCAGCAGCACTCACTGCTTCCTCTCTTTAGCCATTCTCTTCCCTCCCGTCCCCACCTTCCCCCTCATCAGGACGCGTGGCGTGGCACGCAGCTGCTGAGCACAGACGTGGCAGTGGCAATGAAGATGCTGCAGCGGGCAGCGCTCGGGCAGCCCCTGACTGACCGGGAGGCGAAAGTTTTGAAGCGCACGCTGACTGACGTTGCATCGGTGATTCCCATCGGCGTGCTCATGCTCATCCCGGTGCGTGTCGCTCTCTCTCTCCTTCACATCCCTAGTCCCCATGCTCCTCCCCTCTTCCCAAGTGTTGCTCCTCTCTTCACTCCACTCTGAAGCGCACGCTGACAAATGTGGCGCCGGTGATCCCCATCGGCGTCCTCATGCTCATCCCGGTGGGTGCTTCTCTCAAGCGGTCCTTGTGTAGATGGACAGCTGGGCACATCAACGCCAGTAGCTGGTGTGTGCCTCTCTCTCAAATGGCTCTGAAGCGCACGCTGACAGACGTGGCGTCGGTGATCCCCATCGGCGTGCTCATGCTCATCCCGGTGCGGGCCGCTCTCTAGCATGCACTTGAGCTCTGATAGCATGGGTGTGAGCTGTGCTAGTAGCATGTCTGTGCTAGTAGCTGTTCCACCCCCTCCCTTCTCACCTCCCCCAGATGACGCCTGTGGGACACTCAGCAGTGCTAACAGCCATCCGGCAATAAATCGCCAACCCTCTGCCCGCTCTCTCCCATCCTCCCACTCTCCAATCCACACCCCTCTCCTCTTCCCACCTCCCCATCTCCCACCTCCCCCAGATGACGCCTGTGGGGCATGCAGCAGTACTAGCAGCCATTCAGAGATACGCCCCTCACCTAGTGAGTTCCTGCTTCCACTCCATAGTGATTCCACTCCGCACCTCACAGGCCTATCACCCCGTCCGCTCACCACCCTTTTCCTTTTTCGTGAAGCCCCACCTCCCTTTCCTCACTCTGACTCTACACTTCGCCTCCCACCCTGGGTGCGACACAACCTCTTCTCCTCCTGCCCTGTGTGGGTAGTGAAGCCTCCCCACCGCCTCCTCTCCCCTGGCCCTGCCTGTTGTGCCCCTGGCCCGCACATCGTAGGACCCCACGTCCCTCCTCTCTTCCACCAAACGGACTGAATCCACGTCCATTGTCTCCTTCTGCGAGCCACTTTCGAGTCCCCCAGGAGTTCTTCCTTCCTCTCTCTCCCTTCATCTCTCTCTCCCCTCTCTCCCCTTCCCTTTTTTCTCGCCCCTCATCAGTTCCCCAGCTCATACAACGAGGATCGCCTTGATGCAGCCCGCCGCCTCGAGCAGGTAGGTAACGCCTGGAGCAGGTAACAACTGGAGCAGGTAACAACTGGAGCAGGTAGCAACTGGAGCAGGTAACGCCTGGAGCAGGTAACGCCTGGAGCAGGTAACAACTGGAGCAGGTAACAACTGGAGAAGGAAACAACCAGAGCAGGTAGCAACTGGAGCAGGTAACAACTGGAAAATGTAGCGACTGGAGCAGGTAAGCAGGTAACACCTGGAGCAGGTAATACCTGGAGGAGGGAACACCTGGAGCAGGTAATACCTGGAGCAGCCAACACCTGGAGCAGGTAACGCCGGGACTAGGCAACTCCTCATCTCATCCCCATTACTGCCTCCTCTCTCTCCCCCACCCCTCCATCCAGGTGCGCTCATTCGCTTCTCTCCGCAACGCAGCAGCAGCAGCTGCCGCCACCGCCACCGCATCCTCCTCCCACTCCCCATCTCGTGCCGCGACACCTGGCGGCACCGGATTGGCTGGGATGATCTCCGCTGCTGTCGCTGGTGCTACGAATGCCGGCAGTGCTGCTGCCGGCAGGTCACCCCATGCCGTTCCTCCTCTGTCTGCCTCTGCTGCTGCGGCAATTTTGGCGCGAGAAGCGCAACCGGAAGCCATAGTTCGGGTGCCGAAACAGCCTGAAGAGGTTGAGTCGCCTCCAGGCACACCGCCGAATGAGGTGGAGCTTAATGATGGGGAGGAGGGGCAGGCTATGAAGGTAATGAAGCGGACTGCTGCACTTGATGCAGAGTGTTCACTTCAGCAGCTTGATTAATTCTGTGGTACATTTTACCAATTTTGTTGGCTGTCATGTGATTTTTTTTCCCCTGTATTGGTTTCAAGGCATACTGGGAAATCACTTGAATATACCAGTGCTGCAAGTAATGAAGCACATTGCTGCACGTGAGGCACAATGCTTACATCGACAATATCATAATTTTTGTGGTACGTGTAACCGCATTGTATCTCACTGCCATCACAACCAGGTAGTGTTATGTGTGGTACATTGAATTGAAAACCAGTTATAATATAATACTCGGCATGAATTTAAACTTGTGTAAGGGACGTTGTTGCCAAATTGTTTCTGGTAAGCATAAGCTGCAGCTTATACAGATTCCGTGAATTAATCCTCCCCGTTCACCACCAACAAAATATCCACGAACCATCGTCACATGAAATGTATCTGCGATGAACAGCAACCACACAGATGCCCAGGATTTCCGGTCGGAATCGTGAAGCCTATTCGCTGCTGCCCACGATCTGCATGCGTGTCAGGTTTAGCAGTTCTCATTACACGACAGAGTTGTGGTGGTAGTGAAGGATGAGGCAAATCTGCACCACAATTGGTTTCTCGACCAGCTGTCTGCTCCGTCTGAAATTACATGGAGGTTTCTCAGCTTGAGTGTTTCGTCCGATGTGTTTGGCTTGAGCGGTAGAATGAAATGAAAATGGCTAAATAATTTCGCAAGTATAACAAAAGTGTAGCAGGAAAATACACAGTTTTGGTGTTCGCTCGTTATACACCGGGCTCTCTCGGGCACTATGATATCCGCAACTTCCTTTCAGAAACAAATTGAGATGTAGATGGAACCAACGGCTTGTTGGGGCACTCCTAATGTTTCAGCACGAATGTACAGTAAATGGGCAGACAGAGGAGACGACGCGTCTTGCGATGCTCCACCACCTCCTAATCAATCACGTACGACACCACTTGCCATTTTGTTGTAGGACCCCCATGTCTGTTTCGTAGCCCACCGCTCCACTGAATCTTCTGCCGTATGTGCCTTCTTTCCTGAAATGGACTCTCTCTGACGACAATCACCCATGCCTTTTGAAATTTTTGGTCCAAGTTGGTTCATGACATCGGTTTCCTTACGTTGCCATCTCTGGATTTCCGGGACTGATTGGTATGTAACGCAAGTGATACTTCGACACGGTTCAATACGTTTAAAAAAGGTTTGTACGCGGCCCTAGTGTCAAAATGATAAACCTTTTAATCAACTCCGAACAAAAGGTGCCCACGCGTAAAAGCCGGGAACAAAAGGAGTGTGTGGCCGTTCCATCCATTGTTGGATACTGTAATCCATTGCTGGAAGCTTGACGTGGTTTCTCGCAGAACCCCAAGCAGCATGCGGCCAGGCATGATAGTGGTGGTGACCCGTTCGATTAGTAAATTGGTAAATGGTGATGAAAAAACTGCGAAACCTCGTGCGCTCCAGCCTCATTATCCACTCTGTCGGTTGCCCTGTTTTCCACAAACCTGCCCCTTCTGTACTCGCATTTTTGCCTCTCTCAAATTCTCATTCAGCGTTATCCAAACCTTGAAGCATATAATGTTTAATGTTGGCTTGAGTCTTTGTTCCCTCCCTCAACACCTAAATGCAACATCCTTCCGTTCCATCCTAACTGTCCTTCATCCCACACCATTTTCTTGAATATCAGATGCTCGAAGACCGTAGCTCAGTTGAAGGAATGCAGCCACCGTGTGCGACAGGAGGCGGTCTCGCTTCGCCCAACGCCTTTTCTTCGATCAAGCGCTTCGCGAATTGCACTGGGTGGGTCGAGCATGGGCCTTTCTTAGGACTCGTGCACAGGGACAGCCCCCAAGCTCCGCAGTCAAGCTCGACACGTCACAGGCGGTCTGCTTCGACGTCGTGTCTCTCCTTTCCCTCCACCGCATTCACCGCTTCGCTCGCCGCTGTTTCACCCCTTCATTCGCCGGGAAGCAGATCGCCTTTCCAACCGACAACGCGCCAATCCTCTACCACACCACGTGGCCCCACGGCCCTCTGCGTGTCAGCTTTCGCGTCAATGTCGCAATGTGCTGACGAGACTATAGCGCAGCCTGATTGCGGCAGCGCCATGGCATTCGGTCAGTTTCCTCCCCGCCTCCACGCGACCAATGCGGAAATCGACGAGTTTTGTGCGACGCTCCGTCCGGCTGTGCTCTCCGTCGCTCGTCGACGCCACCGTCGCACGCCGTCGGATTCAAGCCTTCTTGGTGCATCCTATTGTGCGAGCGCTCTCCAGTCTCGCATTGTCGATGAATCTGTCCCGCAGTCTGTGTTGACTGGGTTGGCCGAGTCAACGCGATCAAGCGACTCGACGGAGTCGCAGAGGTTGACCGAGTCAACGGTCGTGACGCTGACTGAAACGACAACGAAGCCGCAATTCGGCGCGTCGCAGCACCTTCCCTCCTCTCCAGCGGTGCAAGCTGACACCAAAGACTTCCCTTCCCCGAAGCCTCAATTCATTCCAAAGCCAGCGCAGCCGATGCCCGCACAACTTCCGCAGCCACCGCAGCCGTCCACTGAAGCGCAAGAAATCACGCGCCCATTCCCACCGTCACATCTGGTAGAGCACGGAAGTCATGCGCAGGCGACGACTCAACCCACGGGTGCAGCAAACCGCGGCGTCTGGGGAGTGTCAAATGGCGCACCGCGTGTCTTCCTGCCTGCCGCGTCGCACAGTCGCAACAGCAGCGGAGAGAGCAGCGAGTGGGGGGAAGCGGCGGGTGGGGAGGACTTGGCGGAGCAATACGAACTGATGCGCGCTTCCTCGTCTTTTGACGACGCGCGGGCTTCGGCTGAGCTGGCATGCGATCCGAAGTGGATGGACGCGGCGCGGTGTAGAATCAGCGAAGCGGCTTTGCGCGTGGTGGAGACGCAGCAGGTGTTGATGGCGCTGGATGAGGATACGCGATATAGCAACCGCGATAATCGGGGTTTCCGCTCGAGTTTCTCATACGATCATCTATCCACCTCAGCATCTGCTACTTCCCACAGTGGTTTAAGAGTATCGTTAGATTCATCAGCAACAGGGCCGTCGTTCAATTGGAGTCACCGCTGGTTCGCGTCGAAACAAGCAACACCTCCACCATCGTCTCACATCTCGACCGCTGATTGGAACGACATCGACGCTACTAATGAGAGCGGTTTTCCGTACCGATACACCGCCCCCGCTGCAGCACTGTCAGCCGGTGCTCAACTGGAGAGGGGTGACAATAACCGGATGAGCAAGTCCCTGGAGCGGCGTGAAATCTGCAAGCACAGATCGTACCAGGAGCCGCCAACTGTAGCGGTTCAGGCGCAAGCCTCCCCTAGCGCCATGCGCCGGAATATGTCCTTCCGCCAGCTGTCTTCCGCGTGGCACCGGAAAGACGGATCCGCGTCATCGACTCCGCGAGCCACCGCCAGTGACGGTTTTGGGACCCCCGAGTGCACTACACCCAGTCATCCAGCTAGACCAAAGCCATTCTTTCCTAGAATTCGGGAATCCAAATCAGTGGCGAATTTTGCCATGATGAGTGACAACCTACGCGCTATAAGCAGCAGTGACAGCCCTTGCAGCAGCTTCAACAGCCCTACACCCAGCAGCAGCAGCAGCTACAGCTTCAACAAATACAGCCCCAGCAGCAGCAACGGCAGGGAGGTGAAGGAGAGCGAGAGCACGGAGAGGAGCAAGGGGGGTAGGAGTAAAGCAATGGCAGCGATGGTGCCGGTGGTACCAAAGCAATCCCTTAGGCGCACGCTGAGCAGTGCTAAGGAGAGGCTGCAGCTCCTGGGAATCAGCAAGGGGAAGTGAAGCAGCCAAATTGGCTGGTGGCTGCAGATTCAGCAACATGACATCCTCACATTTCTTCGTCACGGTGCTCACATGGGAACAGTCGCATGCAATTCCCAAACTCTCTTTGGCTTGTTGTAACTGCTGCAGTGTTGATTTCATATTATGTGCAGCTGCTGCAAATGCATGACAATCCTAGCTCAGCGATGGCATCATAAGCATCTGCTGCTGTCATGGCCACAAGACCACCACACACGCAGCCATGGGTTGGCTTACCCACGCGCATGCTTGAAACATATTCTCCAGGAAAGACGCCCAGCTAGAGATAACCTGATGAGCAACTTTCCACAAAGTCACCATTTGAAAACCCCCACCTACGGTACTGTATGTTTTGCACAAAAGAAATATACGACACTAGAGGTTTCTTCTCCCTGGCCCTCCCGTGTTGTCTGGTAGCATGGTAAAGATACGGTATGGTGTGGACCTAGCACACCTTACTATAATTTAACAATACAAACATGTGTCTAGACTCTACAGTATTTGTAAGACGGACACACATGCAGTGTATGTACACGGTACTGTAGGCGTGGTGACTTTATTAGTGACCTGATGTCGGGAGGTGCATGGGATGGCAAGGCCGTCGCAGCTGTACGCTTGCTCTGTTATCATAAAGAGTGCACGTGAATAGCATGCGGGCGCAGATCGCGCAGATCTACTGCCTAGGAGTATGATAGCTGTGTTGGAGGCAGGGAGGGGTATCATGGTGGGCGTGATTGCACGATGCTGCCTGCAGTGCGACAAAAGCAGAGGGTACGGGCACGATACTGATCGAGCTTTGGCAACGGGCTTGCACACACCAGGCACAAGATGGACAAGAGCAGGTCGACATGCAAGCAGACAAACAGGAGTGCAGGCAGCCATGATAACAGGCACAGGCGCGGGCACAGGCACAGGCACGGGCACGGGCACGGGCACGGGCACGGGCACAGGGACAGAAAACGAACTGTGGACCTTGTTGCAAGTCGTGTGTAGGCAAACAGGGGATCAAATCATACGGACTCCGCAGCCAGGCTGAGCAGGAACGAGGACACCTCGTGCTGCAGCCACACGTTCTCCTCTCGGGATAGGTTTTCGCCGAAGTCAAGCTGCTTGCCGTCTGCTGCTGCGACTCGGCAGAAATACGTCATGTTGAACAACCGCACCTGAACGGAGGGGAGAGGGGGAGGAGAGAGGGGGGGAAGCGCGGAGTGGGGGAAGGTTCGGGGTCGGGGATACGTCCGGGAAACTTACGGCATGGAGGTCGCGAGCCTCACCACATTGCACAACAAGTCCTTCCACAAGGCTCGTGAAGTGAGGGCAGAGGTGAGCAGCGAGGAATTTACCATTTTGGAGAGGGAAACACGAACGATGGATGCGGTGGGGATGGTGGTGTTGATTGTCCATCCTAACACCCCTCAGCACCGCTCAACACACCTCAAAAACACCCCTCACTCTGAGTGCTGTCACATGAGTGTACCAGTTTGCAGAGGGAAACTCGAGCGATCAACGTGGTGGAGACGGTGGTGTGGATGGTCCACTCCAACACCCCTCAGCACCCCTCTCCACTCCTCGCAAGGCTCACAGTGTGCACTGACCCCCAGTCACCTTCTGCTCACCCGAGGAGTTTACCATTTTGCAGTGGGAGACTCGTATGATGGATGCGGTGGGGATGGTCCACCTAAACACCCCTTCACACTCCTCAGCACCACTCAACACCCCAGGCATTTACCATTTTGCAGTGGGAGACTCGAACGATGGATGTGGTGGGGATGGCGGTGTGGATGGTCCAGCCGAACAGCTGCCACGTGTGCAGCAGCTGTGAGCCGTTGATTCGCATCGTGCGCATCACAAAGGCTGAGCACACACACACGATTGCCATGCTGACGTGGATGGGACGGGGGGGATGGGGAGGAAGGAGGGGGGCCGGACCCTTTAGAAGGGTTCTTCCAAAAGCACCATAAATGCTGCACTGCACACACGCTCGGGATTGCCAATAAGAGGTGAGGGCGGGAAGAGAGGGGCGGAGAGGAGGGAGGGTAGGGCGGGGAGGGAGGGGAGGATGGGGAGGGAGGGGAGGAGAGTGAAAATCGTTTCACGGTGCAGCATTGCGCACTGTGACAGCTGCACCAACGCTCGGGACTGCCATGCCGACGTGGGTGGAGAGTGAGGAGGGGGGGAGCAGAGGGGGATGCGGGGGGAGTGGGAAGGAATGACAGAGGGATGTGGGCAAGGGGCGGTATGCGAATGGAAACCAGGGGCACAGATGGATCATGGATGCACACACCGCTCCGCACCGCACTGCTCATCGGTCCCATCGCTCAAAACCCCTCATCAAGAGTCAACACTCCACATCCCTCATCACCCTTCCACACCCCTCTCATTCCGCATAAGGATCACCATCTTCTCCCAAGGCACAGTGTGCAGAGAACAGAGGCAGTTTGCATGAATTGTGGATGGGGTTCTCGAAATATTCTTCCCACACCCCTCAACACCTCTCAACACTCCCCGAATCTCTCACCACCCATCACAACTCCTCTGATGTCTCACAGTGTGCAGAGAGCGGAGGCAACAGGCACGATGGGCGGAAGGGGTTGCTGCTGCCCTGGGGGTCCACACCACACACACACACCACACCGCTCCTGAAGCACAGCACCCCTAAGCACCCCTCAACAGTCCTCCCAAGGCTCACAGTGTGCAGATAGCAGAGGCGACAGGGATGATGGGCGGAAGGGGTGGCCGCTCCCTCGTCCCCTCGCCATCATCCAGCATCAGAGCCATCAACAATAACACCAGCGCACAGCAAAGACAATACTGCGCAGTGATGAGATGAGAGACAGGAGATGGGAGATGAGACGGGAGAAGGGCATGGTAAATATATTTTCAGCTGTTTTTTTTAATATTTTGTTGAAAATGAGGGTAAAACACACACACACACACACACACACACACACACACACACACACACACACAAACACACACACACACACACACACACAAACACACACACACACACACACACACACACACACACACACACACACACACACACACACACACACACACACAGCGGCAACCGCACCAACGGAAGCGACATGAGAGACAAAAACTGTGCAGCGATGTGCAGTAGGAGATGAGAGGAAGGCTTTGGCTCTATTTGGAGAAGAGAAGGAAGACAGTCGCTGGTAGTAGCGTACAAGGTGGCAAGTGGAGAGTTGATGCTTGAGGGATGAGAAGTTCTGTGTGAGAGGGCTATTTTCTGAGGCGCCTCAACTCCCTCAAAATATACGAGCAGCCCCGTGAGAGGGACAAACTCCCTCCGGTGTTTAAAAAGCACATGCGAGAACAAGTGTGCTTTTAGGCATCTAGAAATCGCACCCATATCACCCCCGTCGCTGCCGCCACACCCATCGCCCCCCATCGCCCCCACCACAGGCGCCACATCCATCGCCCCCATCGGCAGTACCATGAAGCCAGCTAGCACCCACTGCACCCATCGCCCACCGCACCCACCGCCCACTGCACCCACTGCCCATACCATGAAGCCGAGCGCTGCTCTGGCCGGATGGACGGGCGGCAGGTGGATGAAGAGAGCGGAGCTGGTCCTCTCCAGTAGCTTGTTGGGGGGGGGAGAGGCGAGAGAGAGGGGTGGAGGGGGAATGGGGAAAAGGGAGTTAGCCCACTGGAAGGGGGAGGCAGGAAGGTGGGATTCGGCGCACTGGAGGGGCGGCAAGCGGATGAACAGGCGGAAGCTGGTCCTCTCAAGCGGGTGAGGGGCGGAAGGGAGGGGGAAGGGGGATTGACGCACGGGGGAAAGGCGTGAGGCAAGGCGGAAAGGGGGATTAGCCCAGCGCAGGGGCAGGCGGATGAACACGTGGGAGCTGGTCCTTTCGAGCAGCTGGGGGAGAGGCGAGGGGACGGGAGGGGCAAGGGGAGGGGCAAGGGGAGGGGCAAGGGAAGGGGCATGGGGGAGGGGCAAGGGGGAGAGGCAAGGGTAGGGGAGGGGAGGGGCAAGGGGAGGGGCAAGGGGAGGGGCATGGTGTTGGAAGTGGACACTGGAATGGCCCAAAGTGGTCTCTCTAAGGGCTACAGGTGTTGTCCTGGGGGGTATGGGTGCGCTGACCCACCAAAGAAACATGCCCTTTTATCCCAGTTGGTTAGCGGACTGGAATGCTATCCCTGCACATGGGGGAGGGGCAATGGGGAGGGGCAACGGGAGAGGCAAGGGGGAGGGGCAAGGGGGAGGGGCATGGTTGAGGGGCAAGGGGGAGGGGCAAGGGGGAGGCAGGCGGATGAAGAGGGGCAAGCAAGGGGGAGCTGGTCCGCGTCAGCAGTTGGGGGAAAGGGGGGAGCGGTTAAGATTACCACCGTATGCCAGCAAGTCTACAGGTTGGTCTAAAGGATTGACATTAGAACGACATTCAACAACCGGCCATTGAAACGTCCGTTGACCACATTCTCCTCCCCCTCCCACCCCCACCCACCCCCACCCCCGCTTCCCCCCGCCCCCCCCCCTTTCCCCCACCCTGTCCCTATCCCCTTTGCCCGCCCATGGGCGCACCACGTGCGTGCCAGCGGGCACACCATCGCTCAGCGGGTGCGACGCCTCCATCAACGGCGTCTCCATCTCCCCCGCATGACGCCGCGATTTGCGCCGACTTTGGTGCTGAGGAGTTAGGCCCCGGCGCCGCAACCGCCGCCGCATGCGGAGGAGCGAGCACTATGGAAAAGGGGGCGGCGACTGAATTTGATTGCCAGTCTGCCTGATTGCGACCGGCGGGCGCTGCGGCTTGCTCGGTTTCCGCGGGCCGCAGCCCGGGGGGGGGGGGGGGGGATGCAGCGGGACTTGCTAATTCCGCCATTGCCACTGAAGAGGGGTGCGGAGATTGCGCGGTGGGAAACGCGGTAAAGCTTATAAATTAGGTGGAATGGATGGAACAGGGCTGTGGGTGAACTGAAAAGAAGGCTGCAAGGCACGAGAGGCCGTGGCGAAAAAAGGAAATGGGAATAAATTAAGGAATGGAAGAATTGGAAAACCAAATAGTGTGCATAAATCAAAGTTGTTGGGTGAAGAGGGGGGAGGGAGGTGGGGTGGTGGAGGTGGGGGGAAAGGTTTGTTGGAAGGCAAGGGGAGTGCACAGAGGAAATCCACGCGACCGGGGCTGAAATAGAAGGACCCGGACCTTCTTGACTTTCGTATCACTGTGATATTAACAGCGCCACTACTGTGCTCTCAACAGAGAAGTGGTTTTTTACAGTGAGCAATTTCGTAAATAAGCAGCACGTGGCTAGATAAATCTGCAATTAGTTAGAAACTCATATGCAGTCATAAGCCCACCCATCCCACTTCCCCACAGCACGTTCCCACTAAAATCACTGTTGGGATAAGTTGAAGCCCCAGGTCTCTATTGCAATAATCATCACATCACAAATCACACATCGCTCAGCAAAGCACGCATCAATTTCGACCCTCGTATACCATTACAACCTCCCAGGGAGCAAGGTATGTGTTTGGTTGGATATATCCTATACCCAATGATTTATAATGAAAGCTGCTGTCAGCACAGCCACAAAGAGCGCCATGCAGCCATGAAGTGTGTACCATACTTGCAACAGATTCTCCAGGAAAGATGCCCAGCAAGGCATGTACCCCTGATGATCTATCTCCCACAATCGCATTTGGTTCGGACCCCCTATGTTAGCCAAAAAAAAAGAAAAAAAAAGAGCATGCCACCACTACAACAGATGTTTCCACTCTGGCCCTCCCTGGTCCTCTCTAGTAGCATGGGATTGTGTTTGCAGCAAGACAGCGCATGCAAGGCACGTCGTTCAGATAACCGGTGTGTTGTGTGGGTGGCAGGCTGCTGTGGTCACATGTGCGTCGAAGACTTGAAGCTTCTCTGCAATATCATGAAATCATTCCAGGTCTGGACTGGACCCGGCTGGCATACTCTCGTTCGTAATTTACAGTACAAACAGGTATTTGTTGAACGGATACACATGCGACATTTGTACACGGTTGGTGTGGATGTGTCAATGGAGGGAGGGAGGCATGGATATGGCAGCTGCAGACACGCCGTTTAAGGCATGATGGTGCTGCCTGCTGTGTGGCACGAGAGTACAGGCATGATGCTGATTGAACTTGGGAAACAGACTTGTATACACCGGACACAAGGACAAGAGCAGATGGACAGGCAAGCAGACAAGCAGCAGTGCAGGCAGACATGAAAACAGGCACATGCACACACACAAGCACACGCACACAAGCGACCTGCTGACCTGGCTGCAAGTCGTGTGCAGGCAAACAAGGGATAAAATCAAGCGGACTCCGCATCCAGGCCGAGCAGGAAGGAGGACACCTCGTGCTGCAGCCACACGTTCTCCTCTTTGGATAGTTGGCCTCCGAAGTTAAGCTGCTTGCCGTCTGCTGCTGCTACTCGGCAGAAGTACCTGCTGCTCCACACCCATTCCTGAAGAGAGGGGCGGTGGGCGGGGAGGAAGTGCAAGGAGGAGAGCGTGAGATGCGGGAATTTCCTTGATGCTTCAGCCACACGCACTCCTCTCGAGAGGGATGGGTGCCAGAATTAAGCTGCTTGCCGTCTGCTGCTGCTACTCAACAGAAATACATTCTGCTAAACCGCCTCTCCTGAAAGGGAGAGCAGGGGTGGGGGGAGGGGAGGGGCAAGGGGGTAAATCATGGCTGGTACTCGGCAGAAATAGGGGGTGCTCCCCTGAAAGGATGGAAGGGGAAGGGAGGGGGGAAGACGTGGGGTGGATGGCTGGTGGTGAAATACGATCTGAGGGTGAGCAGTTGAGGTGAGAAACTCGCCATTTTGCAGCGGTTAAGTGAGATGAAGTGAGATGAGGTGAGGAGAGGTGAGGTGAAGTGAGGTGAGGTGAGATTCAAACGATGGATGCGGTGGGGGTGGTGGTGTGGATGGTCCACCCGAACACCCTCGGCACCCCTCAGAACCCCTCAGCAACCGTCTACATCTCTCAACACCCCAGGGCGCACAGTAATTTACCGTTTCGCAGAGGTCGACGCGAACAATAGAAGCGGTGTTGATAGTCCATCCAAACAGCTGCGATGTGTGCAGCAGCTGTGAGCCGTCGATTCGAATCGTGTACAGCAGCAGCTGTGGCAGCAGCGCTCCCAGCTGCTGGGCGACGGGTGGGAGGGGCGGATCAGAGCACGGTTAGCAGGTGTCGTGCAGCAGAGGGAGGGTGGGGATGGGGAGAAGGAGGAGGTGAAGGCTGGGGATGATGGTAAGGGGCAGGTGGGGCAGGAGAAGGGGCAGGTGGGGCAGGAGAAGGGAAAGGTGGGGCAGGAGAAGGGGCAGGTGGGGCAGGAGAAGGGAGAGGTGGGGCAGGAGAAGGGGCAGGTGGGTCAGGAGAAGGGAAAGGTGGGGCAGGAGAAGCTTTCCGAATACTGTGCGGTTTCTTATTTGACCGAATACTGACACAAAACCGAATAAGAAAACGATTCGAATACTGCCGAATCCGAATTGAGTTCAATCAAGTGTCGATGAATAAAATTGGAATAGGCAGTGTCGAACGGCTACTGAAGGTTCGACACAGGGTGATACAATGTACCATATACTACCAGCACCACGACTCAATCCCGAACCACGCACTTTCCCTAATCCCTCTCCAGCAATTATATTGCTCGATTTTTGGGAACGGCTCTCACGAGACCGCTCGTACATAGACTGTCATAGATGATAGCCGCATGTAGGAGGGGGGGTTAATGGTAGAATACTGAACAGTAACGAATACCCCGAATATTTGTTACCCGAATATTCTACAAGACAATGACCTGTGATGCGAATGAATTTTAATACATTCCTATTCTCTCGAATTCAGGTGTTCAAACGAATATCAAATAGTTCTCGAATACCGAATATTCCTTTACAGGCTTAGATGACGTGAATGGGATGGGGGGAATGGGGAGGAAGGAGGGGGGGCGGACCCTTTAGAAGGGTTGTTCGAAATGAACCACAAATGCTGCACAATGTTTTTTAGAATTCTAAAAAAAACACTGCAACAAATGCTGCACACACGCTCGGGATTGGCAATAAGAGGTGATAGCAGGGAGAGAGGGGCGGGGGAGGAGGGAGGGGAGGAGGGCCGTTTTGCCATGAGTGAAAATCGTTTCACGGTGCAGCATTGCGCACTGTGACTGCTGCACCATGCTCAGGACTGCCTTGCTGACGTGGTTGGAGAGGGAGTGGGAGGGGGGGAGGACAGGGGGACGCGGGCGGGGTGAGTGGGAAGGAATGACAGAGGGATGTGGGCAACGGGCGGTAGGTAAATAGAAACCAGGGGCACGGATGGATCATGGATGCACACACCGCTCCGCACCGCACCGCTCCGCACCGCACCGCTCATCGCTCCCACCGCTCAAGACCCCTCAAGAGTCAACACCTTTCAACATCCCTCCACATCCCTCATCACCCCTCCCCACCCCTCCCATTCCGCATAAGCATGACCACCCACTCCCAAGGCACAGTGTGCAGAGAGCAGAGGCAACATACATGAAGTGCGGGAGGGGTTTTTGAAACAAATCTTCCCACACCTCTCGGCACTCTCCGAACCTCTCACCACCCATCACAACTCCTCTGAGGGCTCACAGTGTGCAGAGAGCGGATGCAGCAGGCACGATGGGCGGAAGGGGTTGCTGCTGCTCTGGGGGTTCACACCACACACACACACACACACACACACACACACACACACACACACACACACACACACACACACACACACCACACCGCTCCTAAAGCACAGCACCCCTCAGCACCCCTCAACACTCCTCCTAAGGCTCACATTGTGCAGATAGTGGAGGTAACAGGCGACATGACACCACCATCCAGCATCAGAGGCAGCAGCAGTGGCATCAGCGCAACGAAAACACAATACTGTGCAGTGATGAGAGACGGGAGAAAGGAGATGAGACAGGAGATGGGCATGGTAAACGCATATATTTTTGTTGTTTTTTTTTTATTATTATTATTTTGTTGGAAACGAGAATATAAATAAATCAATGGCAACCGCACCATGAGAGGCAATAGCAACAGTGCAGCGATGGGCGGCAGGAGATGAGAGAATGGCTTTGGTGAGCAAGGCAGTGCTCTCTTTGGAGAAGAGAAGAAAGATAGTCTGCTGGTCGGTATTGTGCAAGGTGTCCTGTGGAGTGTTGATGCTTGTGGGATGAGCAGCACCGTGAGTGAGAGGGAAAGCACATGCGAGCACAAGTGTTTATCTAGGCAACTAGAAATCGCACCCATATCGCCCCCATCGCTGCCACCACAACCATCGCCCCCCATCGGCCCCACCACAGGCACCACACCCATCGCCCCCCCCCATCGGCCATACCATGAAGCCAGCTAGCACCCACCGCACCCATCGGCCACCGCACCCACCGCCCATACCATGACGATGAGCACCGCTTTGACCGGATGGAGGGGCGGTAGGCGGATGAAGAGAGCGGAGCTGGTCCTCTCCAGTATCTGTGAGGGGGGGGGAGAGGGGAGATTGGCACAGTGGAGAGTGGGGCGGGGGGAAGGGGGGATTAGCCCAGTGGAGTGGCGGCAGGCGGATGAAGAGAGCGGAGCTGGTCCTCTCCAGTAGCTGGGGGTGGGGGAGTGGGGGGGGTTGGCGCAAGGGGGAAAGGGGGATTAGCCGTGTGGAAGGGGGAGGAGGGGCAAGGGGGAGGGGAAAGGGGGAGGGTAAGGGGAGGCAGGCGGATGAAGAGATGGGAGCTAATCCACGTCAGCAACTGGGGGAACATGGGCAAGGCTTAAAGGGGGGGGCGGGGGCTACTATACGACCGCAGGCCGGCAAGTATAGAGGCTGGTTTATTAGAAATTTTGAGAATAACCTGATGGGGTGACATGCATTCAATAATAACATTCCAACAACCTGAGACTGAAACGACCCTTGACCATCCCCCCCCCTCCTCTCCTCATTCCCCCCTCTTTTCCCTTCCCCATCCCCCCTCTCTCCTTCCCCCCATCCCTCCCACCCACTGATTTCCTTTTTTTCCACCCCCCCTTCCCCGCCCATGGGCGCACCACGCGCGTGCCAGCGGGCATACTATCGCCCAGCGAGCGCGACGGCTCGATCAACGGCGTCTCGATATCTCCCGCGACTGACGCCGCATTTGCCGCTGAGAAATTCGGCCCAGGCACCGCCGCTGCCGCCGCCGCCGCCGCATGCGGAGGAGCGAGCGCTATGGAGAAAGGGGCGGCAACTGCTTTCGTACGACCTGCGGCTTCCGCCATTTGCTACTCGGGGGGGAAGAGCGGCGATGGTAGCTAGTTGGGGAAGTACACGAAATGGAGGGAGCCGGGCTGTGGGTGAACTGAGAAACTAACTTCAAAGCACGAAACACTATGGAGATTTAGGAAAATGTAATAAGTACAAGGCTTCAAAAAAGGAGCTAGGTAATAAATACGAAAAACATGAGGATTGGGGACGCGGAAGGCGGAGAAACGGAAGTTGTTGGGGGAAAGGGGGGTTGGTGGGGGGGAAGACAAGGGGGATGGGCAAAGTAAAGGGCTAACGACCTTGACCTTGTTGACTCTCGGGAAATGTCACGCGCTGTACGCGATATTGACAGTGTGACTGCGGCTCTGTACTCCCCAGAACCTTTTCTGGTGCCAATAATTAAACATGCACTAAATTGTGACTCTGCATTTAAAGGGAACTCTTTAAAAATGAGGGCGCCCAGATGCTGTCGGCACAGCCACAAAGAGCGTCATGCAGCCATGAAGTGACTGGCACCATGAAAAAAGCCCAGCAATGCATACAGTTACCCCTGATGAGCTACCGGTACTTCCCCGAATGGCATTCGTAACCCCCCATGTTCAGCAACAGAAAAAAATATACCACCATTACAAGAGTCATTTCCAATCATCCCTCCCTGTTCTCTCTGGTAGCTAGACGGGACTGGTCATACGATGCAATGCAAAGCACGTCTTTCAGATAACCGCTGTGTGGGTGGGTGGCAGCTGTGGTAAAACAATTCCAGGTCTGGACCCGGCCAACCGGAACACTCCTCTATAACTTACAATACAAAGAGGTGTTTGTAGACGGACATACAGGCGGCATTTGTACACGGTACGGTAGGTGTGGATGTGTCGATGCAGGGAGGGAGGCGCATGATACGGCCTAAATACATGATGGTGCAGCAGTCTGTTCCGTTTAGGGCATGCTGCTCCTGCCTTGAGTTTTGGGACGTCTCAAAACTACGGTAGCTGCAGTTAGTCCGATCAGGGCGTGATGGTGGTGCCTGCCCTGCAGTGTGACAAGAGAGTGGGCATGATACTGGTTGAAGTTGGGAAACAGACTTGCATACACCGGACACAAGGCGGACAAGAGCAGATTTACAGGCAAGCAGACAAGCAGCAGTGCAGGCAGACCTGAAAACAGGCACATGCACAAAAAGCGACTGGCTGACCTGGTTGCAAGTCGTGTGCACGCAAACAGAGAATCGGATTAAACCGAATCTGCAGCAAGGCCGAGCAGGTACGAGGAGACCTAGCTGCAGCCACACGCACTCCTCTCTGGCCGACTTTTGATTCGACTCACAAGTCAAAGCGACCTGCTCACCTGGTTGCACGTCTTGTGCCGGCAAACTGAAGGCGATAATATCAAACGGACTCGGCAGCAAGGGAGAGCAGGTACGAGGACACCTCGTGCTGCAGCCACACGTTCTCCTCACGGGACAGATGGCCCCCGAAGTCAAGCTGCTTGCCGTCTGCTGCTGTTACTCGACAGAAATACGTCGTGGTGAACCGCCTCTCCTGAAAGAGGGGAAGTGGTTAGGGGTGTGGGGCGCAGGGGAGGTGATGCGAGGGAGGAAGGGAGAAGAGGGAGGAGATGAGGTGAGGTGAGGAGTTTAGCTGGATGGACGTGGTGCGAATGTTGGTGTCATTAGTCCATCCAGACACCCATCAACACCCCTCCTCACCCCTCAGAACCACTCAGCACCACTCAACAACCCCCCCACTCCTTCCTGGGCTCACAGAGTGCTGACAGGCATTTACCATTTTGCAGAGGGAGATGCCAATTATGGATGCGGTGGGGATGGTGGTGGGGATGATCCATACCAACATCCATCAACACCCATCAATACCCCTCAAAACACCCCTCCCAAAGCACGCAGGCATTTACCATTTTGCAGATGGAGACGCGAACAATAGATGCGGTGGGATGGTGTCTATGGTCCAATCAAACAGCTGCCACGTGTGCAGCAGCTGTGAGCCGTCGATTCGCATCGTGCGCACCATGAATGCTGCACACACGCTCAGCACTGCCATGCTGACGTGGATGGGATGGGGTGGTGAGTAGGGGAGGAGAGGAGAGGGGATTGGCCGCAGCAGGCATGAAGAATGAAAGGGATTCCAGAGGTAAATGTTCCCACACCCCTCACCACCACTAAGCACCCCTCAGCACCCCTCAACACTCCTCCAAGGGCGCACAGTGTGCAGAGAGCAGAGGTAACAGGCGCGATGGGCGGAGGGGGTGTCTTCTCCCCGCCCCGGTGCCCTCGCCGTTGCATCAGCGGCAGCAGCAGCGGCATCAGCGCCAAGAGAGCACCCCGCAGCATATGTTTCATATCCCTCACCACCCCTCACCATCCCTTACCACCCCTCAACACCCTTCCGAGGGCTCACAGTGCGCAGAGAGCGGAGACAACAGGCGTGAGGGGCGGAAGGGGTGTCTGCTCCCCGATGGGTGCAGCAGCATCGAGCATCAGAGGCAGCAGCAGTGGCATCAGTACCAAGAGAGCATATCCCTCACCACCCCTTACCACCTCTCAACGCCCCTCACCACCCCTCCTAACGCTCACAGTGCGCAGAGAGCGGAGACAACAGGCGTGAAGGGCGGAAGGGGTGTCTGTTCCCCTGTGGGCGCAGCATCATCGAGCATCAGAGGCAGCAGCAGTGGCATCAGGCCGAGGAAAGCGAAAAACTGCGCAGCAATGAGAGACGGAAGATGGGAGATGGGAGATGGGAGACAGACAGGAGAAAGGCATCTCTGGCAGTGGCATGAGAGCGAAAATCTTTTGAGTCGACTCAAAAGTCACCTCAAAAGGCATCTCTGGCAGAGGGATGAGAGCGAAAATCTGTGCATGGAGGGGAGACAGGAGGTAGGAGAAAGGTGCTGGTCGGTGCAAGGTGGGCTGTGGTGCGTTGATGCTTCTGGTTCGAACAACACCGTGAGAGCAGAGAAAAGCTTTTGAGTCGACTCAAAAGTGAGCTCCCTCACCTGATAGGAATCGCATCTATGAGAACCACTTTTGAGTCCTTTTCTAGGCATCCCACCCCTGTCGCACCCACCTCACCCCTGTCGCACCCACCTCACCCCTGTCGCACCCACCGCACCCATCGCTCGTACCATAAAGCTGAGCGCCGCTTTGGCCGGCTGGAGGGGTGGGATGCGGATGAAGAGAGCGGAGCTGGTCCTCTCCAGTAGCTGTGAGGGGGCGGGGGGGAGATTGGCGCAAGGGGGATTAGCACAGTGGAAAGTGGAAGCTGGGGAAAGGGGGATTAGCCCATTGGAGGGGCGGGATGCGGATGAAGAGGGCGGAGCTGGTCCTCTCCAGTAGCTGGGGGAAAGAATGGGGGAGGGGTAAGGGGGATTACGCAAGGGGGAAATGGTGATTAGCGCGCTGGGGGGGGGAGAGGAGAAGGGGGGATTAGAGCACTGGGGGGGGGGGGAGAGGAGAAGGGGGGATTAGAGCACTGGGGGGGGGGAGAGGAGAAGGGGGGATTAGAGCACTGGGGGGGGGGGGGAGAGGAGAAGGGGGGATTAGCGCACTGGAGGGGGGGGGAGAGGAGAAGGGGGGATTAGCGCACTGGAGGGGCGGCAGGCGGATGAAGAGAGAGGAGCTGGTCCTCTCCAATAGCTGGGAAGAGGGGGGTGAAAGGCGGAGAGGGGGTAGGGGAGTTGGCGCAAGGGGGGAAAAGGGAGAGGCAAGGGGGGAAAGGGAGAGGCAAGGGAGGGGGATTGGTCCAGTGGAGGGGCGGCAGGCGGATGACGAGAGCCGAGCTGGTCCTCTCCGGTAGCTAAAAGGGGGGGGGGGAGGAGGGAGAGGGGAGGGGGAGGGACAACGGGGAGGGGCAAGGGGATGGGCAAGGTGAAGCAGAAGAGGCGAGCGGGTCCACATGAGCAGCTGCGGGGAGTGGGCAAGGCGGAAAGCGGGGAGCGGCGGGTCACTGTTACTAGCGCAGGCCAGTGTAGCATGCTACAGGCTGGGTGACTAGGAGGGATTGAGAATGGAAGCAGAGTTGGTGGAATGCATTCAGGACGGCATTCCAATTTCCAACAATCGGCTACTGAAACGACCCTTGGCCAACCCCTCCCCTCCCCCCCCTCTCCACGTTCTCCCTTTTCATTTTCGCAACACCTCCCCCTCACGGCCCCGTCCGCCCCCTTTTCCCCCACCCTCTCCCCTCCCCGCTCCCCTCCCTCCGCACCCCTTCCCCCCTTCCCCCCCCCCCCCACCCCCTCTCCCCCCCCCCTCTAATAAGCGCACCACGCGCGTGCCAGGGGGCATACTATCGCTCAGCGAGTGCGACGGCTCGATCAACGGCGCCTCCATCTCCCCCGCGACTGGCGCCGCAACTGACGCCGCGACTGGCGCCGCAACTGGCGCCGCGACTGGCGCCGCCTTCGCCGCTGAGGAATTCGGCCCCTTCGCCGCCACCGCCGCATGCGGAGGAGCGAGCGCTATGGAAAAAGGGGCGGCGACCGCCTTAGTGTGATTTGCGGCTTCCGCCATTGCCGCTCGGGACGGGTGCGGCGGCGTGGGGAAACGCGAGGGGTGCGCCGATGGTGCGGTAAGGGGAACGCGGGGGGTGCGGCGATGGCGCGGTATGGGGAACGCGAGGGTATCTTATCCGGTGGAATAGACGGGCTGTATGCGGCACGACTGCGAGTGAACTGAACAGGAGACTACAAAGCACGATGGTCTATGTACACATAGTAAAAATCAGTGTGAAAAACTTTGACACGCAGGACAGAGATGGAGAATTAATACATAAAAGGCGGGGAGAAGTGAAGGCGGAGAAACGGAAGTCGTTGGGGCTAGGCAAGCATTGTGGGGTGGGGATGGAGGGAAGCAGGGACTGGTGCTGACTTGAAAGCGAACAACTTTGACCAACTTGACCCTCGGGAATGCTGTGCTGGATACGCGATATTAACAGTATCAACATCGCCATTCCGTCAGTGTTTTCATGTATTTCGAAAGTAAGCAACAAACAGCTAGACACGCCTGCAGTTTGGGCAAGACTTGGAATGGTTCAAATTTCTCCAATCAATAATAGCACACATGCATCACAATCCCATCACAATCCAATCCTATCTGTCTCCTGTGCCTGCCTTGTCAACAACACCTAGTCACAAGCCCACTTCCCCATCCTCCTGATCATCATTGATACGCGAGTGGTGTGACAGCACACCTGTATTGCATGCTTCCTCACCTCACCCACACCCCGCTCCTGTGCCTGCCTAGCCAACTACCATCGCGCGCCCACCTCCCCATCCTCCAGATCATCATCATCGGCTCGCGAGCGCTGCACTGACTTCTCAAAATTGCTGCTGTGCTGCTTCCTCTTCTCTTTTTGCTCCTGTGCCCGCCTGCCTAGTCAACCCAACAAGCCACAACGGCCTCAGGCGCCCACCTCTCCATCCTCCAAGTCATCATCTGCTCGCGAGCGGTGCGACGATTTCTTGGACTTGCTGCTCCGGTGCTTCCTCTCGCGATCCCTGCTCCTGTGCCCGCTGTCCTCTGAATCACTGTCGCTCTCATGCTCCTGCCACACGGTCGGAGAGGGACAATGTGGAGATGTGATGCTTTGATTTCCGAGTTCTCAAACGACATGCTCCTTGCTCCTGTGCCCACTGTCTCTCTCCTGATCCTGCCACACAGTCGCGGAGAGGGACAATGGATGGGCGGGAACATGGATGGCCGAGGAAACAGAGGCCTTGCAAAGCGTGCAAGAGCAAACTTCCACATATGCACAGGTGAAACTTCCACATATCCACAGGTGAAACTTCCACATATGCACAGGTGAAACTTCCACATATCCACAGGTGAAACTTCCACATATGCACAGGTGAAACTTCCGCATATGCACAGGTGAAACTTCCACATATGCACAGGTGAAACTTCCACATATGCACAGGTGAAACTTCCACATATGCACAGGCGAAACTTCCACATATGCACAGGCGAAACTTCCACATATGCACAGGTGAAACTTCCACATATGCACAGGTGAAACTTCCACATATGCACAGGTGAAACTTCCACATATGCACAGGTGAAACTTCCACATATGCACAGGCGAAACTTCCACATATGCACAGGTGAAACTTCCACATATGCACAGGTGAAACTTGCACATATGCACAGGTGAAACTTCGCTTCGCCAAGACTGCAATCAAGAGGGGAAAGCTAGATAATAGGGGGGCAGGGAGACAGATAGAGAGCCTTCCTTACCTTGCGGGACGACCGCCGGTGGTCGCTGCTGCCCTTGCTGCGCTTGGACCTTCGAGCTTCTTTGTCATCCTCCTCCTCCTCATCCTCCTCATCATCCCGATGCCTCCTCCTGTGCTTCCTCTCCTTCTCCTTCTCCCTTTCCTTATCGTCCTTCCCCTTCCCCTTCTTCTTCTCATCCCTATCCTTCTCCTTCTCCTTCCCCTTCCCCTTATCTTCCTTCTCATCCTTCTCTCGCTTCTCCTTGGATCGACTCTTATCCTTCTCCTCCTCCCTATCCCTCTTCTCTCTCTTCTTCCCACCCTTCTCCCTCTCTTCCTCATCCTCCTCATCCTCATCCTCACTCTCATCCCTCCTAGACCGCCTCCTGTGCTCCTTTCTCTTCTCCTTTGCCTTAGATCGTTCCAACTCCTTCGCTTTCCCATGCTCCTCCCCTTCCTCATCAGACACATCACCACCTTTCTTTGCCTGCTTGCTACCCCTAGGCCTGTCCTCGCCCTCCTCTAGCTCCTCCTCCTCTCCCTCGCTCTCATCCGATTCCCCCCTATCCTTCCTCTTCTTCTCCCCATCTCTCTTCTTCTTGTCCTCAGCCCCATCCCTCTTATCATTCTCATCCCCTTTCGCCTTACCTTCTCTGCTTCCCTCTGCTTCCTTGCCTTTATCCTTCTTTGCTCTCTCCTTGTCCTTGCTCCTCCTATCCTCACTTACCTTCTCAGAATCACTCTCGCTCTCCTCTCCCTTCCTCTCCTTGCCTCTCTCCTTTGCCTTTTCCTTTTCCTTCTCCCGTTTCTCCTTTTCCTTCTCCTTCTCCCTCTCCTTCTCCTTCTCCTTTTCCTTCTCCTTCTTCTCCTCCTTCTCCTTCCGCTCTCTCTCCTTCCTCTTCTCCTTCTCCTCTTTCTCCTTCTCCCTCTCCTCCTTCTCCTTCCTCTCCTTCTCCTTCTTCTCTTCTTCTTTCTTCGCCTGCAAATCCAAAGGCACCGGCACAGGCAGGAGGGAGCAGGGAAGTTGAGCTGGTGAGGTGGTAACAAATAGGAATAGAGAGATGACACGAGAGAGGGCGGGAGGGAACCAAATGAAAACATGAAAGCGAAGGAAGTAGGTTAAGGAAATCAAGACGGGAAGATGAGGTAGCAGCTTCCAATCAGAGGACCGTTGCACTACATAATAAATTGAGACATTTGAGAGAAAGCAGTGCAGTGCTGTGAAGTGCCACAGCGTCAAGGCAAGCAACAATATAAAGATCACCTTCTCTTCCTTCTTCTTCCTCTCCTTCTCCTTCTCTTTCTCCTTCTCCTTCTCCCTCTTCTTCTCCTTGTGCAGCAGCCGTGCCACGTGCTCCTCCACCACCTTCCGCCTCTCTGCCTCCTCCGGTATCGCCCTACGGTGAGGCGACAATACCACACACAACAGGTGCATGGCATGCATGTCACATACACACAGCAACCGAGGGAGAAAGAGAGAGTGAATAGCGGCACACGATCGGTCAGCAGCCGAGCCACATGCTTCTCCACCAACATTTGAGGCGCCTACAACACAAAACCAAGCAGTTAAATGTATGCAACATATATGCATGCAAAACACTGGCTCATGTGCAACGTGCCATTGCAAGAAACAACAACGCCCCTGTATTATGGAGAAGGATTGTGTGGGACGACGCCAAGGGGCTGGGAGGACGCCAAGGGGCTGGGAGGACGCCAAGGGGCTGGGAGGACGCCAAGAGGCTGGGAGGACGCCAAGGGGCTGGGAGGATGCCAAGGGGCTGGGAGGATGCCAAGGGGCTGGGAGGATGCCAAGGGGCTGGGAGGATGCCAAGTGGCTGGGAGGATGCCAAGGGGCTGGGAGGATGCCAAGGGGCTGGGAGGATGCCAAGGGGCTGGGAGAACTCTGCTCTGCACCAGCTACTTGGCATTCTCCCACATACTTCTTCTCCTTAGTCCCCACTATGCCCCTCCGGACAGACGAACAGCAGCAAGAGCGCGAGGCGGAGCCAAATACCACAGGCAACCACGGGCAACCACGGGCACTGTAAGTACTACATACTTGTATTCCGGCAGCGATTGAACGAGCGGTTTCGCCTCCTCCCACATGGTGCTCCCAGACAGCCCCTTGACGCCCCTGAGTGCGTCCGCAAGGTCCTCTGCCAGCCGCTTCTTGCGCCGCGCCTCCTTCTCCTCCCTCTCCACTGCTCGCTCCACCAGATCCTCCCACACTATCTGGTTACCACAGCGTTCGTTCGTTATTACAGCGTTCGTTCGTTATTACAGCGTTCGTTCGTTATTACAGCGTTCGTTCGTTATTACAGCGTTCGTTCGTTATTACAGCGTTCGTTCGTTATTACAGCGTTCGTTCGTTATTACAGCGTTCGTTCGTTATTACAGCGTTCGTTACCGGACGTGCACAATTTGTTTTCCGACGTGATGCGATGGTGTGACGTGATGTGAGATAAGATGAGATGAGGTGAGACGGGATGAGATGAGACGAGATGGGATGTGGTGACACGAGATGAGAGGAGAGGAGATGAGATGAGGTGATGGTGCAATGTGAAATGAGATGAAGTGTCGATTGCAGCATTTGATGCAGGAAATGCATACGCACATGCGTGCGCATGCACACACACATGCACATGCCGACACATACACATACATGCACGCACATGCCATGCCAAGTGACATGGCACAAAGTACATGCCACATTCCACATGCACCGGACAACACATGATCAGCCATGGACAGCCACACACACAACAAGCAGCCCACCGAAGCAGCAGTCCGCAGCACCTAGCCGCAGCACACAGCACAGCACACAGCACAGCACACAGCACAGGAAAGGAGGGGAGGGAGGGGGGGAGCAGGACGAGGAGAAAATGAGTGAGGGCATCAGGTGAGGGGAAAGACAACGACAAGCAACCCTATGCTCTGAGAATCGCCACAGGTGCTACTAGATGCATGCATCGAGGCACAAGAAGAATGTTTGCTCTATAATAAGCATGGTTGAACAAAAGAAAGAACGAAAGAATGAAAAAAAAAAAAAAAAATGCATTGTTACAGGAACGGAGAGGTGAATGTGAGGTATGTGGGTTTGAGAGAATCGAGGGAGCAAAGGGGATTGGAGGTGGGTGAAGACGGGAGGGGGGAAGGGAGGCAGGAGTAAAGAGGTGAAAACGGGGAGAAGGGGTGTGGGGGGTGGGAAGCCAGCAAAGTATTTTCCTGAGCAAAGACATGCCGGTGTGCCTGCTGCATGGTGACGTTTATGCCTTCTAGGGAGGGGAGTTGGAAACACAGTGCACTAGCAGCAGTGCACTGTCTCGTTGATCTGACCACTTGATCAAACCGTTACCTGCTGGTTACCCTATGAAAGGACTGTCCTCGCTGAAGAATGCTGATGTCGACCCGGGTTGCTCAACGTACAGTCAAAAGATGCCCACCAGGAGTCATCATTGCAGGCTCTTGTCGTGTGGCAAAACGCACAGGTCTTACAGAATATGTGTAAATCTCAGGCAGTATTGAGTGGGCGTGTGAATGCCAGAGCGGGTGAGGGACCATCATGCGCTTGTGACTGAGGCTCAAGGGCAAGGGCCTTGGCACTGCAGCAGCATGGGGCGAGACGATAAATGGTGGCTGCAGGGGTGGGGGAGAGAATGGAGGACGGAGAGGAGGATAGGAAGGGAAGAGGGGAAGCAGGGGCGGCGTGGCAAGGGAGGACATTGCACCTTGAGGCTCATATCCGCGACCTTAGGAGTCGACTCATCAGCTTTCGGTGGCAGCGGTGGCGGTGGCGGCAGCTTCACCTCCTCCTTGCCCTCCTTGCTCTCCTCCGCCTGCTCCTCCTGCTTCACCGCGCCCGCTCCCGCCTCTTGCTTCACTGGCTTGTCACCCTCCTCCTGCTTGACTGCTGTCTTGTTGTCCTCAGCAGCCCCTGCCTCTCCTCCCTCCTTGCCCTCCTCCTGAGGCTCCTCCTTCACCTTCCCTGCCTCTCCCTCTCCCTCCTTCGCCCCCTCCTCTGTAACCCCATCTTCCTTCTTCACGCCCCCTTCCTCTTTCACTCCATTCATCTCCACATCTCCTGTCTTTCCCTCTTCCTTCGCCTCCACCTTGACTGCTGTGCCAGCACCAGCATCGGCAGCAGCAGCGGCAGCAGAATCAGCAGCAGCGAGGGCAGGCGGCAGGGGAGGCGGAGGGGCGTAGCCTAGAGCAGCCTTGAACGCCTCAAAGGTGGTGGCTGACGTCACCACCACCTGGGGAAAATGGGGGAAGGGGGGAAGGGGGGGAAAGGGGGAGAAGGAATGAAGACGAGGGGAGGGGGAGGCAGGGACGGGGCGGAAGCAGGGGCAGGGGCGGAAGGAACACACGGCATGTTATAACGGGCTGGGGGCTCACTGTTGGGGGGATGCAACGATTACAAAATAGAGGGGCTCACTGATGCTCACTGTTGGCTCACTGTTGACACACGAATAGAGGATGAGTTACAAGGCGGTAGGGGAAGCTAGATGAATGTCTTGCTTTGTTTACAGAGATAGCGGGAAACTTGGATAGGGGGATGATGTGCCTAAACTTGAAGGATTAGGGTGCAGGGTTTAGAGCATGTGTGGTTGGTTTGGTTAGGGCGCACCTTGTTCCTCTTGATGCGGTCCTTGATCTTGTCCTTGTCCTCCTTGTACTGCTCCGTTGTTCCGAGGCCACCACCACCACAGAGGGCACCACCACCACCATGCATGCACGCACGCAACACACAAGAACCACAGCACAGCACGGCACACACCACCATGCATGCAACGCAACACACAGGAGGAGGCAATAAGGCACGGCATGCAGGGAGCAGCAAACACAATCAGGGCACGGCACACAGGCAGCAGAAAGAGTTCAACACGTAGCAGGGGAGCAAAGGAATCGAAGGTGTAAAGAAGCACACGTGCATCAACAGGCACAGGAACGCAGGCAGCAGGGGCAACAGCAAGTGGTGAGGGCTGGAGCCTGGAAGCGGGACGGAACTCTTACGGGAGTGCACAACAGGCGACCTTGAGTGACATATCCCTCTTGTTACCTGCCCCACATGCTACCTTACCCAGCAGCGCCCACCTGCTTGTCGAGGTCGTCAATGGCGTCTTCAAACAGCTCCTTGGGCGTCGACCCCCCCAGGTTGCATCGTATGGACCACACGTCCCAGTCGCCACCTGCCCCACATGCTACCTTCCCCTCCAGTACCCACCTCCCCCAGCAGCGCCCACCTGCTTGTCCAGGTCGTCTATAACATCCTCAAAGAGCTCCTTGGGCGTCGACCCCACCAGGTTGCATGAGCCACATGCCCCGTGTACCACCTTCCCCAGTTGCCACCTGCCTGTACCCGCCTCTCTCAGTGCCCACCTGCTTGTCGAGGTCGTCAATAACGTCTTCAAAGAGCTCCTTGGGCGTCGACCCCACCAGGTTGCATGAGCCACATGCCCCGTGTACCACCTTCCCCAGTTGCCACCTGCCTGTACCCGCCTCTCTCAGTGCCCACCTGCTTGTCGAGGTCGTCAATAACGTCTTCAAAGAGCTCCTTGGGCGTCGACCCCCCCAGGTTGCATGAGCCACATGCCCCGTGTACCACCTTCCCCAGTTGCCACCTGCCTGTTCCCGCCTCTCTCAGTGCCCACCTGCTTGTCGAGGTCGTCAATAACGTCTTCAAAGAGCTCCTTGGGCGTCGACCCCCCCAGGTTGCATGAGCCACATGCCCCGTGTACCAACTTCCCCAGTTGTCACCTGCCTGTACCCGCCTCTCTCAGTGCCCACCTGCTTGTCGAGGTCGTCAATAACGTCTTCAAAGAGCTCCTTGGGCGTCGACCCCCCAAGGTTGGCTGCCACTGCCATGTACGCGGGCTCGTCCTTGACCTGATCGATAGACGGAGGGAGGGATAGAGAAGAGAGAGGAGAGAGCGGTGAGAGATGGGGGGACGACGAGGCAGGGATGGAGCACCCCCCCCCAGGTTGGCTGCCAGCGCCAGGTGTGCGGGCCGTCCTTCACTGGGTTGACGTTTCAACACGCACAGAGGGACGGAAGGGAAGGAATGGGGGAGGAATGGAATGCGGATGGAACGTGGGATAGAACGGGAGGAGAGGCTTTCCCAAGTGCAGTGGGCGAGGACGGGGAGTGGGTGGGACGAGACAAGCGAGAATGACAGGGAAGGGGCCGGGAAGGGGTGGAGGGGGAGGAAAGGAGGGTCCAAACAATGACAACCAACGGAGGAAGTAGGAAGGAATGACGACTACCAAATGGGTGGGCTTGTGAGCAGGAAGAGGAGAAGGGAAGAGCGGAGGGTGGGTGGGGCGGAAGTGGGGTGGGTGGGTGGTGGAGCAAACCCACACATACCACGTTGACGTAGTCGCGCCAGCGAGTGCGAGCAGTGAGGGTGAGCGCCGCCTTGTGCTCGTCCATCAGCCGCCGGAAACCATCCCGGTTCTTGCGCTCCTGGCGCCGCTGTTGCTCCTGGGAGGGGCAAGAGGAGTGGAGGGTGAGGGTTGGGATGTGGAAGGGGTGTGGGAGGAGGGGTGGAGTCAGGGGGGTTCAGTGGGCTGTGACTCTGACGAATAGTGACGAATTTCAAAGATGGAAGATGTTGATGCACAATGATGAAAGTGCACTAACGGGGATGGGGTGGTTGGGCTTGAATTGAGTGGTATACTTACCCTCTTCTGCTGCCTCTCCTCCTCCTCCCTCCTCTCCAGCTCGCGAATAAATTCCTGCCAGCACCCAACAGCAGCCAACAAAAGACAACAACAGGGAGTGACGGAAAATGAGAAAACATTAGGCAGTGAATGAAATGGTAAAGAAAGAGAGACAACTTTTGAAGAGCCTGCTAGTAGTAACTAGTTTGAACCGGACTCATAACAGCCCAACGGTAGAACAGAACAGATTAGGGTTCAAGACCGCCTCAAGCACACACCTGGACTGGAAGACCTGAGCACACACCTGGAAGACCTGAGCACGCACCTGGAAGACTTCAAGGCGGTCGATCTTATCGAGCTTGGCGCAGCTCTCATGCTCCTCCAGGCGATCCTGTACCTTGCGGTAGTGCGTGGCGGACTGGAAAGAGGGGGGGGGGAGGGGGGGGGGGGGACGGGGTAATGAAGAGGGTTGAGGCGGTATCCGGGGATTGCCCCCCTTCAACTCTCATGCTTCCAGCCGGCTCAAAACTAGGGGATTGCCCCCCTTCAACTCTCATGCTTCCAGCCGGTCCTGCACCTTGCGGTAGGGACTGAAAGGAGGGAGGGGACCGGGGAGGAAAGAATGGATTGAAGGAAGAGAGGAAGAGCACAGCCACAATCAGAGGAGAGCAGGGAAGAGAACGGTGACACACACCCAACCCGAGGCAGCACAGCGCTCACGGTGTCACACACGCAAAGCACCGCAGCACTCACGGTGACGTAGCCGCACGTCTCGAGGTACTGCTTGAATTCCGCCATGTTGCGCTTCCTCTCCTCCCTCACTCGGCCCTTCTCCTGCCACACACCACCAGCGAGGGGGGGAAGAAGGGAGGAAAGGGAGGAAGGAAGGAGTCATGTGCAGCTCATGTGAGGAGGGGGAAGTTGGTGGTCATTGATTGAGGGGCCTCAAGGTGCCTCGCATTTTGTTGCGTTGACCACCGATGAGTGCAGCAGGTCAAAAAGGAGGTCAAAATGGAGTCAACAGGAGAGTCAAAGTACCTGCTTCACCAAGTCAACAAATCACGTTCCATACAAAGTCAACACGAGTCAACGTGAGTCCACATCAGGTAGGGAAGAGCAACATGAGTCAACGGGGTGAGTGACGCACCTTCTTGACGAGATCAACGAGGTAGTCGTCAAAGAGCTCCTCCCTCTCCCTGTCTGACTTAGTGAGGTCAACACAAGTCAACACCAGTCAATGCAAGTCAACAGGAGTCAGCAAACCTTCTTGACGAGGTCAACGAGGTAGTCATCAAAGAGCTCCTCCCTCTCCCTCTCCGACTCCACCGCCACGCACCGCAGGTCCTTCTCAAATAGCGCCGCCGCTTTCCTGGCAGGGGGGGAAGGGAGTGGGAGGTAGGGGTGCAGAGGGTGAATAAAGAAGCTGTAGTAGTCGCTCCTCCCTCTCCCTCTACATCCACCGCCACGCCCCGCAAGTCCTTCTTGAATAGCGCCGCCGCTTTCCTGAGAGGGAAGTGGGGAGGACGGGAGGTTTGGGGGGATGTGGGAGGAGAGCGATGATGGGCAAGAGAAGGGAGGCAGCAGAGACAAGACGATGAGCGAGAATACAGCACTTGTGTGAGGGTAGCCCAGGTGCATGGCTTGTGTGAGGGTAGCCCAGGTGCATGGCTTGTGTGAGGGTAGCCCAGGTGCATGGCTTGTGTGAGGGTAGCCCAGGTGCATGGCTTGTGTGAGGGTAGCCCAGGTGCATGGCTTGTGTGAGGGTAGCCCAGGTGCATGGCTTGTGTGAGGGTAGCCCAGGTGCATGGCTTGCCCACCACTGCCAAGCTCACAGACTGATGACTCAATGCCAGCGCAGCACAAGTCACTGCCAGCGCAGCACAACTCACTGCCAGTGCAGAACGACTCACTGCCAGCTCAGCACGACCCAATGCCAGGTCAGCAGGAGTGACTCACTGCCAGCGCATGGAGGAGGAGAGGTCCTTGGACTCGTCCAGCATGGCGATGAAGTCCTCCCGCACCTTCTTCTGCCTCTGCCGCTTCTCCTCCGCCTCCTGCTTCTTGCGATGCGTTATGTACTGCGGACCGGAGGGGGGGATGGAGGGGGGTTGGGTAGAGGATAAAAAGGAAGGGAGAGGCACTAAAAAGGCAAAGACTACCTTGATTCCGCGGGTGCAAGCAGGAGTGTGAAAATAAAAAATCCTCACTTAAACCACCACACACCTCATTCAAGGCCTGCTTGCGCTCCCCCAGCGTCTTGAGTGCCCCGTATCGCTTGTCACTGATGATCTTCCTCATTGTCTGCTCCCACATGCCCTCTCTCATTCCAATGTCACACCACTCTATGTCATCCTTTGCTTGCTCTCACACCACACCACACCACACCACACACCACATACCTCATTGAAGGCCTGCTTCCTCTCCCCCAGCGTCTTGAGCGCCCCGTAGCGCTTGTCACTGATGATCTTCTTCATCGTCTGCTCCCACGTGCCCTCCGACGTCACCCCCACCGCCTCCAGCAGCTCCTTGAACGCCGCTTTCGCCTCCTGTCATTGGTGGAGAGGGCATGAGACAAAGGGAATGAGAGAGGAAGAGAGTGAGAAGCCAGGGCGAGGAGGAGAGCACACGGACTTTCATGACGGTGGGGGTGACAGCATCTCCTTGAATGCCGCCTTGGCCTCCTGTCATTGGTGGAGAGGGCATGAGAGACAAAGGGAATGAGGGAGAAAGGGGATGAGGGGCAAACGCGAAGAGGAGATTGAAAGGCCTTTCAACGCCCTCCAGCGGCTCCTTAGAGCTGCCTTCGCCTTTCGTGAGTTAAGAGGAGAGGGATAGAATGGGAACGAGAGGGGGGGAATGCGGGCAGGGCGAATGAGAGCAGGGAATGAGGGGCAAGACAATAAAGGGAGGAGCATGGCGGCACGAGAATGAGATGAGAGCCAAAACACCAACACACGAAACCCAAAATCTTAAACCCTGGCTCACCTGCTTGGTGGCATAGACAGGCTCGCCCACAGGAGCCGGGGGCAGCTTGGGTTCCATAATGGGCGTGATGTTGATCTTGCTCACTCCTGGTGCCGCCTTCGCCTGGTTAAGAAGAAGTGGAGAGAAAGGGAAGGGGGAGGGCGGGGGGGTTGGAAATGGAACAGGCAGGATGGATGGGTGTGTGTGATGTTGATCCATCGCTGGTGCTGCCTTGGACTGATTGACGGGTTGAAGGGAAAAGGGGTTGGTAGAGAGGATAGGGTGCAGGAAGGAGGGTGACTGGTTACAGGGGTGATGGGCGTGAAGCTGACAGATGCATTGATAAATTTCTTGACCAATATATGTGGTTCTCTCTATTTTCCAGTAACTTTATTGTGACGTGATGGGTACACTTTATGAACAAGCCAACAACTGTGTGTTTGGAATTTCAAGTTAAGGGTTTACAAGTGAAACGCAAGTAACAGCCAACCACCATACCACACTGTACGCCTCTACACCGCACCACACACACCTCTGCTGCAGCTTGAGCTGGTTGTGCCTGTGCCTGTGTGGCCGCAGCAGGTGGAAGTGGCCTGCTTGCAAACAACAGAGAGGAGGAAGGGACGGGAATTGAACGGATTGGGCCTGTGCGACCTAAGTGGCGATTTACGCTCAGACAGCAGCAGCAAGTGGGAGAAGAGGAGGGGGAGGGAGGCACGGGAGTTGAGCGAATTGAGCATGTGCGACAGCAGCAGGGCCTATGTGCAAGCTAGGGAGAGGAGGGGGAGAATGGGACAGGAGCTGGGCGTATTGAGCCTGTGTAAGCAGCATTCACGGGGTCAGGGCAGCACTCACGGGGTCAGGGCAGCACTCACGGGGTCAGGGCAGCACTCACGGGGTCAGGGTAGCACTCACGGGGTCAGGGTAGCACTTCCAGCCGCGGTAGCAGCGGCAGCAGGCAGAGGAACACCAGCAAGCGGCACAGGGGAGGCACCCAGCGGCCCTGCACCTGGCACTAACGGCGCCATCCCTGGGAGAGGAGGCGTGTACGCGTAGGCAGCAGGAGGGACGGCCCCTGGTGCGGCAGTGGTTGGGGGGACACCTGGCAGGGGGGGTACCACACTCGCCATTGCTGCTGCTGCTCCGGGTGCTCCTGGCATGACTGGTGCTACTGGTGTCACAGGCGCTGTAGGGAGAGCAGGGGTGGCAGCAGTGGTTGGAGCAGCTGCAGCGGCGGCGGCAGGAGGTGCACCTGTGCCTGCCGCTGCTGCTTGCTCTGCGGCAGCCCGCTCCCGCGCGGCCTGCAGGCAGGCAGAGGGAGACACACAAGGGTGCATGAGGTGAGGCGCAGAGAGCAACAAAGGTGTGTGTGTGCGGTGAAGTGCTGCGGACACCACGATGCTGTCGGTTGTTTTTTGAGAATACAAGCACTGTCAGTCAACGAGCAGCAGCAACAGCTGCTGGAGAAAGCGCTGATGCTGCACACCTTGAGCTCGCCTGCTCACCAGTGAGCGGAGATGGTCCAAGGGGGGCGCACCTTGAGGTCAGCAGGAATGGTCCAGGTGCTGTGCTGGGTGAGATTGATAGAAGAGCACTTTCGGCCCTCTGCTGTTGGGAACTTGATGCGGCGCAGCGCACACAGCAGCAACACTCTGGCGCATCTATCTACCACCTGGCTCACACCCTGATTCATCTATACTTCTCACTGCTTTCACACATGCGGCTATCCACACCATTGCCAGGGGCACACCTTGAGCTCAAGGGGCACACCTTGAGCTCGCGTGCCCACCTTGAGGTCAGCAGGAATGGTCAACGTGCTCTGCTTGTTGTTCTATAAAAAGCACTTGCGCCCCTCCACTGTTGTGAACTCCTTGAGGCGCATCGCACACACAGAAGCAACACTCTGGCACGTGTTGGTACATTCCACTCTAGCCTAGCCAGCTGCGCACCTTGAGGTCAGCGGGGATGGTCCACGTGCTCTGCTTGGTGAGCTTGTTGAAAAAGTACTTTCGCCCCTCCGCTGTCGTGAACTCCTTCCATACAGTTGTGGCGTCCGCGCGCTGTAAGAGGGGGTAAAGGGACAAGGCGTAAGTAACGGAATGGGGGAAGTGGGACTGGTACTTGCGACCCTCCGCCGTCGTGAACTCCTTCCACACCGTTGTCGCATCCGCGCGCTGTAGGGGAAAACACGGTGGCACGGAGAGGGGAAGAGGAATGGGGGATGTTGGACTGGTACTTGCGACCCTCTGCTGTCGTGAACTCCTTCCACAACGGTGCAGGGGGGCGGAGATGGAATGGGAGTGTCCTTGTTGAACAAGTACTTTCGCCCCTGTGGAGTGGGGTTGTGTAATCCTGCCACTCCCACAGTCCCCCCCCTTTCCCCCCCCTTCCCCACTCCCTTCCACCTTCCCCACAGGCACCCTTCCACGCGCACCCACGCATTCCCCCACTCCCCCCACCCCACGTGGTTCCTTCCCCCACCTCCTCACCCCCAGCTGACTCACCTCGCTGGGAGTCATGAGATCACTGGGATTCTCCCAGCTGGACTGCTGAGTGCGCTTGTTGAAAAGGTACTTGCGCCCCTGCGGGGTTAAACATACCTGCCACTCCCACGCCCACATCACCATGCATCCTCCTACCCCCCACCCACTCGCATTCCCGCACCCCACGCGGCAGCAGCACCCCTTGCAGCTGACCCACGCACCTCGCTGGGAGTCATGAGATCAGTGGGTTTCTCCCAGCTGGACTGCTGAGTGCGCTTGTTGAAAAAGTACTTGCGCCCCTGCGGAGTCGTGAACTCCTGCCACTCCGCCGCCGCTCCTCCCCCCGTGGCGCCCGCTGGGGCGGCAGCTGCGCCTCCGCCGGGTGCGGCCTGCGTGGCCGCGGGGGCGGGCGTTGCTGCGGGAGGTGGCATCTGGGGGAGGGGCACCTGCGAGAGAGGAGCAGCAAGGGGGTGGGGAAGCAGGGGGGTGGTTCGGAGACAGGGGACAGGATCGAGGGGGAATGATGGCGTGCTGAGTATTGACGAATTCTTATCACTGGGCTATTAAGGTCTAGGCAAGAGTGTTGAACATGGAAATTCTGGGGAAGTCGTGGCAGGTGGAAAGAGGAAGACTCGTCACGGACAGTATCTCACTCACCCCTCCAGCAGTGGTAGCAGCCGGGGCTGCTCCCCCAGGCGCGCCCTGCGCTGCTGCCTGCGTCCCTCCCGCGCCAGGCCCCCCCTGCCCTGGCGCAGGCGCGCCGGGCACCTGCCAGTGCGGGTGCTGCTGGGGCAGGTGCTGCTGGGGGGTGTAGGATCCGGGGGCGGGCATGTGGCCGGGCATGGGGGTGTATGACGGGTACGGCTGCTGCTGATGCTGCTGCGGCGGCTGCTGCTGCTGCTGCTGCTGCTGGCCGGGGTATTGAGGGGGCTGGCCGGGGGCTCCGGGGTACTGCGGGTGAGGCTGGTGCTGCCCCGGGTACTGTGGGGGGTGCCCTTGCGCGCTGTATGGGGGAAGGTGGCCAGGCGGAGCGTTGGGGGGGAGCGGGGGGAAGGGGCGAGGCGGAGGCGCGCCTGGGTACGGCGGGCGGAACTGCTGCTGGGGAGAGGCGTAGTGCCCCTATGGAAGGCGGGAGGTTGCGGGGGGGGAGGGGAGAAGATAGGATTAAAGAGAAGGAGCAGAGCGATGACATGACAAGTGAGAAGAAAAGTCGGTCAGGAAAGCCAAGGCAAGCGGGCGGGGGGAGGCGGGCTGCGGGCAGGAGGGAGAAGAGAGGGGGCTAGGGAAAGAGGGCAGGATCAAGCTAGCGAGGGAGGTGTGAGGTTTCAAAGGGGGATCGAGAAAGAAGGGAGACCGAGGGACGGAGGCAGGGCGGAGGGAGGGAGGGAATGAGGGAATGGAGGAGGGGATTGAGGGAGGGGAAGGATGCAAGTGAGGGGGCGAAGTGAGCGCGCGAGCAGAGGGCGCGCGCACCTGAGGGGGGGCGCCAGGCGGAAGCGGGGGGCCGCCAGGGCGAGCGCCATAGGGAGCGCCGGGGGGAGCAGGTCCGCCTGGCCCCGTCGCCCCTGCTGCTGCTGTTCCCGGCGCTCCCAGCGCTCCTGGCGCTCCTGGCGCTCCCGGCGCTCCCGGCGCTCCCGGTGCGCCTGGTGCTCCCGGCGCGCCTGGCGCTCCCGGCGGCCCTTGCCCTTGCGCCTGCTGCTGTCCCGGAGGGGCTTGCCCTGGCGGCTGCTGCGGCGGCGGCTGAGTGCGCCCTGGCGCCGGCGGCAGATGCGGCGCTCCCACACCTGGCGCGCCCGGCGGTGCTCCTGGCGCTCCCGGAGCTCCCGGTGCGCCTGGCACTCCTGGCGGCTGGTACTGCAATGAGCGGCGAGCGGGGTCGAATGACGTGAATAAAGACAGTGTAAGAGCAGGAAGGAGGGGGGCGGGAAAGGAGGTACGGGGTGGAACAGGGGGAGTGGAGGGAAGGGGATGGGAGAGGAAGAAGTCGGGAGGTGCGGAGAAATGTTTACCTGTCCGCGGCCTGCAGGCCCGGGCAACAAACCGCCGCCGGGGGATGGCTGCGGAGGACCGCCTATGGGAGGCGCGCCTATAGGCCCCCCGCGACCCGCCGCGTGCATGGGCGGCGCTCCGCGACCCATCTGGGGCGAGGGGGGGGGGATGGGAGTGGAGGGTTGGGGTTCGGGGGAAGTGAGACGCGGAGGGGTGTAACGCAGTCACGCAAAATGCAGATGCGGAGGAGGATGCGGGGGAAGATGCGCGGAAGGATGCGGATGCGGGAGAGAATAGGCGCACAGATAGCTGAACTCGAAACTTCAAACGTCAAAAGGCAAACGAGACGATCGCAGAAGAAACACGAAAATGTGTTGCAACATGATTCATCGCATCTGAAGGCGTCGTGACTCGGTGCGCGCGTTATGCATGAATGCAGCGGTGCGCTTAGTTCGAGTGCGGGACCCTCACTACGGCGGGCGATTTGGAGTCGTCACGAGCGATCGAGGGAGCAGGCGGGGACGGCGAAGGAGCGTTGCCGCCCCCGGGAGGCGCGCCGGTCGCTGGAGCTGCTCCGGGGGCCGCGCTAGCGGCCGGCGCTCCAACTGGCGGCATGGACTTGCCGCCTGGGGCTTATCGGGGAATAGGAGGAGAAAGCGGTAATATCGGATGTGAGAGGCGTGCGACAAGGGGGTACGGAGAGAGAAACGGCGTGCGAGGATTAAAACAGAGTATGGGACGAGCGAAGGCGGAAGCAGAGGAGAGCGATTCGAGCGGACTTTTTTTTTTACCTACATTCCATATGTGTCGACTGACCCATCGCATAAGAGCAGCGATCTGTATCTAAGAGAAGCAATGCATGTTAAATCGATCAGGATTAGGCGGAGAAACGAATGACGCGAACTGAAGGACGCACCCGTCATCCAAGCAGGAAGAGTCATTCCGCGGCCGCGCCCAGATCCCGGTACAGGAGGGACGCCCGCCATGGCGGTTGTCGTGAAGCTATTGCTTGTAGGACGCGATACTAAGGAGATACGTTCTAGAACTAAGCGAAACCCTAGAAGCTCTGGACAGGCTTTCACTTCGAAGAAATGAAGTGCTACACGGCAAGATTCTGAAGTCCCGCATACCCTTTTATGTGCGTACTTGTCTCGCACTGACCTAAATGAGGCTCAACGCATAATCGAGTGCCTTCTAGTTATGCAAAACAAATCAAGGTAATTTTCATTCTTGCATTAAGCAACATATCAGATGGATGAAATGTACTAAGATCCGATATCTAATTCCTCTCGTTAAATAATTGCAGAAATAATCTTAAACCTTCAGACAGAACAAAATCATCTTCTAGAATAATGAGCACTTGAATATTTTCGTTACATAACACATTACACATGCCTTTATCATCACAGCTCTTTGACGAATTATTTCGATTTTTGGCGCCAGCTTTCGGCTGACAGTTGTCCGATCTGGCGTCCTCCCCAGCTGTGCCGTCAACTTCCATGCTTCATGATCCACATCGGAGCCACCACAGGGAAAGCACCCAACCAATCTCCAAGGAAGAAATCTATCGGGCAACACAACCCTCTCGAGATTGTCAGAGTGTGGGCTTCGAAGTGAATCCTATCCCACCCTGCATCCTCCTCTTCCCCTCAACAACGACCAGTCCACTTCAGTACAAAACTTTGATATTTGAATCAGCTGCTATTTCCTGTCGGGCCATTCCTCCCTCACCCTCTCTCTTTTAGCCTTGGCCAAAGCTAGGTCTCGCTGCAGCGACAGGGTCTGCAGGATGGTTAGTATGAAAGATAGTTAGCTAACCCTGGTTTCTTGTTCCAACGCTGTGAATCAGCAGCAGCAAGCCAGAGGCTACTTTACCGTCGCGGTAAACACAAGAAGGTTTCTTGTCTCTTATCGCCGTGTTAAAGGACGCGCTAGTGTATCCGTCTTGTTGCGTGCCGTATCCAACGTGACAAACGACAGATCTCCACAATGCGGAATCGCGGCAGTCCAGACGGAGAGCCGCAGGCTTCGTCCAATGACGGCGCGGAAGAGATGACGCTGTCCGGCGAGCCGGTTGCCGGCCGTTACAAAAAAGGCGGGGAGCTGAGCGACGCGGAATTTCTGGCGGTGCACGGCAAAACGAGAGCGCAGATCGCGGAGGAGAAGCGGCTCGTGGAGGCGCAGGGGATGGAGATTAACTACCTCGTGCCGCCGCGGTCGACGAAGCTGTCGGACGTGATCGCAGTGTTCATCGCGCACATGCTGCCGTTCACGCTCGCTCCTTTCATCCTCACAATAATAGTCGTGTACACCTCGTACATGTAAGAGTGTCGTGTACGCAGCGTACATGTCGGCGGAGCGTGATTGTTCTCGCTGTTGAGGCTGCTGCATTGACCCCTAGGCAGCTCGACATGCGTTTCAGACTGTCGTACGCTCTTTTATGCGCTCGCCGCTTCTAGTGAACATGCCGTCGCGTGTCATTCATGGCTCACGATCCATGACTCATGACCCATGATCCATGACCCACGATCCATGACGCATGATCCATGACCTATCATCCATGACCCATGATCCATGACGCATGATCCATGACCCATGATCCATGACGCATGATCCATGACCCATGATCCATGACCCATGATCCATGACCCATGATTCATTACCCATGATCCATGACCCATGACCCATGATCCATGATCCATGAACCATGCTCAATGACCCATGACCCATGATCCATGACCCATGACCCATGATCGATGGCCCATGACCCATGACTCATGACCCATGACTCACGATCCATGATCCATGACCATATCACCTATCAACCATGGTCCATTTCCAGCACCCCTCAACAATGACCTCTGGCCATCTGTGGCCATAACCTAAGGCCGATTGCTGTCGGGGCTTGTTTCTCTGTGACCCATGTGCGCCATCAGACTGCTCGGGTGGCTGGGGCCGCTCATCGCCTTCCTCGTGCTCTTCTACCTCACCGTCTGCCGGATGCATTACGACCCCAACACGCGCCGCCAGTACCAGGTGCGCTCGCGAGATTACTGGGGTGTCTCGAGGTGCCCGGGGAAACGGAACTACTACCTATTGCTTTCTCCCCGCCTCCGCTCGTTCGTTCCCCCAGGTCCCCCCCAGAAGCTGTACCTGAAGAGGGCACGGATGGTGACGCCTAGGGACCCCATCTCCAACGCACTCTTCCCAACACACTCTCCTCCTTTCTCCCCGTCTCCGCTCGTTCTCACCCTCGTATCCTCCCAGGAGCTGTACCTGAAGATGGCGCGGTACATGGTATCAGTGCGCATGGTGACGCCCAGGGACCGCATTCCCGACGGGCCGTACATCTTTGCGTTCCACCCGCACGGCCGCATGTTCTACTCCACCTCGCTCATCATCCAGTCGCAAGCCCTCTGGCGCAAACACTTCTGCCCTAAAGGTGCGCTCTGGGCTGCTGGGTGCCCTGGCCGCTTCTGAGCTGCCCTGTGTGCTGCTGTGCTGCCTTGTGTGGTGCTATTTTTAAGGCGCCTCAAAAGCATCTTTGTGCTCCACCCGCACGGCCGCATGATCTACTCCACCTCGCTCATCATCCAGTCGCAAGCCCTCTGGCACAAACGCTTCTGCCCCAAAGGTGCGATGCTGTGCGGTGCTATGGGGTGCTATGTGCCGTGCTGTGGGGTGCTATGCAGTGCAGTGTGGTGCGGTTCTATGTGGTGCGGTTATTTACTGTGCTGTGCCGTGTTGTGCCATGCCATGCTGTGCTGCTGTATCATGTTGCACTTTGTGCTGCAAACGTGCTATGCCGAATGCTGCATATGCGCCTCAACCCCTCACCTCTCACCCTGTCCCTCGCACATCCTCACCCACATGCGAATCCCACCCGCTCCCACCTCCCCCAGGCGATTTCTTCGGGTCAGCAGCGGGGGCGTTCTTTGTGGTGCCCATCGTGCGCAACATCCTGAACAACCTGGGGCTCGTGTCTGTGGACAAGCCTGCCATCGTGCGCACGCTCAGGAACAAGGACCACGTGAGTGCTTGGTTGGGGCGAGAGGGAGCATGGGAGAGCTTGGCTGAGAGGGAGCGTGTGAATGCTTGCTTCAGAGGTTTCAAGCAACATCCTGAACAACCTGGGGCTCGTGTCCGTGGATAAACCTGCCATCGTGCGCACGTTGAGGAACAAGGACCATGTGAGTGCTTGGGTGGAGCATGGGAGTGCTTGGCATTGGCAGTGGTGAGAGGGAGCATGGGAGTGGGGCGAAGGAGCATGTAAGTGGGACGAAGTGAGAGAAGGAGAATGCGAGAAGGGAGAAGCATGGGAGTGCTTGCAAGCGAGCAAGCATATGGGCAAGTCGAAGGGAGAAGCATGTCGGACGAGTCTGACAAACCTGTGTTGCTCTGTGCTGGGCATGGGCAGGTGACGATCACGATCGGGGGGGTGAAGGAAATCTGCCTGGGAACCAACCCAGACTACGACAAGCTCTACCTCATGAAGCGGTGAGGCGGGGGGGTGGGGGGGGGGGGGGGGGGGGAGGGGGAAGGGGGGGGAAAGGGAAAAGGGAGGTGCTGGAGCGGTGGTGTGGTGGTGAGGGTGGGATTGGAACAGCATGCTCGATGGCTAGGGGAGAACGGATTGCCTGGGGATCAACCCTCATAACAACAAGCGCTACCTCATCAAGCGGGGAGGCAAGGGGGTGGTGAGGGGTGGGATTGGAACAGCATGCTCGATGGCTAGGGGAGAACGGATTGCCTGGGGATCAACCCTCATAACAACAAGCTCTACCTCATCAAGCGGGGAGGCAAGGGGGTGGTGAGGGGTGGGATTGGAACAGCATGCTCGATGGCTAGGGGAGAACGGATTGCCTGGGGATCAACCCTCATAACAACAAGCTCTACCTCATCAAGCGGGGAGGCAAGGGGGTGGTGAGGGGTGGGATTGGAACAGCATGCTCGATGGCTAGGGGAGAACGGATTGCCTGGGGATCAACCCTCATAACAACAAGCTCTACCTCATCAAGCGGGGAGGCAGGGGGGTGGTGAGGGGTGGGTTTTGATGGAAAGGGGCGAGTATGGCCAGGCAGGATTCGACGTTTGTCAAGTGCTTCAGTATCAGTCTGAATGCAACCCTGAATGCAACAAGCTATACCTCATAAAGTGGTGGGACAGGGGGTGGTGGTGAGGAGGCAAGGGTGTGATGATGAGGAGAGGAGGGGACAGGGAGAAAGGGGAGGGGGAGATAATGTTCTCGGAGAGGTGGGGAAAACGGATTGATGAGAAAGGATATGAATGGCATGGCCTGCGGCCAAGCTAAATGGGGTGGTGTTGGGAAGGGGTTACGCATGCAGGGTTGGCATGCGCTATGGCCAGGCAAGTTCAGCATGCGCTATGTGCTAGGCATGTGACGAGCTGGAAAAAGCCAAGCCTTCCACGTCACTCCTCTCTCACGGCTCATCGTTGCTCCCTCACGGCCTTCTTTCCTTGTCTCTTGCTCGTTCTCCCATTCCTCCCATCGCAGAAAGGGGTTCATCAAAGTGGCGATGGATGAGAAGGTGGGCATTGTGCCCATCTACAACTTCAATGAGAACCAGGTGCGCGTGCTTCACTGTGTTACACCATGCTCACACCATTTTCTGTGGCATGTGCTATAATCTGTTGTGCTCTTCGATGTGGCATGTGCTATAATCTGCTGTGCTCTTTGCTGTGGCATGTGCTATAATCTGCTGTGCTCTTTGCTGTGGCATGTGCTATAATCTGCTGTGCTCTTTGCTGTGGCATGTGCTATAATCTGCTGTGCTCTTTGCTGTGGTATGTGCTATAATCTGCTGTGCTCTTTGCTGTGGCATGTGCTATAATCTGCTGTGCTCTTTGCTGTGGCATGTGCTATAATCTGCTGTGCTCTTTGCTGTGGCATGTGCTATAATCTGCTGTGCTCTTTGCTGTGGCATGTGCTATAATCTGCTGTGCTCTTTGCTGTGGCATGTGCTATAATCTGCTGTGCTCTTTGCTGTGGCATGTGCTATAACCTGCTGTGCTCTTTGCTGTGGCATGTGCTATAATCTGCTGTGCTCTTTGCTGTGGCATGTGCTATAATCTGCTGTGCTCTTTGCTGTGGCATGTGCTATAATCTGCTGTGCTCTTTGCTGTGGCATGTGCTATAATCTGCTGGGCTCTTTGCTGTGGCATGTGCTATAATCTGCTGTGCTCTTTGCTGTGGTATGGTGAATAATATGTTGTGACGCCACACGCTGTGATGTGCCGTCTACGACCTCAACAAAAACCAGGTGCATATGCTGTGCTGAATGATGCTATATGGTGAATGATATATATGATGCCACGTGCCATGGCACATCAACCCGTTCCCACTCCAACCCCTCTGCACTCCAACCGTTTCCCACTCCCACTTCAACCCATCTCCCCATCATTCCCCCACAGATCTTCCGGCCAGAGCCGCACTGGTTCCTGGCGTTCTGGGAGTGGGTGAACAACTATGTGGGCCTGGGCGTGCCGGGCATGCGGGGTTACCTGCAGCTACCCATGCCCTTCCGCAAGTGAGTGCCTGCTTGCTTGCGTGTAGTAAGCGGTGGAGTGCGGTGCTTTGTTGTGCTATGCTGTGCAATGCGGTTCTGTCATCACATGCTACTTTACTGCACTCCAGCAGCTCTAAACACCTACATTGTCATCTCTTTCCATAGTCAGCTCAGGGCATTCGTTTCCTGCACTGTCTGCTCTGCTCTGCTCTCTCTGCGCTGCCCGCCCACACGCACAGGGAGCCGTTGTTCGCCAAAGAGGGAGAAACTGCTGACGGGTTCGATGCCCACTGCGTGGAGGCACTCAAGCAGCTCTTCGGCACCTACGTCCCCATCTCTTTTCTTAGTCGACTCAAATCATTCCCTCCCTGCACTGTCTGCTCTGCTCCCTTGTGCCTACCCTGCCTCGGCAGGGAGCTACTGTTTGTGGTGGGCAAGCCGTTGTTCGCCAAGGAGGGGGAAACTGTGGATGACTTCCATGCGCGCTACGTGGAGGCGCTCAAGCAGCTCTTTGACACCTACGTCCCCATCTCGCCACACCCCTCACACAAACTCGTCATCACATAGCCGTGTGCCGTGCCTCAGAGCGTCTCAACACCCACACCACTGTGACAGGCGTGCAATCTTCATACCGCTTCGCTTCCATCATACGCTTCCTCCTGCTTACATAGTGGTGTAGTACTCATGAGTTGTGCTCTAGGTAGTTTTGCGATAGCCTTTGCCAAGTAGTGATGCTAGTGTTACGGAAGTGTGGCGTGGCGTAGCTCATCCCTGCTTGCTTACTCACGCAGCAGCGACTGCAGTGTCCCGTCGGTGCTGCTGCCAGTCAGAGCCAGCTGCACGAGCTGTGCGTTTTAGCTCAACCATTTGAGCAGTGGTGGCTAGCTTCAAGACACTGGTAGAGGTTTTATGCACGTGTGGTGTGGTGTGGCCACAGGCAACATTGAATAGGTACCGGTACGGTACATCCTGGCTGGCGCTTGGATTGCATGCTAACTGGCAACTCGGCTGCATTTGTCTGCCTGCCTCTGGTTCCCTGATCAGTCTGGAAAAAGATACTAATTTACGGCATTATAAATGGCATTACATTGTGAATGTACAATGCAGAAGCTTTGTGAATGACTGCATGGCAGGCAGGCAGTATAGCCCTAGCGCTGACACAGCAGCACCTGGGTCAGGGGGAGATGCGGCTGGTAGAAGTAGAGTCAAATACCAGCACAGATTGGGGCCTGGTACCGTAATCACCCGGACATACCACCCGCCGAAATTGTAGACCCCCCGGGTGGCTTGTGCGGGGTGGGTGTTATAGTTGACCCCGTTTGTACTATACCCCCCTTTTTGGGGTGATTTTTTATAACACCCCCTTTTTTACACAGAATGCCTTATTTTAGGTGTTAACGAGTATGTGCAATGACGGGGGGACATTGCGACGATCACTTTTTGCACGAAATTACATGGTAATTTCGAAAGTATCTGCTGGGGTCATCTCCGTCCCACTTTTTCACTGTTGCCACGCTGGTAGTTCTTTCGCTATCAAGTGGCCAAAGAGGTGCCACCTCGCAACTTCAAGGAGGAGTCAATGTTGTCGTCGAAACTGACAATCTCGCTTCCAACTGTGATGCTAAACCAACCTTGAAAACACCCAAGCTGCCTATTTATAGAAACCCATACACTAAAAAAATGTCATATATATGCACCCGGGTGGTATGTAGCTTTTTCCTATGAGAAGCCCCCCCCCTTTTTTTTGCTGTATATAAAGTAAGACCCTAGGGTGTTATGTCCGGGTGATTACGGTACCTTGAAACAGCACGGCTTGGTGCATCAGCATGTTTTGAGTCGACTTCAAACACGAGTCAGAAGGAGATGCGGCTGGTAGAAGTAGAGTCAAATAGCAGCACAGATTGGGGCCTGGTACCTTGAAACAGCACGGCTTGGTGCATCAGCATGTTTTGAGTCGACTTCAAACACGAGTCAGAAGGAGATGCGGCTGGTAGAAGTAGAGTCAAATAGCAGCACAGATTGGGGCCTGGTACCTTGAAACAGCACGGCTTGGTGCATCAGCATCATGGCTTGGGGCGCCAGAAGAAGCCGAAGAGGCAGTGGGTGAGGTAGAGGGGGAAGAGCGTGGCGAGGGCGAGCTCACACGCCATGAACCCCGCCGTCATCCCCGTGAAGTCCCCCCCCATCGCCTCCTCGCCGTACCTGGTGGGGGATGAGTGTTGGGAAGTTGTGAGGAATGGAGGGGAGGGTGGGGTGGGAGACAAGGGGTAGGGGGGGTGTTGAGGAGCCCCAGGAAGAGAAGCCATGAACCCTGCCGTCATGCTCGAAAAATCCCCCTTCATTGCCTCCTTGCCGTACCTGGGGGGTGACGGGAGAGAGGGAGGGGATGAGGGGAGAGAGGGGGGGGATGAGGGGTGGGAGAGGAGGGGTAGGGGGGCTGTTGCGAGCCTCAGAAGCAGAATCTACCCTCATGACTTTTGAGTCGACTCAAAAGTCAACCCTCATGGTCACCTCGCTGTACCGTGGGGGGAGGGGGGAAAGGAAGGAAAGTGGGGATAGGAAGGAAATGGGGGAAGGGACGGGAGAGGGGGGGTAGAGTGGAAAGGGGAGACTGAGGAGCCTCAGGAACAGAAGAAATGGTCACCTGGCTGGCTGTAGCGAGGAGGAACGAGTGTGGGAGGAGGGCGGGGGAAAGGGCAAGAGGTGAAGAGATGGAAGGGGGTACTTTGACATTTCCGCGTGAGGGAGGGGGGGTAACGACTTCACCTCATAAGAGGGTACTGCAGCGGTGTGGAGAATGGCCCTCGTGACGCAGGAGAGCCAGTAGAGGCAGCCAAGGACAAAGAAACGAGTAACCCTTGTGGGGAATGGGGTATCTAAGAAGTCACCTCACCTCATAATGGGGTATTGCAGCAGCACGGAAAATGCCCCGATGAACCATGTGAGGCCGTAGAGACAGCCGTGGACAGGATGCGAGTAACCCTCATAAGGAATGGGATATTTAAGCAGTCACCTCACCTCATGAGGGGGTACTGCAGCAGTGCGGCGAAGGCTCCGATGAACCGTGTGAGGCCGTAGAGGCGGCCGAAGTTGCGGAAGCCAAAGAGCGAGGCGATGAGCGCTGCCATGGTGCTGTAGATGAACGCCCTGGCGATGCTGTAGGCTGTGAAACTCACGAGCTGTGAGAGACGGAGGAAGGGGACAGGCAGAGAGGTGGGAGGATAGAGAACAAAGCTATGAGTGTTGCCATGGTGCTGTAGATGAATGCTCTGGCCACGCTGTAGGCGGCGACACTCAGGAGCTGAAGGGCGTGGGTGTGGGCGGAGACGTGGGGTGAGAGACAGGGAGGCCAAGCAGCGTAGAGATGAGTGGCTCCATGGTGCTGTAGGCCACGAAACACAGGAGCTGGGAGCTGCCATGGCACCAAGACACTGGTAGAGGTTTTATGCGTGTGTGGTGTGGTGTGGCCACAGGCAACATGGAATAGGTACCGGTACATCCTGGCTGGCGCTTGGATTGCATGCTAACTGGCAAGCCGGCTGCATTTGTCTGCATGCCTCTGGTTCCCTGGTCGCGTCTGGAAGAAGATAATAATTTACGGCATTATAAATTGGAGCGAATGGGCGTTGGGAAAAAGTGGGTGGAGAGGTGGGATGAGCGAGAAGGTGGTGGAGAGGTGGGATGAGCATGAGAAGGACCATGGCTTAGATATGGCATGAATGGTGGTCCTAGACAGGACCAGTAGAGACCATGGCATCATGGCATGAAAGCATTAGAGGCATGGCATTGTGGCACCAAGGTGGGATAACAGCATGGCAGCATGCCATCATGCCAGCATGCTATGATGGCAGAATGGCAGCATAGCACGGCAGCAAGCACTAGTGGGCGGCATACCATGGCATCTAGCGGAAGGCAGGGGGCGAGGAGCAGCAGCAGGGAGGAGAGGAGCGAGAGGGCGGCAGTGATGGCGAAAGCGGGCGGCAGGCCGAGGGAGTCGATGCTCCAGCCGGCCAGTGGCACGCTGAGACAGCCGCCCAGAGGCAGCAGGCAGTTGAAGGCGTCGATGTAGTGCTGCTCCACGGCTGCTGCAGTTGATGGTGGGTGGATGGCCTTGGCGTTCTGCGGTGGAGAACGGAGAATCGGGGGGAAGGAAGGGACGTTGGCACAGGCAGAGAGCAGGCAGTTGATGGTGTTAGCTCTGCTGCACGGCTGCTGCGACGGATGGCGGGTGGATGGCGGGTGGATGGTGGGTGGAGTGGAATGTTGCAGTGGAGAACAGCGGTGGGAGGGAGGAGAAGAAACGGGGAGGCAGCGAGCATGAGCAGAGTACAGTGGGTGAATGACCTTGAGTGGTGCCGTTTGAGAGAGGAGAAAGAGGGGGAGTGCAGCGAGCAGTGGCAGTTGAAGGCACGCACGCAGTGCTGCTACAAGGCAGTCGTGAGCATTGGTGTACCCCTTTGTAGTGACTCTGACATTCTTTAGAATTCTCAAAAATGACTTCGGAGAATTCTCAGACTGTTGGAGGATCTGTTAGCACTTGTAGCACTCACCATGGCGAAGCTGATGTGGTCGTTGACAGCAGCGATGTACACGTTGGGCTGGAGAGTGCGAATACGAGTTGACCTTATCGTTGACTAAATCATCCCCCCCTCTCCCTCTCCCCCCCCTCTCCCTCTCCCCCCCCTCTCCCTCTCCCCCCCTCTCCCTCTCCCCCCCTCTCCCTCACCACAGCGAAGCTGATCTGGTCGTTGACGGCAGCGATGTACACGTTGGAGCGCAGCACATAGAAGGCCGCCACAACCACGTGCACCCAGAACAGCGGCGACCTGCGGTTGTTGCAGTGGCGAGGGGAGGAGTGGGAAGTCAAAGTCACAAAAAGGAAGGCCGGCATGAACACGTGCCGTGCGGGTTGTTGCAGTGGCGGGCGGCAGCTGGGGGTAATGGGAGATGGAATGGGAGATGGAATGGGAGATGGAATGGGAGATGGAATGGGAGATGGAATGGGAGATGGAATGGGAGATGGAATGGGAGATGGAATGGGAGATGGAATGGGAGATGGAATGGGAGATGGAATGGGAGATGGAATGGGAGATGGAATGGGAGATGGAATGGGAGATGGAATGGGAGATGGAATGGGAGATGGCAGGAGTGAAATGGGAGATGGCAGGAGTGAAATGGGAGATGGCAGGAGTGAAATGGGAGATGGCAGGAGTGAAATGGGAGATGGCAGGAGTGAAATGGGAGATGGCAGGAGTGAAATGGGAGATGGCAGGAGTGAAATGGGAGATGGCAGGAGTGAAATGGGAGATGGCAGGAGTGAAATGGGAGGTCCATCTGAGCTTGGAGGCGGGTAGAGCCACTAGGCACGACTACCGCGAAAAATCGAAAACCCAGGCGTGGGCAGCATATAGGTGGGAGGGCCACCTGAGCTGGGAGGTGATGTCAACATTGTAGATGGCAGGCGGAGACTAGAAGCTTAAACCCTGAACCTTGAACCTGATTGCAGCTGGCATGGGCAGTGCACAGATGGCAGGGGCACCTGAGCTGGGTGGCGATATCGCCGTTGTAGATGGCAGGCGGGGGGGGCAGGCACGGGGTGCTCCGGCCGTGGAGCCACACGATGGGCAGATTGGGAGACAGCGGGATGCTGCCTCGCCCTGTGACAGCTGGCAGCGCCACGTGACATGCTGACGTGGTCAGCTCGTCGGCAGCAGCAGCAGTGCTTGTACCGCTGGCATTCCCAGCAGCAACCTTATCACTGCCACCAGTGCCCATGAGGCGCAGTAGGTAGAGCCGCTCCAACTCCCCACTGCGCCTCGCCCCCCCTCGTCCCTCTCTCGACCCTCCAGTCCGACCCCCCTCCTCGTCCCTTCTCCCCACTGCTGTCAAAGCTGCTCCCATCCCCTCTCTCGTCCCTCTCGTCCCCTCCTCCTCCCCACTTGCGACCTCAGAACCCCCCTCTCTCCTTCCCACTGCGGGTCTCCCTTGCCCCCTCGCCCCCTCCTCCTCATCTGACTGGCTCTGCGGTGGTTGCTCCTTGCTTGCCTGCACCTCGCTTGAATGCTCCTCGCTTGCGGGTTGCAGGAGAGGTGCGGTGAGCAAAGAGAGCGAGTCAGGTTGGAGAGATGTGGAAGAGGGGAGGGTGGAGGCGGATGGAGGAGTGGTGTGCGGTTCTGAGGCGGGTGAGGCACCAAAGGGACTGCAAAGACGAGGGCAGGGTGAGGGGGAAAGGGGGAAGGAGGGGGGCTGCGTAAAGAAAGATGGGAAATGGTGGGGGGAGGGCGATGTGGATGGATGGTGATCAAGGGAGCGGTAGGGACCGAGCATGGGGATGAGAACCTCGGACGTGAGCTCACAGGGTGAGTTTGACAGCAAGAGGCAGAGAGGGCGACGAGAAAGGGCACAGTGAATGACAGAAACGACAACTACTCTCCCTCAAACCAAGCCCGTCGTGCACACACAACCACACTACAGCCCCCCTCTCAAACTCGACTCATCGCACACATCGGGGAACGTGACGGCGGCGACGGCAGCAATGGCAAGCGGCACGACAAGGTAGGCGAGGCAGACGGAGGAGAGGGCGAGGTGAAGGCGCGAGACGGCGAGGGCGAAGAGGAAGAGCAGTGCGGCAGAGGCGTCAAAGGCACCGCTCTGTGCTGCTATGACCGCTGCTGATGATGATGGGAGGAGCTCTGAGAAGTTGATCTGGTGAAGGAGTGGGGGTAAAGGGAGGGAAGAGGGGATGGGAGGAGAAATGGTTTGCTTCGTATGCTGAGTGGCGGCAGGGTGGTGGGAGAATGGTTGGAATGCCAGGGAGGTGAGAGGCTATGGGTGGAAGCTGTGTGTGGATGGGCAGGCAGGCAGAATGAAGGAAACCCACTCTGGAAATTGAGATTTCTAGGAAGCAGGAGTGGGCACAGCGGCACATTGCATTGCACTGGCCGTACCATGGGCGTGAGGATGAAGGGCCCTCCGAGCGCCAGGAGAAAGAAAGCCGCAAAGAAGCACACCCCAGCAAATCCGACGCCTTTCTTCACCCCTCTTAACCCCCCTGCCACCCATCCCAACCCCTCTGTCATCCCTCTTATCCCCTCTCCCCCCCTCCTACCACCCTCGCCCCGAGCGGCCATGCCACCCCCATCCAATGCACTGTCCTCTGGCGGCCCCTCCACACGGCGGCCTGCTATTAAGTGGGAACGATTGTCTGACAGCTCGAAGTGATGGGGGCAATAGTGCAGCGGCCAAGGCGGGGGGAGAGGGCGGAGGAGGAGGGGGGACTGGGTGTGGTGGGATTCATAGGCAAGGAAGGCGGGAGGCATGGAGAGCAGGGAGGCGGAGGGGGAAGGCATGAGCAGGGCAGGGGGAGGGGCGGGGGGGGGCGGGTGGGAGAAGGCGGAGCCGAGGGCGAGGGCGAGGAGGCCCGCGGAGAATACGAGGGAGCCTGTGATGGCTGTGATGCGCGGGCCGTAGGCATCGAGGAATGCGCCCACTGGCAGCACACACGCGCTATTGGTCACCATGCCTGGTGGAGGGGGCAGGTATGCATGAATGCACATGCACATGCACATGCACATGCACATGCAGATGAAAAGCGCATGGTAACAGATGAGTGCATGAGCGCACACACGACAATGCAGGGGGCATAGGGGCCATGGGGGTTCAGCAGCAACAGAGTGCACACACGCATGCCGCATCGCCCCTTCGTTATAGTCACGTACTGAGAGTGTAGGCGGCGTTGAGCAGGTTCATCTGGGCGGCGCACGGCACGGCCTCCCCCTCTCCGCACGCGTCGCTGAACGCGCCCACTTCCGCCACCAGCACGGGCAGAATGCCCGAGTACCCGTAGATGATGCCTGGCAGGGGGGGGAAGGGGGAGGAAAGGACCGGGGGAAGCGGTGATTTGGGGAAGAGGTCACGCGGGGGAGCGGGGAGCGGGATTCAAGCAATGTAGACTTTTCCAGGGATGGATATTCCGCAAGTCTCGCGCGCCAGTGACGGCGTCATCTGTACCGGCGGTGAGCAGAGCGGCGAGCACGGAGACGGAGACCAGCAGCAACCGCCTGCCGCGCGACAGTTGCGCCTCTTCTTCCACTCCCCTTGCGCGCGACGCCATTACCGCGCGCGGACCCGCTTCTGATTACGCGCCGTCGCGTGCGCTCCTGCCTATCAACCCACAGCGTGCGAATGCGAAAACGGGAATGGTGGGTAACAAGACTGCCTGGCGAGCATCTCACGATTGTTGAAAGGCGTGGACTTGGGCGCCAAAGACCTATCAATTGCGGCGGGGCAGCGACGAGAAGCGTGAAAACGAAGACGGGTTGATCTAGTTACGAGATTCGAAAGCGCAGAGAGAAAAAGGCAGAGAATTGGGTGTGGGCAATCGCGACCATGGGAGGAGGGGCGTATTGAGCTGCGTGGCACAGTTTGTGAGAGCCACTTGGCGGGCCCTGGAATTGGTGTCTGAGAATCCCAAGGGCGCTCCGTGACTCGCGATTGATTGGCTCTCTCCAATGGAAAGACAGATCCACCTTTTGATAATTATATACGCTTTATATTATACATATGCTATATGCTATGTGGGGGCTCAATCCCCTTTGCCCTACTTGTTCTTGTGATCCTTGGCAGTGGTCTCCAAAAATAACCGTACATGGCTAGTGAGAGGTAATATGGAAATGTGGCTGTTAGCATCAGCTCTATAGCAAGGAAGACACCATTCACCAATACGAATTGTGCGCCCATAGAAGACTCACAGGCACTACACATTGGCAAAAACGTCGGGATTAGTTTTTGAGAAATCAGCAAGACACATCATCTGTTTTTTTTTACTTGCCTGAACGAATTAGCCTCGTTTTCACAACGTACCTCATCAACGGGTATTGTAACAATGTAAGGAATGCGCCTCCTAGCCGGTTGATCCCATACAGCCGGCCAAAGTTGCGGAAGCCGAAGAGAGTGCCAACATATGCCGCCATGGTGCTGTAGATGAATGCCCTGGCGATGGCGAAGGCGAGGAACGCCACCAGCTGCAGCACACGCTCAGGGGGGAGAGAGAAACCGAGAGGCAGATGGGGAGGGAGGTGAGGATGAGTGGGGCTGGGGCGACAACCAGCAGTTAGATGGAGGAACGAAGACGGGATACGGGAAAGAGAAAGAGAGTGTCCTTTTGTAACATCAATCAAGGCTACGCAGTGCAGTGCGGGCGGGACACGTCCCACCTGCATGGGAAGCGGCACCCAAGCCGCCATCATCTGAACAGCGGAGCACAGCGCGCAGAGCAGCGTGGTGAGCGCGAAGGAGAATGGCAGCCCTGGGCGCTCCATGCTCCACCCTGCCAGCGGCACGGCGAACACACCGCCTGCTGCCAGCACGATGTTGAAAATGTCAATGTAGCTCGTGACTTGCGCTGCGGCATCTAATGGGAGGTCGGTGGTGGCGGTGGAGGGAGGAATGCTGAGGAGAGTCGTCTGATGGGCGTGGAGAGGGAGGGGGGTATGGGGTACATGGAAGGAAGAGGGTGGGGGTGCTGCAGATTGTGATATGGGAGTTGAAAAAATAGCACATGGCAAATGCCACATCGCAAGTAGCACATGGCGCAAGGGATACAGCATATAGCACGTAAGACAAGGCACATGCACATGGCACATAGCACTTGCCTTGTACCACGGTGTAGCGGATGTGGGTGTTGACGGCAGCAATGAATAAGTTGGAGCACCGCACGAGTATGGTTGGCTTTCATGTGTGAGATTGCAGGATAGCACGTGCTGTGTACTACGAATGCTGCAATTTCCAATATGTGGGTTGACAGGACAGCACGTAGCACATGGCACATAACAGAGATCACATAGCTCATACCACGGTGTAGCGAATGTGGGAGTTGACAGCAGCAATGAAGAAATTGGAGCGCAGTACAAGGTATGCTGACACTGCCACATGCACCCAGAACAGTGGCGCCCTGATGCAGTGCAAAGGGGGGGCGGGGAGGGGTGGAGAGTTGCAAGGGGAACTGTTGGTGAGAGAGAGGAGAAAAACGTCAGACACGGGAGAGGAAGCGTGAAAGGGACATGTATGTTGCAGCAGCAAGGAGCAGTGATGTGGGCATGTGTGCGTGTGGCGCACCTGAGCTGGTGCTTGAGCGGGGAGTTGAAGATGTGAGGTGGAGGTGCAATAACTTCCGTGTCTCTCTCCTCTCTCGCTGCCCTTGCACCTGCCGCTCCTCTTGCCTCTTCTGCTGCTCCTGCTTCTTCTGCTGCTTTTGCTACTGCTGCTCCTGCTGCAGCTGAAGCTGCTGCTGCCTGTGCCAGGCGCAGAGAGTACAGCCTGCCCAGCTCGCCCTTCTCCCACTGACCCCCCTCCCCCGTTCCCCCTCCCCCCTCTCCATCCACCTCCCCCTCCCCCCCACCCTCCCCTCCGTTCTCCCCACCATCATCACTCGAGCCACTTCTGTACACCAGAGCTAGCACGCTATCCTTCCTCTCCCTCTCCCCACTGCCTATTTTCTCCTCTCCACCACTACTGCTGATGCTGCTGCTGCTACTACTGCAGGAACACTCCTCTATCCCCTCATCATCAGCAATACCATCACCTGTCACTTCTATCCCCCTTCCCTCCTCCTCCACTAGACGTCCCACCAATACCACTTCCCCTTCCTCCTTCCCGTCCCCTTCTTTCCCCCCCACCCCTACCTCCGCCCCGTCCCCTCCCCCATCCCCCCTGACACGCACTCCCGCTGCTGCAGCGTCCCCCAAGTCCCCTCTCCCACCACTTGCACCACTCTTTGTGGCGCCAAAGGGGGAGTTGGGGAAGACAGCGGCAGCGAGGGCGCCGAGGGCGAGGGGAACGATGCAGTAGGCGAGGGCGAGCGCGGAGAGGGGGAGGTGCAGGCGCGTGACAGCGAGGCCCAGCAGGAAGAGGATGAGCGAGGACGCCTCGAATGCGCCCGCCTGTGCGCTGATGATGGCGGAAGAGAGGCGCGGCACGAGTACACAGAAGTTGATCTGGAGAAGGGTGGAGAGGGGTGGAGAGGGGTGGAGAGGGAGAAGGGGAACGCGGGAGGGAGAGACGAAATGGGGAAGGATGGGTGGCAGAGAGGCGTGGGACGAGGGCACAGAAAGTTGATTCGGGGATGGGGGGAAGTGGGGATGGCAGAGAGAGGGAGAGAGGGAGCGGGTGGGAGGAGGGGGAGAGCGAGAGGCAGTGCGTAGAAGGGGCGGTATGAGGCATGGGAGTGTGGGAGGAATCATGGAGAATGAGAGGAGGGGAGGTGGGACACGCACGGAGGAGGTGAAGATAAAGGGGCCGCCGAGGGAGAGGAGGAAGAATGCAGCAAAGAAGAACACGCCAGACGCCGCCTCCTTCCCCCCGCTGCTCCCCTCCGCCGTCACCCCTGCTTTCCCCTGCCCTTCCGCCTCCAGCTCGCGCCGCTGCACCCCTTGTTCACCGCGCATCACTTGCTCCCCCAGACAACCTCCACTCCTGCGCCAGCAAGCATGTCCTTCAACCCACCCTGCCCTCTCCACCCGTGCTGCCCCCCATTTGCCCATCACCTTCACCATACGAGCACCTTCTCCCGCCCCATGCGCTCCCCGATTTCCCCCGGTCAACTGCGCCCACGAACCCCCTGGTAGGGGCACTCCCCCGTTCCGCGGCGCTGCTTCGACCCGCATCAACCCCCGTGGGGGCTGCGTAATGACCACCGCGGCAGAAGCACTCGTATTCGCGAATTCTGCCATGGCTGGCATAACCACAGTGGCATTCGCGGTACTGTTACTAGTATCAGTACTATTAGAGACGCTGGGCGGCGTTGCGGCGTCAGGCGCGGCGTCATTGTGGGCCCTGGGCGCGAACGCGCCGGCGCCGGCGAGGGCGAGGAGGCCGAGGGCGAAGATGACAGTGCCAATGAGTGTGGTGCGGCGAGGTCCAGTGCGGTCGAGGACAAGGCCCACCACAATTGCGCTCGCGCTGTTCGTGAACATGCCTGATGAAGGAAAGGAGAGAGGGTGGGGGCGTGGGGGGAACGGGGGAACGGGGAGACACGGGGACGGGTTGCGGGACGGGAAGGGGATGGAAGGGAAACTGGGTGACCGCGGAACGGAACGCGGAAAGCGACGGTGATGGTGGCCACATGGCGAACATGGAAGCGAAACCGGGGTTTCACACGGATTAAGCGGCGTGGGCCCACGCGGAGGCATATTCTTGCAGCGCCATTTGTTTCTGACGGTGTGGTCGGCGTTGATGAGGCTCATCATCTGCTGCGCGTTGCACGGCGCGAGGCGACTTCTAAGTCCAATCAAAAGTCACCTCGGAAGCATCATGTGAGTTGAGCGGGTGGGCAACGCACTGAGGGTGTAGGCGGCGTTGAGCAAGCTCATCTGACGCGCGCACGGCACGGGTTCGCCTGCCGGACACGCGCCGCTGAACGCGCCGACTGGACCCGTCAGCGCGGGGAGGAGGCCCGAGTATCCAAACGTGACGCCTGGCGGGGCGGCGGCATGGGAGGAGAGAAAGACTACGATGAAATGCGTGGATGTCGGTTGAATCAAGCGGACTGCGTTTTGGTATACTATCAGAGAGAACCAGAGGCGGCAATTTCGAGACCCGATAATACCAGCGATAGGGTAGGAGACAAACACGGGTGAGGCTAGTGCGTTCGACAAAAGATAGTAGGCGGTGGGGCGGACCTGCAGTGAGAAAGGCGGCGACGATGGAGGTAGTGACGAGCAGAACACGGCGACCGCGAGACAACTGCTCTGGCCGACGCGCCATCACGTAGAAATGTCACCCAATTATTAACTGGGACGGATTACTTTCGAAATTGGTATCTACGAGTCGTCTGTGCATCTATCTTGCTAGTAATGCCGAGTCCTAGAATGCGCCTGAAGTCCCAGCCTTCCCTGAATTCCAACTTGAAGTCGGCGAATCCGTGCAGTTGGTCCTCCAGGGTTGTTTCTGCGACGAATGCCATCACCCATCGCATTGTCTGGGTTGATATCTGGGACCGCGTCGCGCAGTGGTTGGGAATTCCCCGTTATTGGGGACCGTGGGCCAACTGCTGAATTTCGGACCTTCAGGTTGTGTCGCTTTCGCGAAGCTGTGGATCTGGTTTGGTTTCCGCCTTCGCTTTGCTGGCTCTTACACCGCCCTAGCGCGCCAATGACAGAGCTGAGCCGAACCTGTAGAAACCAATAAAAAAGCTGGTTGGCTTGGCTCTTGCTGGTGGAAAGGCCAGCTCATAGGTCGTTCGGCAAAACTGGCATTGCGTGACTGGGGCCAGATGGCGTGAGGTTGTTGGCGACGTTGTGTAGTCACCGCACGCGCCAAACACGCAACAGATCACAGAATTAACCAAACACCTGTTGGAAAATGTTTTCATAACAACAGTTAAAAAACGCCACCAGCACAAACTAAATAGCTTCATGCACATATATTACTTGTCACTCAACACCATACCTAACTGCTCACATCAACATCAGGAGCATTTTAGTCGAAAGAGAGGAGAGCCGCACCACTTTTCAAGAGGCGGGCGCAGATGGTTTCATCTTCTTCCTCTCGCGCTTCTCCTTGCGCTTAAGGGAGTCCATGTGCGCCTTGAGCACGAGCGCATACGCCGCCTGAAACTTGGCATGCTCCCGAGGTCCCAGCTGGAGCAGGACACACAGCGTCCACAGAGCACAAGACAAAGCCCCCCAAAATCTCACGTGAAGTTGGCAAGTAGCAATTTATATAAGCACGTTGAAACGCACGACGAATGCACGATAATAAAGCATGGGCGGACCCGCATACTCACCAGGGTGCTGATCTTCCTCTTGCCATCGGTGGCCCTCACCACACACCGGTACTCCGCAGCGCTGCTCTCGTCCTCCTCCACGTCATCCCCGCCTGCCTTCTTTTCGCCTCCCTTGGGCTTCTTGCGCAGGTTGGCTGCAGGGGATAGGGTCGACAGGAGCAATGGAGGAACGGAACAACCATGGAAAACAGGGGGGTTTTGATAAGGAAGAAAAGCAACACTGGCAAGCAATGGTTCCCAGCTATCCATCTGCTGATTCCAGGAAGCAGGTGTCACTTCCACTCACCATTTGTACACTTAAGAACTCCACCCACACCTGTTAGACTGCAACCCCCACACACAGCGCTTCAGCCCATCCCCACCTGCGCCGGCACTCACGGCGCTTGAGCCCCGCCCCTACTGGCACTCACAGCGCTTGAGGGTGACCCACACGGTGCCAGCGCCCTTGTGGCGCTCATACAGCTTGGTGAGCTCGTTCAGGAAGGGGTCCGGCTCCAGCAGCATCTGTGCTTGCAGGGAGGAGGGGGTGGGGAGCAGCGGGGGCGGGCAGTGGGATCAAGGGCGCAAGAGACAGCTTGGTGAGCTCGTTCAGGAAGGGGTCTGGCTCCAGCAGCATCTGCCATGCAAGGGAAGATGGGGCGGAGAGAGGGCAGGGGCAGGTAGCAGGACGAAGGGCGGAGAGAGAAAAATGGCGGGGCCAAGGGCGCTCCTTTAAGGTGCCCGAAACAACCAGTGGCATTGCCCTTGTGGCGCAAAGGCACAGGTGGTGAGCTCGTTCACGAAGGGGTCCGGTTCCAGCAGCAACTGCCATGCAGGCAGGGCTGGGGTGGGGACAGAGGGGTGGGCCGAGGGGGAAAGGGAGCAATGGGAGGTGTAGGGAGTGAAAAGAGAAAGATTGCAGGGAGGGGGGAGTGGGGGGTTGCTCAGTGTGAAGTGAATGTTGAGATTTAATGAGAGGCCGGGCCACACGGGGTAAGAGCAGGGTGAGAAGAGGGAGCAGGTCAGAAAGGCATTGGAGAGAGGAAGGCGTGTATGGGCTTGATTGACGATACCAAGGAGGGCGGAGGAGAGGAAGAGCAGGAGGGGATGGGGCGGTAAAGAGGGGGCTGAGGAAGGGAGAGGTGGGTGAGAGTGAGAGGGGACGAAAGATGGGAGAGGGGAAGGATGTGGAAGCTGCGGATGCACCAGGAGCTGCACTGGAAGATGGGAGAAGAGAATGATGATGCAGGGGAGGAGATGCCGAATGGAAGTTGAGCAAGCTGGGAAAAGGGAAGGGGGGTTGGGAGGTGGGAGGGGGGGGTGAGAAAGGGGACAGAATGTGAGGGAAGGAGGGGTGGAGGCTTTGATAAGAGGGTGTATAAAGGACACATCGAGTCCGTTGGCTATTGATTGAGTAATGAAGTACATTCACATTATAGAAAACGAGGTCAACCAAAACGTAAAAGCGTAGCGCCTACAAAACTGCTCCTGCTGCCGCCTCTCCGCCACTACCAGCCAGTCAGCCCCTATCAGCACTACTCCTGCCGCTTCCCCTCTACCGCTACTCCTAGCAACGCCTGCTCCTCCGCCTTCTGCTGCTGCTGCTTTGTCACTGGCAGCACAGCAGCCCCAGCAGCAGCGGCGGCCTTTTCCCTCTCAACAGCCCAGCTGTACGCGAGCATGCCGAGCACGGCGACAGCCATGCCCATGAGGTTCTTGGCGGTGAGCGGCGAGTGGAACAGCGCGGAGCCCAGCACGAGCACGAACAGCGTCTTCATATGCCCCAGCACCTGGAATGAAACCGCGGAGAACTTTCCGATGCAGAGGTACATGGAGAGGTTGACAAAGAGCGCGAGCACGCAGGAGAGCACGATGAACGCCACGGACACGGGGGTCGGGTGGAAGGCCAGCAGGCTGCGGCGCGTGAGGAGGTAGTCCACTGTGGGGCCGGAGATCACGAGCAGCACGGCTTGGTACGGCGCCGTCTTGCTGAGCAGGTCGAAGGATCCCACGCTGTACTGCTTCTGTAACGACCCGATGAAGATCTGCTGGAAGGTGGTGGAGAGCACGGCGACGATCGCGGCGAGCAGCCCGGCGGTGTTGACGGTGACATCAGTGACGGTGCAGATGCCCACGCCGATCATCACGCCCACGACGGCGGCTTTCACGGCGGGCGAGAACGTCTTGCGGTGCAGCAGTGCTTCGAAGAGGCAGCAGGCGGGGATGATGGAGAGTTTGGTGATCTGGTAGAACCCCACTGAGTTGACCATGAGGGACACGTTCATGCTCACGACGGCCAGGCTCGCCACGCACGCGAACCACAGCAGCGTGCGGGCCGGCACGTGCTTGCTCGGCGCGAGCGCGCCGGCGGCGGTCGCGGCGTTGCCGACGGCGGCGGTGGTGATGAAGTGGAGAGCGGTGAGGGACGTGGCGAATGCGAAGCCGTAGGAGGTCATGAGGGCCTTGTTCACGAGGATGATCCCCACCGACGACACCACGTTCATGCCCCACGCGCCCGCCCATGACAGCGCCGCCGGATCGTTCAGCATCGCGGCGGGCCGGGAGGAGACGTGCGGGGACGGCGCGAGCGTGACAGAAGAGGGCTACCAGGCGTGCTGCGTCTGCTGCAGATAACGGCTGCGAGCTAAGAGTCGCACCGACTACACGTGGGAGCCGACTAGGCTATTGAACATCCACTAGCGACCGGCTTGGAGTGTTCATGGAGCGGGCTAGACGAGAAAAGGCTGTCGCGTTCGAAGCTGCGGTTGACCGGGACAGCACTGCACGACCGAGATCGGTTGCGATGCTAAATCCGTAAGAGTGAGCACGAGGAGGAGGACGGCAGGGAGATCGCACCCTCTACCCTAGCGTCGTAACGTCGCTATTCCCCCCCGTGCTGGTCGAACTGTTCTTGCCGCTTCGCGTCGCAAGAACAGACCCCGAGCCTGCAAGGCCAACAGGCAGGGGGGGCACACACGGGGAGGAGCGGATTTTTTTTTTTTAACTGGAAAATCGGAAAGGGTTCGCAGTGGAATGAAGGCTTTTAGTGCCCATTCAATCTGCTCGCAACAATTCGGCACGAACTTCATTCTCAGGCATATGGAGCATGTGCTGAAGCCAGATGGTGAATTAGGTCAAAAGGGCCACCCAAACAATGGCAAGATTCGAATCTTACAGTTTCCGCGACAAGCGAAGGCCTTAATGGTTTGAAGACCAACATATGCCGACCGTTCAGATCGACTGGGATGGTTACTAGACTCCGTGACGGCGAATTCATGAATCCAGCAATAAGTTTTTCAGTCGACATCTTTCAATATCAGAATTCGCATATTGAAGGGCACCAGGTTGCGCTTCGATACCTAAATTAACTCACGCATCCTGATCATTCTCACCTGATTGCACGTCATCCCTCAGTGCTGTACAATTACGAAGAGCGAACACACCAATAGCAATATGCTCTTTGAGGGTTTATAGCAGCGCGAGCTTACCTTGTGAATCTACGAAGATCGAAAGCTAGCCGGTTGATCGCCGGCGGGAGCTGGTTGCCAAGCTTCAAAACAGCAGACCAGAAGCACCGCAGTTTAGTAGAGTGGTGGCCGTAGTGGTGATCTATGAATTAGAAAGCGATAAGGTGCTGCAGTGCCAAGCGAAGCACAAGGTGTGCAGCACCTTGGGATTCTGTTCTGACACGTGCGTGTGGAGGGGAGGCACGGAGGCACAGAGGCACGCGGTGACGGTGGGCGGAGGGAAGCAGGCGCGCGGTTCAAGCGCGGCGGGAATGGCTGGGCAGATGACGAGGGTGCGGTGCCTGAAAGGAGGGGTGCGGCGCGGATCAAGGGAATAGCGGGAGCCCCAATTTGAGGATCTGGGGGAAAGGAGGTAACGTTCAGGAGTTTTTTCGTGTGGTTGCTGCTAACGAAGTTATGCGAGCAGCCACATGGGGGAATCGTGGGTGATGACGAGAACTATGTACTCTCTATGAGCGAACCTGGCAACAGTTTGAAGCGAGTGAGGTTGTCACTTCACTTTATTTGCGCAAAGCACATGTACACAATATTCTGGTGGGCACGAGTCGGCCCTGAAACCTCGGAACCGAGCCAGACTGCTCCCGCCACGGAGGCACTGGAGCGTGCCGCCGTTGGCTGATAAAAGTCACACCGGACCTGCCGCAAGTCCTTACCACCATCTCCCGCCATCCCAAACCAGCTTCAGGCCATCAGCTATCACATCATACATGTTTCTCCTCCCGTCCTCCCTAATCCAGGCAGTTTCTTGCTCCCCTTGTCGTAGTCTAAAAATCTCCTTGATCGTTCTGCGGACCCGTCTCACTAATACCTCACAGACTCTACCACGATAGGACTTCATGCAGACTCTATCTTGTCGTGTCGCGCGATCGTGCAGCACATCCATTCCACGGTTGGAATCCGCTGGAGTAGGTGTGGTTGCCAGAGCACAGATCACGTCTGTTCCAGTACTATCCTGCCAAGCCACACACTCGTCCTTCCCCGCATTGCGATCAGCGCGAATAAGTTCGCCAAGATTAAGACATGCAGGGTGCTCCCTAGCCGTTACTGCCCGTAACTCCGCTTTCTCCATTTCCCATGGCTCTCGCAATTCCATCAGAACTTCCTTCCGCGACTCGCTCAGTCCGTGCGAGTCGCTATCGTCCCAGGGCCTGACGGCTCTGCTCCCCTCCTCACGCTCGCGCATCGACCATTCTTTCCGCGTGACGAACCCGTCGCGGCGACGAGTTAGGGTTTCCGCGTCGTGGAAGTCCGGCAAGCCCAAGGTCAAGGCCAAGGCCGGCAAGTCCAAGGGCGCCGCGGCGTGGCAGTCTGCCTACAGCCAAGCGTCGCGGAAGGGCAAGAGCGGTGATCAATCGCGGCGCAGACAGCGGGGCCGGCGCGGAGGCAGAGGGCCGAGCGAGGGGGATAACGATGGCAACGGCACGCTTGCGTACGGGCGGGGGGCAGGGGCTGGAGCGGAGGCGGCGGGGGTGGGTGACGTGTCGTCGTCGGCGTCGTTCGCGTTCTACCATGCGGGGCTGGGCGGCATGCCCATCGCGGCGGAGCTGGTGAGCGCGCCGCTGAGCGCCAAGAGCGGCGGCGCGGAGGAGGCGCTGCAGTCGCCGGAGAACCTCGCGATCCCTGCAAAAGGTGGCCTCGAGGACGCGGAAGCCTCAGTCGCCGCCGTGGACAGGTGCGTGCTGTCGTACGTGGACTGGGAACTTGGTGACTCAAAAAGATAGGTGCTTGCTGACGTGGCTGATTTGGTAAGAGGAGAGAAGCCAGAGAGGCGATGTTTGTCGACTAGTGGCGCTCTCCTGTTGGCCCACAGCCACTGGCTGCGGAAGAAATCGTGGGGGGGTTGGGAAGGGGGGAGGAGGGGGGAGAGAAAGGGGAGGGGATGGCATAGGCGCAGCCGCGTAGCGCAGATCCCGCGCCAGTAGGGTAAGTGAGAGAGTGCGTTGTAGTCCCGGGCAGCGGCGCGAGCAGCTTTCCCTCGTGGCGTTGCCTTTGTGCCACTAAACTTGTGCCATTTCCCCGCCACCTCTCTTCTACGTTTTCGTGTGCGTGCGTGCGTGATTGTGTGCGTGTGCATGATCGCATGGTTGTACGGCAGCGCGGCGGCGGCAAGCAACGCGCTGCAGCTGCTGTCAGGGGCGTGCGTGCTGCCGCATCCCGACAAGGCGCACAGAGGCGGCGAAGACGCCTTCTTCATCCTCGACGGCGCTGCTGTTGGTCAGTGCTGCCCCTCTCTCGCTCTCATTACTTTCTCACACCCCTTCTCAAATCCATACTGCAGTTCTTCATGCTCTTTCTCCCCATCCGCTCACCCCTCTCACCCTCTCACCCTCATTCCCCTCTCTCTCCCCGCTCTTTCCCCCTTCTCCACGCACACCCCGTTCCGGCGAGCAGGAGTGGCGGACGGGGTGGGGGGGTGGGCGGAGATAGGCGTGGACGCGGGGCTGTACGCGCGGGAGCTGATGGGGCACGTGCAGCGCGCCGTGGAGGACGAGCCCAAGGGCGGCGCGGACCCCATGCGCGTGCTGGAGAGGGCGCACAGCAGCACCGCCAGCTACGGCTCCTCCACCGCCTGTGTCGCCGTGCTGCAAGCCGACGTGAGATGCACCGCCTTGTGTGCTTGTGAATTTGCACACCAGCAGCCTTATCTCTTTCGTTTTTATACTCTCTAACACCCTATTCCTTCCACTGCCCCTGCTCCTGGCGCCAACCTAACCCGCACTCCCCCATCCACCCCCTGCTCCCCCCTTTCCCTGTACTTGCACGCAAGCAGCAACTGCAGGCGGCGAATCTGGGCGACAGTGGGTTTCTGATCATCCGGCACGGGCACGCCATATTCAAGTCGCCCTCGCAGCAGCACGACTTCAACTTCCCCTTCCAGCTCGGCAGCGAGGGCGGCGACTCGCCCCTCTCTGCTGATGTGAGCCACTGTTTCGCTGCACACCACTCGTGGCCTGCGAATTCTCCATGCTTTTTAGTCGCTTCAGAACGAGTCCTTTCTTGCTCTCTACCTCTCCCTTCCACTCTGGTTCATGCTCAATGTTAAATCTCACCATCTCTTCTCTCCCGTTTGTCATTCCCCTGCTGCCCACCTGCAGGTCTACTCTCTCCCCGTGGCCCCAGGAGACGTGGTGGTGATGGGAACGGACGGGCTCTTCGACAATGTGTTCGACAACGAGGTCTCCTCCCTCGTCTCCCACGCGCTCCTCCGCGGCCTCTCCCCCCAGTCCACTGCGGAGCACCTCGCTGCCCTGGCCCGCGACCGCGCTCTCGACCGCTTCCGCCTGTCGCCCTTTGCACGTGCGGCACAGGAGGCGGGGTATCGGTACATTGGGGGAAAGCTGGATGATATCACTGTCGTGGTGTCGTATGTGACTGAGGGGAAATAGAGTGGCCCCATGGCGCCTGTCTCTTGCAGTCACATGGTATGGCATGTGCACGCGGAGCAGGGGGGAGGTTGGGACTTGGGAGGGTGGTGGGTAGGGGAGGAGGCCTGCAGGGGAAGCAGGCCGTGTTGCTTGTAGGTACATCCGTGTTGCTTGTAGGTATGTGGATATTTCGTACGTGCATGGCTACTGTTATCTTCAGCAGAGTCCAGAGTCACCTCCCCCACTCTCATCCACACCACCAGTATCCCCATCCGAACCGTTACTGGCATTACTCAAGGCTGGAAACAGTGAGCGCCAATTTTGTAAGCAGTGCCCTGCCCTGTCCTCCTAATCAGTTCTCCACACACACCGCATCTGACATGTTCAGTTCACCCTCCGCAAGGCCATATTCCAGCCATCATAGTGATGTACAGTTTCTCCTTTTCCCTTTTCAAGCTGGGCAGCTGGCAGATACTACTCTAGTTCCACCACGAAAATGCTCTTGATTGAGTACAGCCTAAATGGAGCGAAGTGTCAGAATCCCAACCATTAGACCATTGTGATAAAATGGTTTGTTAAGAAGTGGCTCAGTGCGCCCATAACCCCTCAGGACAACGAGTCTGTAACCCTTCCCTAGGATCAATCGCGGATCACCAGTGGACCTCTGACCCCCTCGCACTGGGATGCCCGAAGTATCAGAGGTCCACTGGTGATCCCCGATTGATCCTAGGGAAGTGTTACAGGCTCGTTGTCCTGGGGGGTTATGGGCGCACTGACCCGCTACTTAACAAGCCCTTTTATCCCAATGGTCTAGTGGTTGGGATTCTGACACGAAGTGCACATACTGGGATTCGAACTCGAGACCTTCGCTTTGATACCATGTCCGAATCACAGCCACTAACCACTGGGATAAAACGGCTTGTTAAGTAGCGGGTCAGTGCGCCCATAACCCCCCAGGACAACGAGCCTGTAACCCTTCCCTAGGATCAATCGGGGATCACCAGTGAACATCTGACACTAAAAACCAATCACAGTTAACATGCCAGTACTTGATACATGGATGGCAGCAATCCTGAGATACTTTAACTTGTTTGACTAAGCATACGGTACTTCATAATTAAGATTTTGGCTACCTTAGCAACAACCATATCCATCCACGTTGTTGAGATAATATAGAGACTTAAGCACTTCAAGGAATTTGTGTAGTACATTTAGTACAGTGCGAGACTTCGCACGTAATAGTTAAGTACCGATAGGCTGACGTCAGCAAAGCGCTACACGCCCTAGGATGACGTCAGCAAGTACCTGTAGGCCTCACGAATAGTCACGTACCGTTTCAGAACAGGAATAGCGTGAATAGCACGGTACAATAGGCGAATATGTACTTTACTCTAGCTATATATTATGTATGTTTGTCATTTTTTAATATACTTGATTTCAGAGACATCGATCCTGAAACGTGTCACTACATGGGCTTTACATACTAGCCCAGACAAAGCCTCCTACATTGGCTTTAACTCATACAAAGACTTCCACTGCAACAGGAAGCTACCATCCTAAGTATACGATCCTATTCAGTCATTTCAAATTCTAACATGGTAACATTGTAGCATGCCCACGAGTGAAGGCATCTGGGGGGCAGAAGAACCCGACGAGACTACTTGGGGGGAAACACCCGCTGATCGCGATCGTCGTCTTCTCACTGAAGCCGAGCAGCACGTCGCTGACATGGAAGTCCTCGACTCTGGACGTCTTGTCGGTGTTGAGCCTGTCAGTACATTATAGCTTTTACATTTGAGTTGGCTATAGTGGGGTAGCCCATAAGGGGTACAACCCAATCAGTGTTAGCACTTGTACCTAACTGTTTCATAGTTCATTCATTATCGTTCGTTACTTTGACATGGAATCAGAGCAGGTTCCTTGGGCCCACCACCTGCTACGCTGCTAGTAACCACCCCTAGGCCTGTCGACCCCTAGCCCGCGCCCGGCCCCGTCGGCCCTTAGCCCCGCGCCCGGCCTCGTATCTAGCCCGCGCCCGGCCCCGTACCTAGCCTCACGCCCGGCCCCGTATCGCGCCCGGCCCCGTATCGCGCCCGGCCCCGTTTCGCACCCGGCCCCGTATCGCGCCAGGCCCCGTATCTAGCCTAGCGCCCGGCCCCGTCTCGTGCCCGGCCCCGTATCGCGCCCAACGCCCGGCCCCGTTCCTAGCCTGCGCCCGGCCCCGTATTGCGCCCGGCCCCGTTTCGCGATCGGCCCGTACCTAGCCAGCGACCCGCCCGTACCTAGCCCGCGACCAGCCCGTACCTAGCCCGCGCTTGGCCCCGTCTCTCGCCCGCGCCCGGCCCGTACCTTGCCCGTGATCGGCCCGTTCCTAGCCCCGCGCCTGACCAGTCTTTCGCCCGCGCCCGGCCCGTACCTAGCCCATGACCAGCCCGTACCTAGCCCGCGACCGGCCCGTACCTAGCCCGCGCCTGGCCCCGTCTCACGCCCGCGCCCGGCCCGTACCTAGCCCGCAATCGGCCCGTACCTAGCCCGCGACCCGCCCGTACCTAGCCCGCGCGTGGCCCCGTCTCTCGCCCGCGCCTGGCCCGTACCTAGCCCGCGACCGGCCCGTACCTAGCCTGCGCCCGGCCCGTACCCACCCCGCACCCGGCCCCGTCTCATGCCCGCGCCCGGCCCATACCTAGCCCGCGCCCGGCTTGGTCCCTAGCCCCGCCTGGCCCCGTACCTAGCCCAGCGCCCGGCCCCGACCCTAGCCCGCCACTCACCCAGCGCCCGGCCCCGTCACTCACCCAGCGCCCGGCCCAGTACCTAGCCCCGCCCGGCCCCGTACCTAGCCCCGCCCGGCCCCGTACCTAGCCCCGCCCGGCCCCGTACCTAGCCCCGCCCGGCCCCGGCCCCGCCACTCACCCAGCGCCCGGCCCCGTCACTCACCCAGCGCCCGGCCCAGTACCTAGCCCCGCCCGGCCCCGTACCTAGCCCCGCCCGGCCCTGTACCTAGCACCGCCCGGCCCCGTACCTAGCCCCGCCTGGCCCCGTACCTAGCTCCGCACGACCCCGTACCTAGCCCAGCGCCCGGCCCTGACCCTAGCCAGCGCCCGGCCCCGCCCCTCGCCCAGCGTCCGGCCCCGACCCTAGCCCGACGCCCGGCCCGGTCCCTAGCCACGCCCGGCCCTCGTACCTAGCCCAACACCCAGCCCGGTACCTAGCTACTGCTACAACTACTGCAACGGCCCGGTACTGTCACTGCTGCTACTATTACAGCTGCTACTGCTGCTACTACTGCTATCCTGCGTGCTGCACAGCTATGGCCTCGCTTCGAAATCTCGCGTTTGATCATGAGGGCAGACCAGCTCAGTTTGACACGTGGCTAGACGACCTGCAGCTGTACCTACTGAGCGATTCTAAGGACAGTGTCTCGCTTTTTGACCTAGTGTCAGGAGCTGCTACTGCCCCTCCCGCCACAGCCGACAGTTCGACTCGCTCACAGTGGCTTACTCGAGATGCTGTTGCCCGCTTAGCCATCCGCAACCACATGCCATTAGCAGAGTGCGCTCACTTTGGACAGCACAGGACAGCACAGGCACAGTACGACGCTGTAGTCGCCTCCTACTCCTCCCCTGCCACAGCTGCTCTAGGCCGCCTCCTTCTGCCCTACCTGTTCCCCGAGCTGTCTGCCTTTGCCACAGTCAAGGACCTGGTTTCCCACCTTCGCACTAGTGACGCTCGCTACCGCGCTGCCGTTCCTACTGAGTTCCTTGATAGGAACCCGCCCCCGATGTACATCACTCTCTACTTTTTAGTCACCCGCCTCCCTGACTCTCTTCGCTCTGTCAGGGACCACTTCCTCTCTCTTGACCCCACCTCCCTCACTGTTGACCTCCTCGAGCAGCATCTCCTCGCAGCTGAGACTAGTGCAGATGCTGTGGGTGCTGCTTGTGGCACTCCGCGCCCGCCCTTCTTTGAGGGGTGTTCCCCCTCCCCCCTTGGCCCCCTCCTACGCCTCTGCTGCTGCTGCAGACGTCTCTGTTCCTGAGGACGTCGGGGCTGCTTCTGCTAGTGCGAAGCGCCGCAACAGCAAGGGCAAGGGTGGCCGGGGTGGTGGTGGTGGCAGCGGCGGTGGTGGAGGTGGAAGCGGGAGTGGTGGAGGGGGCAGAAGTGGAGGTGGTGGCGGCGGTGGGAGTGGTGGCAGGAGTGGTGGCGGGAGTGGGGGCTCTGGTGGCGGTGGTGGAGGCAGCGGTGGGAGTGGCGGCAGCGGAGGCGGTGGGACTGGTGGCGGTGGGACTGGCGCTCGGCGTGTCGGTTCTGGAGGTGGGCAGCGCCAGCAACAGCAGCGTCGGAGCGAGACCCCGTCTCCCCAGAAGCTTCGTGAGTGGTTTCTGCGTGGGCCGTCTGGGGGTAGTTGCCCGTATGTCATTCGCACGAGTGACCGTGCTGGTCAGACTTGCGGGCGGCTCCACACTCAGCACTGCTGCTTCTCCCGTCTCGACGACGCTTGGCGTGCTGAGTTTGGTGACGACGTCGAGCTCCCTTGCTGGGCAGATCTGCTTAAGTCTAGGATTGCTATCTTTGACCTAAACTTTGATGCTTTTCTCTCTGCTATGTATGCTTTGCTGTAGTGCTGAGGGTGACTGTTACCGGTGTGTGCCGCCTGACCCAGGTATAGCCGCTGCTGCTCTAGGTGCTAGTGAGTCTGGTACTCTCCCTGGTACTGCGCCTGCTGAGGCCTTGCACACCTTCACGTTGGACTCAGGCGCCTCGCGCTGTTTCTTTCGTGACTGCACCACCCTCACTCCTCTTCCTGCACCTGTCCCGGTCCGGCTAGCTGATCCCTCCGGGGGACCGGTCGTGGCCCGTTCCTCCACTGTTCTTCCATGTCCGGCGGTTCCGTCCGGCTCACTGTCAGGTCTTCACCTCCCCTCGTTCTCTACGAACTTGGTGAGTACAGCTGCCCTTCAGGATGCGATGGTCACTACCACCACTCCTGGGGGTCAGCGTGTGTCAATCTGCACATGCACACG